TGCCGATTTCTGGTGTGTAGTCATGCTAATTACAAACTTTTACAAGCTGATAAACGTGACTGGTGTGATCAAAACACCCATCATTACTTTTCATTTAAATTGCAGTACAACATATGTGTGATGCAGGGCGTAAGGCAAAGCGGATTAGAAAATAGTTTTTAGCCCCGTTGGCTTGCATTCATTTTTTCGTTCTTCCAGGGACCCATGAGCCGACCGGAAAGGGAGGAGACTTAAGCTCCCTATCTACTATTGTGTTTACATTGTTTTAATGTATTTCAGAGACTTTTTTAACACGGACAAATTTGTCCCTCATTTCCCTCCACCTCTTCATGCGATCAACACTTCTAAACTCACTTTTCTCGTCTTTTCAGACTTTTTCTGCAATGCGCATTTTAACCTGTACCAAGTCTGTCGCTAAATATCTTTTTATTTTTTGAAGCTGCAGAGGCGGTGCTGTTGATGAATTTACAGGTAGCAGCGTCCTGACCAATCACAAGCTTGCGGTCTCCATTTCTTTCGACAGATAGTTAAAAATTGAGGCATGTCTCCGTCACCCTCTGCGAGCCTGTCTGAGAGTTCTTGCTCTGACGCATAATGGTGTTGCGTGTCTCTGTCACGACACAGATGAAGAAATATAACTTATCCTCAAGTTTTTATGGGTAGAATAGGCAGATGGTTATATTTAAATATTTGGATGATTCACAGTCCAGGATCTACTAATGTGCTTAGAATTAGCATTAGCTAATCCAGCTATAGTAATTTATTGCGCTTTTCCCCCTCTGCAATTTATTTAATACATCAGTTATATTCAGGAGAGCAAGATGGAGACCTATGCACAGGACTCACTGTTAGAGCCACATTCATCATCAATCTCTCTGATTTGATATTTTTTAATGACGATAAATAAATGAAATAACAATGAAAAGTCACTGTCACATTTCCTTTGTCTAAAGGAAATCTTCTTACATTCTTCTTAAAAATTTGGTAATTTATCATCCTACATCTAAGCTACGGGGTAAATTTCACCCAGTACTAAAGTGATTTTTGAGTTAATTTTTGTGAAATTTGTTGTGAAATGACCTTACTAAATTCCCCGAACCACCTCAGCTGGGTCTTTTTGATGTGGAGGAGCAGCGGCTTTACTCTGAGTATCTCCAAGCTCCTTGCCCCGTCTCGAAGGCTGAGGCCAGCTAACCTATGAAGGATCATTTCAGCCGCTTGTATTTTTGATCTTGTTTTTTAGGTTATTACACAAAGTCTGTGACAACTGGCCAGGATTGAAGGTTGGAAATTGAGGAACAAATTTCTGTCTCTGAGCTCCCTTTTCAGATAACTTCAGATAATCTTCTTCAGCTTCTGCATCATTCTAGATACTCTGATCCACCTATCGATCCCCTGCTCTCTCCTTTCCTCACTTGTGAAAAAGACTGATGCTTAAATGTCTTTACTTTAGGAGTCTGACTTAATGCTGACTGTTCAAACCAGGCTTGAACTACTTTGGTACAGGGACTGAGACCATCCACCCATTACTTTCTGAGTTACCCCCACCGGGTGGCCCTGGGTACATGGGCATAAGCCTTCTCCAGATTCACAAAACGCATGTGGACTGGTTGGGTGAACCCCGGTGCCTCATCCAGTACTCTAGCAAGAGTAAAGAGCTGGGGCCTCATTTATCAAGCTTGCTTACACACAAAACGGGGTCGGAAAACTGCGTAAGCAACTTTCCACGCAAACTTTGGGATTTATGAAAGAAATCGTAGCAGAAAAATGTGTGCAACATTAAGTTGACTAAGGACCTGGCTTACGCACATTTTGGACATGGAGAGCACCTGCAGTGCTGCTGCTGAGAAGGATAAAATTATGAAATCCTGCAGCATTATCACTTGTACTGCTTCGTTTTCACACAGAACAAGACCCCCCACATGCATACACACGCGCGCGCACACTCACACACACACACACACACACACACACACACACACACACACACACACACACACAACCTGAAGCACAGAATGCACAATATCAGCAGGGGGACAGATTGAGACAGAAAGTCATGCGTCTATGACAGTGTTTGTCCTGTCACTGTCACCCGATAGATCATGCGCCCTGGCTACTTGGACAAGGGAGATCTCCATTTGGCTGACTGGTTAGCACGCGTGACTTTCACCCGGGAGTCTGGGGATCGAATCCCGATTGGACCATTTTTTAAATATCCGCCACAGATCTCTCTGAAGAATTCACAACATTGACAGCTTCAGCAGCGCTGTGCCACTCCGTGGATTTTCTCTTATTTGTTTTGCAAAAGCACCTCCTTTCATTTCTTCACCTCACCCACAAGTACCTAAATTTCTGCTTCTGTGAAATTGCGCTTCCTTGATCTGCCTTGCTCTACGGTCGCCATCGTCATTGGCGGAGCGCTGCAACAACTAGCTTAAGTGTATGCATGAGATCCACAAGGCACATTGCATTGACTATTTATGGCAGTAAGTGGGCGTGGTGAGGGCGAGATGTGACTAAAAAGCAGCTGAGAACATTTCTAGTTTCTTTTTTCTGAAGCGGAGATTGCGTGCAGCTGTGCGTACTCCATGTTTGATAGATCACAAGCCTACTTGGCGTAAGTACTTTTTTTTTGCTGAGCTTAAGGACGGTTTTAGTGCGAATTCTACGCAATGTTTGATAAATGAGACCCCAGGTCTGTGGTTCCACAGCCTGGAGAAAAACTATATTGCTCTTCCTCAATCCAGAATTTACCCAATGACCAGACCCTCCTTTTTAGTACCCCGAGTAGACATTTCCCAGCGTCTGAAGAATGTCATCCTCCTGTAGTTCTAACAGTTTTAAATAGGGATGGACAATATATCCGCATCAATATCTGTATCGGCCGATGTTAGTAATTTTTTAACATATCTGTATCGGTTCGAAAAATAAGACTGGGCCGATATTAACAACCAACATTTTTTCCATCTCGTCTTCATTTGTTTGCCTGTTTCAGAGGGTGAGGGGGGTGATGTGTAATTGTTTAGTCATGTGAACACTGAATGAAATCATCTCAGAACCGTAAATGTGGGTGAAGTGTGTACATAATAACGTAAATACAACTTTAATAATTTTCATTCTATACAAATCTGCTGATTTTAGAAGCATTACTATCAGTATATCGGTATTGGCAAATATCAGTTATCCGCCATAACAGTGATCTTGATATCAGATATCGGTATGTGCCCAAAAATTTCACATCGGTGCATCACTAGTTTTAAATTATTTCTTAAAAAAAGGTACCTCCACCATGGACTGCCACTCTACATGTACTACCCCCAACTACTACTCTGTATTGTGGAGGCATGTCTGCCAAGATAGTCCTGAAACATCTGTAGCCTTAGGATACCCAGAATGGATAACATCAACCCTGGGGGCTCCTCTTCCACATATGGGCCATTCCCATCTGTACCGGGTCGGCCCGGGCCGGGTAGCCCCAGTCGGCCCCAGCCTGGCCCGGTTGATTCCACACATCCTTGCCTTAAGCCCATGTGGGCTGATTCTACCCACCAATCAGAGGCTTGCTCTAATGGAAGGTGTGCATTTGCTGTCAGCAGTGGGTGTGTTGGCCCTGGTCGGCCTGAAGCAGACCCCCTCGAGAAGAGGGCTGAGAATGAGCCTTGATTGGCCCGGAAAAATACCAGGCCACCCAGATATGTAAACAACCTACGCTACCCGGCCCGGGCCGACCCGGTACAGATGGGAATGGCCCAATAGATCTTTAACTACCTCAGCAGCGTCTGCCCCACAGCTCAGTCAGTCCTTCACCAGGCCTTCTGGCTCTGGTTCCTTGGTGAGATACTTCCACTTTCCACTTCGCCCTCCGCTCTGTAACCCTCTGTTACTTTTGGAGACCTACGGACCAGCCATGCCCTATGGGCCTCCTTGTTGCTGCAGCCTTTGCCTCTACATTTGCAGAGTGGAACAAGGCACGTTTGGACTCTTGTGTCCCCCGCTGCGCTCAGGCAGAGTCAGAGCTCTGTTGGAGCTGGAAGACTCCCAGCAGGCCCTCACATGTGTTTGGACCTACTTAGTCTACATTCACACCGCAGACAAAAGCACATCTAATTGGACTTTTTAAAAAATATGCAACCAACATTGTATTTTTAAAGACAGTCTGAACCATACTAATCTGATTTATTTTTCCAAATCTAACCTGGGTCACTTTTATATGTGGTACTGAATCTGATAAATACCTGATCATTTTGATAGCGACTTCAGTCTGAACAGACATGTCATATTAAATCCATTCATACATCACTTACTCACTGGGGTTGAGAACCTTGACATTCTTGACGAGACGTGCTGACAGAGGTATTCAGAGGTCTGTCTGGACATCCTGAAGTTGTGGATGAACTTTGTCAGTGAAGCCTTTCACTCCACCTCTCCTGGTTCTCCTTCTTCAGCAAATGTGGCCTACTTTAGGGCTGTTAAACATTCACACCAGAGGTTGTTTTTGAAAAATCCCACCTTGGTCTTCCACCTCTATGATTAAAGATGAGCCCAACTATATCTAGCTGGTGCCGATTTCCTGTCCGAGACCAGAGGAATTTGCCATTGGAAACCCCACCAAGGGCAAAGGGCCCAGTATAACACTCAGATCATCAATGCACTCAAACCCCTCCACCATCATGAGATGGCATTTCAAGAAGGAATGGGAGATGGCTTAATTAGTTTAATTCTGCTTTTTTAATTGTGAAATCATTTTCATTAGAATATGGGAAAGATCTTTTGAAGGTGGGGGTAATAGCGTTAAGAAAGCATTAAATATCCATTTCAATTATGAGAAAATCATTATGTTAATGTTCAACAGATGCACTAATTATCAGTTATTGATTATATTGCTAGAAATGAGTGTGTGCTTGTCTGTTCTGTTATTTTTGTCTGTTGTTTATTCTTTGTCTACATTTGATTAAGGAAACATCTATAGTATTACAGTTGTTTTTAATGTTTCCTCTCAGTGCACAGTGCAGGTGAAGCTGGAGTTAGGCCACAGAGCCCAGCTGAGGAAAAAGATAACATCAGAGGGCTTCACACATGACTGGATGGTGTTTGTCCGAGGACCAGAGACCTGCGACATCCAGCACTTTGTAGAGAGGGTTGTCTTCCGCCTGCACGAGAGCTTCCCCAAACCCAAGAGAGGTAGGTGTAAACACATATAGAACTAGCAGAAGACAGATTTTACAGTCCTACACTGCAGGGGCCACTAGCTAGTAACTAAACGCAGCCCGATCAGATAAATTATCGCACTCATGGAAAATCGGCTCAAAATTGCACAGTGTGTGTCCAGCATTAGTGGTTTCAGTGCTCCAACACACCTGAATTGGTAGTTGATTCACCTGTTCAGCAGGTCATCAACTCTGCAGAAGCTTGTTAATCACACACTAATTAAAAACAGGTGTTGAAGCAGAGAAACATCTAAATGATTCATGATGGTAGCCCCTGGGGGGTAATTTGGCTCTGGGAGAAAACTCTTATAAGACATTTTTCTAAAGCTGCTCTTTGTTGATTTCATCATAAAGCGTTCAGTGGTTCGGACGAGTGTGGGTGTAATTTTAGCTTAACGAGCGTTCCTTCTCTCTGCAGTATGCAAGGAGCCTCCATACAAAGTAGAGGAATCGGGCTATGCAGGTTTCCTCATGCCTATTGAAGTGTACTTCAAGAACAAGGTGAGAATTGTATTATTAGGCTTCAACAGCCTAATAGAAATTACTTTTGAGTACTTCAATGTCATTTTATGCTGTAGTATAGAATTTTACATGAATATCTGAAAGACCCTTGAACTAAATCACCAAAAAAAGACTTGACAGCTCACCAGTGAGTGGTTCAGTTTAAGATAAAACTTTAAGACTCTAACTTCATTCAGAACTAACACAGTTCTTTAACATGTACGTGTGCTTTATCATTCTTTAGAGACATAAAAACATATCTCTGTACTTTGCAAAAGTCTCAAACGTTCATTTCTTTATGTTTAACTTCAACAACTTCCTTTGAATCCTGTGAAATGGTGTTGAGCACTAGGGCACATTGTTCAGTCTGGCTGGCATCCAAAAAAAACGCTACTGTCCTTTTTAAGTGCACTTACATTATGCTTAATAGACAGATCTGTCAGGAAGATCAAGAAAGCACTTAAAGGTGAACATCAGCCACCATCATCGCATTTACAAGAAAACATTTTGTTATAAAATCTCGAGTGGTGAAACAATTTTTTTTTTCCGTTGAGCTGTAATTGTCCTGTTAAGCCTCCCAGGAATGTTTCTTATCTGTGTGTCAGCTCTACTCATTCTGTTTATTGACCCTCTGGTTGATTGTTCATTCAGCTTCTGCCTGTGTGAGATCAGCCAACCCAAACCGTGCCTCACAGGCCCTTAAAGCTGGAGTAAACTTTTCTTTTCATTTGCAGGAGGAGCCAAAAAGAGTTTGTTTCAACTATGACCTGTTCCTTAACTTGGAGGGCAACCCACCAGTTAACCACCTGCGCTGTGAGAAGCTCACCTTCAACAACCCCACCAAAGAATTCAGGAAAAAGCTCATCAAAGCTGGAGGGGTGAGGCAGCCTCACGCTTCCATTCATCTCCAGCTTCACCAACAACAAACTGAACGTTAATAACGATTAAAATGAGAAGGCATCAGCTTAGAAAGAGTAACTGATGTTCGAGCCACATCACCAAGGCCCGCTTTTCACGGCGTTCTGATGTATCACCTGATCCTTTCCATCTGACTATCTTAAAAACACATCTGATTACTTATCAAGAATTCCTGCTTTGTGTGGTGTGTTAAGATCACTATAGTCTGTGCGCGTACCGTTTCGCTGCCGTGCGTTGTTCGTGAGAGGGTGGGGGGTTGTGGGCGTGGCACAGCACCATATGTAGGAGAAACACTGATGACAGGAAATGACAACATGAAAACAAAGGTATTACTCTAATAATGCGAGGAGAAAAGCTAAAGGTAAGAATTATTTTCTGGCGTATTTATTAGTTTTACCTGCACTAATTGCCAAGGTGGGCTGCCTGAACTTTTATTTCCTCACAACACTATAATGATATTGCGTCCGTAGCCACGAAAACGAACCAGGTCCACACCTTTCCTGTTCTGTTTGCTGATTGTTTCACTCTCCCATCTTTTCTGTTTTCTGTTTGGGTTTTTGTTCTGTCCTTTTTGCTTTTTGTCTATTTTTTTGTCGATGAAAAATGTCAATCCATATTTTTAAGTCTTTGACATAAGTACAAGATTACGTTTTTTTTTTTTTGTGCTCAAACGTTCATTCGTCACACAAAACCTAAACTTTTGTCAACAAAGTGAACACGTATCGCTACAAGTGGGGACTTCCATATTTGGAAAATCCTGCCGTGTGAACTGGGCCTGAGGCTCAGCCGTGTGACGGTGTGAAGCTTGAGTCACGACAGGTGAGCTGCTGATAGAAAACTAGATTTATTTCAAACATGTAAATAATGAAATTTGGTTCACACAACAAGTCATCTCAAAGGCACTTTACAGTAGAGGTGTGAATCTTCACTTGTCTCCCGATTCGATTACGATTATTGGGTCTTCGATTCGATATCACGATGCATCACGATTATTTCATATTGATTTGTTTTCATCGATAAATGGAAGATGTCAGATAATTGCTTTTTATTTTTTATTATTTTATCAAAAACGTAATTGACACAACCTGCCATCCCTGAAAAGCTCTCCATTCACAACAGGTTAGGACAAAACATTTTAAACATATAAGAAGATTTAACAGAGTAAAACAATCCGTTTCCTCGTTCAACACCACGCCTCAGGCTGAGAAAAACACGCTTAGCTAAAACTCACAAAATCTAAAAAAGTACTGAAAACCTACAGGACACATATTGTAATAATAAAATCCATAATGGGTTCATATATGAGTGTTTAATGTCTCTGAGAAGCTCTAGAGTCAAATATTTATGCCGCAGTTCAAGGGTGTCAGAAGTAACAGCAAATGAAATGTTTGACTTAGTTTTTTATTTTATTTGAACCCAGTGGTTCATTTCTGAAATGTTGGAGAATGAATCAAGTTCTGTTTGATGCAGAAAATAATAAAACAAAACAAATTCTACACTTCCAATAATATTTAAGATGTGTGTTTTATTCTTTCTGATAATAACACCAGCAGAAGGCTGTGGGCTGGATTAGGATTAAATTACCCAGCTGATGGATCTCCTTCACTAACCAGCTAACTACAAACCTGTCCACTAACCTGTCCTGTGGGACCCTCACCATGTGACCCTCATGTCCATGCTGTCTCTGGAGGAGCAGATAGGAGACAAGACCTCCTGTAACCTAAAATGAACCAAAACGTCCTCCCAGTTTTTTTTAAATAGTTTAACATCAGTTTATCATCGTGAAACAAAGGAATAAAGTGGAACACAAACTTCTATCTTCTTTTTCTCTCTCCTTTTAACTTATCCATGTCCCTAAATGAGACAGACGATCACGCTGCAGCCGCTGTCACTGACCCCGCCCCCTCCCCAAGACCGGATCTCCCTACATTACAACAAGCAGTCTGACTGAGCGCTTCCCGGAGAAATAGTAATTAAATTATGAAAATAATAACGCGTGTTTGGCGCATCGGTTTGGAGGAGCGTCCTCCGATCCTCTCTCTTGTGTGAGCAGGCAGTGTCTCTCAGTTGCTGTGCGAGCGAGCGGAGCGCGCCGCGTGACAACCCGCTCAATTAACTTAATTCACGGCCCAATTCCAACAGAACCGGTCGGGCTGATTCGGTTCTGGTTCGGTCTCAGGTTACAACTCTAGCGCTCAGCCCTGCAGTACCACATTAAGGCAAACCACTTGGTAAATGTGGAGGACACTCACTCTGGCAGATTTGGATGCTTCGCTGGTGCCGCCGTTAAAAACAAAACTACATTCCACTATAATCGATTATGGCGTACTCTTCTACGATGCACAATCGTTTATGTCCGCATCCTGATGCATCGATTATTTGATTATTTTCCTCAGCTCTACTTTACAGTGGGGATGCACAATATATCTGCATCATAATCTGTATCGGCCGATGTTGGTCATTTTTAACCATATCGTTATCTGTCTGATAAATCAAACTGGGACGATATTAACAACCAATATTTTTTCCATTTATCTGTTTCAGAGGGTGAGAGGGTTATGTGTGTTTGTTTAGTCACGTGACCGTCATTGTAATCATCTCAGAAGCGTAAATGTAAGTGGTGTGTGTACATAATGTAAAATCAGCTTTAATTATTTAAATTCTATACAAAATCTACTGATTTTAGAAGCATTAATGTCAGTATATCGGTCTTGGCAAATATCTGTTATCGGACATAACAGTGATATTAATATCTGAAATTGGTATCGGCCCTAAAATTTAATATCGGTGCATTACGACTTTAAAAGGTTAACATTCCAGTTGAACCTACTTATCAGCACATTCAGGTCAGCTCATTACACCAACTGGTTCCTATGTAAGAAAACCCCGAAGACTGCTTCAAATGTCTGAGTGTCCGACTATACAGCAGTCCTCGTACTAAGCAAGCATGTAGCAACAGTGGAGAGGAAACTCCAACAGAACCTGGTTCAGTATGAGCAGCCATCCACCACGATGCAGTGGGAGTTTGAGAAGACGGAGCACAAAGACAAAAAAACCCGATGAACTTATCATCATCATGATGGACTTATTCACCAGAGGATTGTGCTGGAGCTGATTTAGCTGATCATCTGCTCTATGTAATAAACTGATTCTGGTCTATGAGCCAGTCTGGTGGATGAGATTATTTTAGAAGTCAATGCATCTCACTAACAGTGTCCTTCGTAATTAATACTTCTCTTTTTCTGGTGTTTGCATTTAAGAACCGTCTACAGTGACCCATCGTTTGAACGTCTAACAGAACTTAGGTTAATAATTACCACGGATGGTTTGCAGCACAGCTCTCAAGAACAAATCCAGCCGTCTTCCCGTGCTGCAGCCAAACATGGAGTCTGAGTGGTTTTGAATGTCAGCAGAGAAACGCTGTAACTGGTGTGTCTTTGATTTCAGATACTGGTGGTCCCTGAGGGGGCAGAAGCTGTGTCGAGGCCCAGTCCGGACTACCCAATGCTCCCCACCATCCCCCTCTCAGCCTTCTCAGATCCCAAGAAGACCAAGACCTCTCATGTATCGAAGGTTGGGAGGGAAATAAACACTAACTCGATTATCTCAGTCACTTATGTTCTACTCAGCTTGTTCAATCACTTGAAGAATTCACTCTTTCGTTGATCACTCTTTGTTTTGTCGAATAATTCCTCTTGAAGGAAATCTTCATTTGCTTGTTGGAGTCTGACTCCAGCTTGTAATTGTTACCAGTTGTTTCTCTGCATTTGTACGCAGGATTACTCAGCCTTATCTGCAAGGAGAGGGGGAATATCAGGTTGAAACAGGAAGTGGACCTGTTTACATTTTCCAGGGCTGATCCATTTACAGTACTGTGTAGACGATATAAGCGTCTTTTAGTCTTCAAATGAGAGAAAATCCACCCGTTGTTGTTTTTTATCCCGTGATAGTTGTATTCCCCTGCTTATAATAGATCCACCGATAACTCCCCAACAGTTACATTTTTAACAAGTTTGTTTATTAAAGGTGGATTTACTGTCTGAGCTCACATGAAAGGAAAATATGGAGGAATGAGTAAACATGAAAAATGACCGAATGAGATTGTTTTATTAAATCAATGAAGCCCATTCATTTCACACGGCTGTTTTAAAAGCTTTCTGCTTTATTTAGAGTCGTAACGTGAGAAAGGTCCTCTGGAATAACTAAAATTCATCATATTTAAACCCTTGAGAGCTATCATCCCATTTAAACCAATGTGAAGCATTATTCACATTTGGACTGAGACGGCAATCCATGTAGGAAACGCCTAGCTTTGCTAGTTAGGTGTAAGACTGTTGACTTTTTATTTGGACTATTTTTATTTTTATCAAATACACTGGTTTATAATGGCATGACATCATTCCTGCAGGATTTGATGCAACTATAGGGAGCCTAAGTCACGCCGATCTACTTCCGGACCACGGGTCCCCGGAAGAATGAAAAAATGAATGCAAGTCAACGGGGCTAAAAACTCTATTTTCTAATTCCGCTTGTTTTGTGCCATGGATCATATATGATGTCCATGAATTTTAAAGAAACTTTTTGATACCAAGAATGCACTTATTTTCGAACAGGGGGAAACACTATTGTAGGTTTTGTATGAAAATAATTCCAGGACTACAAATGCGCTTCATGAAATTGACGTTATCAAACCAGACACGGAGAAAAACTCACAGAGGAAAAATGGCTGTACGTTCAGCAAACTTCATATCCTTTTAGGAGGAAAGAACCACCATAAATCTGGCCATTTGGTGAGTAGCAGCTACGCTAGGGGAGAGGAGATTATGTGGTGACGTCACATATGCGACGTGCCGATTTCTGGTTTGCAGTCATGCTAATTATAAACTTTTACAAGCTGATAACCTCAAAGTACGTGACAGGTGTGGTCCAAACACACACATTAGTTTTCATTTAATTGCAGTACAACATGTGCGATCCAGGGCCTAAGGCAAAGCGGATTAGAAAATAGCGTTTTTAGCCCCGTTGACTTGCATTCATTTTTTCCTTCTTCCGGGGACCCGTGAGTCAATCGGAAAGGGAGGAGACTTAGGCTCCCTCTTGGGTGTTTTTACTTGAGTGCAGCGGTAATTCTCTACTCCTCTTTAGGAACCCAGTAAAGAAGGAAGTGGCAGCAGCAAAGGAACCAAACCACACAAACCGACTAAGGAGCACCGCGAACGACCGCGAAAAGACTCTGAGAGCAAAGCCACATCTAAAGGAGAGGAGAGAGACGGAAGCGGCAAAAGCAACCGTGATCCATCCGCTTCCTCATCCTCATCTTCAAAAAAGCCGTCAGAGATCAAAGTGAAAGATGAAGTCAAAGTTCTACCTAAAGCGGCCTTCAAGGAGCCTAAACTCACCCTGAAGGAGTCAAAGATGGATGGTATGTCTCCCAAAGGAGGGGGGGCAGGGAGCGGAGGGGGAGGTGGGGGAGGAAGTGGAGGAGGGCCAGGGGAGCCCAAGGCTCCTGGAAAACGCCCGTCCACGGTGGAGTCTCCCAAACCCAGTGCTAAGAAGCAGAAAAAGAGCAGCTCTGATGGGCTTAAAGGGCTGACGGGCGGAACTTTCACCGGGACGTCCCCGCGCCTCTCCTCCTCCGCAGCTAGCCAGTCCTACGGGGAAAAGAAACCTTCCAAGGAAAAGGGCCGTTGGCTGAAAGGCAAAAACGACACCCAGGAGCTGAAGGAATCTAAAAAACCTCTGGAGTCAGAGGAGTCTAATTCAGAAGACGAAGCATCGTCAAAGTCAGAGGTATGAAGATCTGATGAGACATTTTACTTCCTAGATTTTGTTTCAAACATATTTAATTAAAAGTTTGATTATTCTGTTTTCTTCTGTTATCGAAGTCGGCTCCTTCCAGTCCTTCCCACTCCAGTTCCAGCTCTGACTCCACGTCGGACTCTGACTTCGAGCCAGGACAGAAACAAGGACAAGGTATGGTTCATCCAATATAGCCTGATGGGAAATATTCCACTTCTAAGAAGCAAGTTATGTCTCTGATAAGGAACACAAAGGTTTGCAAAATGCTGTTCTAAATCGTCACTCTGCTCCTCTGCTAGGCCCGCTACGATCGATGGTGGAGGAGATCCAGTCAGAAGAGTCGGACGATGACGACAGCAGCTCAGAGGAAGAAACGCCAACAAAGAACAACCCGCCTAACCGCGACTCTCGGTCAGTTTCTGCACCTTTGCTCCATAAAGCTTTACTAGATTCCACTTTTAACCATTGCCTTTAGTTTTATTTATTTTGCGTTTCTTAGTCAAAGAAACCAATTAAGCGTACATATCCACACTAGCCACTGGAAGTAGCTTTAATCTCAGACGCGTGTGTGAACCAGACCAAGCATTGGGACCAGTCTGGTCTGTGTCTATGACCTCTGACCTTGCCCTGTACCCCTGCCAGACTCAGCCTGGACAGCGAGAGTGACAGCAGTGACGGCTCACACCGCCCCAGTCGGGACCCCGCTCCTCCCCCACAAAAACACAGCTCCTCCAATAACAAAGTGAGTCACACTCAGACTGTTTCCTTTGGTGAACTCATGGGAGTTTAAGAGTTTTACTGGAATATAAAAGACGGATAAAGACAAAGATTACCTTACTGAAACATCAGAGGTCCAGACATTTTCACAACGATGTGAGACTGAAGTTTAAATAGATCATTTTTGCCAAACATGGTTCTAACAGCTGCTGAATCATGGAGATATTTTTTTACTCACAGCTTCTGGATACTGGTTTATTATATAACTGCACAGCTCAAGGTGTTTTGTTTTAACTGTGGTTTCATGTATTTTATGGAGCAGATTATTAAAGGTTTTGTGCATTTATTTATTTTTTACTGCAGGTGGTTCGAAAAAGTCCAGATTCCTCTTTTCGCACTGAGAAGGTGATGAAGAAGGGATACGACAAGGTAGGAAGGGTAAATGAAACTTTTTATGCTTAAACTTTCTCACTTTCAAAGTCTTTTCCTTTAATTATATGATGATTACTGTAAGGAAACCGGCCAATGTACGTTAAGCAGCTCGGTGTTGAGGAAGTGCTGACTCGTAGCACAAACAATGGGGGTGTGGATTAGCAAGAATCTGACAAGAATATATTTATTACAATACAGGGGAGACAATGCGATATTTATCACAATACTGGGGAGACAATGCGATATTTGTCGCAGTACTGGGGAGACGATGCAATATTAATCACAATACAGGGGAGACGATGCGATATTAATCACAATACAGGGGAGACGATGCGATATTTATCACAATACAGGGGAGACGATGCGATATTTATCACAATACAGGGGAGACGATGCGATATTTATCACAATACAAGGGAGACGATGCAATATTTATCACAATACAGGGGAGACGATGCGATATTTATCACAATACAGGGGAGACGATGCGATATTTATCACAATACAGGGGAGACGATGCGATATTTATCACAATACAGGGGAGACGATGCGATATTTATCACAATACAGGGGAGACGATGCGATATTTATCACAATACAGGGGAGACGATGCGATATTTATCACAATACAGGGGAGACGATGCGATATTTATCACAATACAGGGGAGACGATGCGATATTTATCACAATACAGGGGAGACGATGCGATATTTATCGCAGTACTGGGGAGACGATGCGATATTTATCGCAGTACTGGGGAGACGATGCGATGTTTGTCGCAGTACTGGGGAGACGATGCGATATTTATCACAATACAGGGGAGACGATGCGATATTTATCACAATACAGGGGAGACGATGCGATATTTATCACAATACAGGGGAGACGATGCGATGTTTATCGCAGTACAGGGGAGACGATGCGATGTTTGTCGCAGTACTGGGGAGACGATGCGATGTTTATCGCAGTACTGGGGAGACGATGCGATGTTTGTCGCAATACTGGGGAGACGATGCGATATGTAACGATACTAAAAGTCAGATTGTATTTGCAGTTATTAAGACTGAACATAGAATAGGGCTGCTCAATTTATCGAATTTTTATCACGATTACGATCAGAGTTTTGAACGATTATAAAAACAAAACAAGCCGATTATTTGCTTCTCCCACAGTGTTGCCAACTTGGCGACTTTGGCACTATTTCTAACAGCTTTTCAGACCCCCTTCTTGACTTTTTAAATCTTAAAAGTACCTAGCGAACACCTCAGAAACATCTCTGGTAACCCTTAGCTACTTTCTGGATAACTGTCGTCGACATTTCCTGCAGGTTAGCTAAACACTCCGCCTGCGCTCTGGACCATTTTTCAGGACATTAGGAAAGGGAATGATGTAGTGATGTGTCAGTCGCTAAAGAAACGGCTCTCAGAGCCGGCTTCCTGTTGGATTAACCAGAGTGAGTGACACACACACCGCACCTGCAGGCTCCTGAGCCGCTAAAAACGGCTAAATGTGCGCGTGCGGCGCGCTAAACACACGTGCAGCTTGCCCCTGATTGCTGTGAGACCGGGTTGGGGGGTGGGGGGTGCAGCTGTGGTTGGGACAATTATTACATTAACTGATGGACTTGTAAATAAATAGTTTATAAATAAGGTAGAAATAAGTTCCTCACGCTGATAACTAATAACTAACCTCTCTTGAGAACACAGTGCTAGTGCACTCTCCTACAGCACCTTGACACGACTCAATAAATGTTACGCAACATTTTGTGAACATCAATTTATTTGCATTTATTTGTTATAAATGCCACAGTATAATTCTTGCTGTCAGTATTTGCAAGAGATTGGTATTTGGGTCTGTACTGGTTAGAGTTAAATGAGTTAAACCAAGGTCTATAGCCCTTGGGTCATAAACTATGAGCTACAAGTATATTGGTCTTTTTATACTGGGAATCAGGAGTTATTTTAGTGAACATCTTGTTTCTTATTATTTTTGTCCAGATTGTTCCCTGAGCAATTTTATGACTGAATAAAAACAAAATCAACATAAATTGAAAAATCGTCTTAAATAATCGATCTCAGTTTCAGTCACAATAATTGTGATTATTATTTTTGCCATAATCGAGCAGCCCTAACATAGAACACTCAGGTCAGAAGCTCCAAGACACATCCAGCGTTATCGTGAGATTAGGTTGTTCCATCAGCCTGAAGGGGGGTAAAAGCTGCTGCCACCTAGCAGTCAAAGTTTGAATTATACCACAAAATAATTACAGTAAAGGTTTTCACGTAAATGCTAAATGAAGAAATCTATTTACTGCTTTTACATATCTAAGGTCGTGTGTGTGTGTGTGTGTGTGTGTGTGTGTGTGTGTGTGTGTGTGTGTGTGTGTGTGTGTGTGTGTGTGTGTGTGTGTGTGTGTGTGTGTGTGTGTGTGTGTGTGTGTGTGTGTGTGTGTGTGTGTGTGTGTGTGTGTGTGTGTGTGTGTGTGTGTGTGTGTGTGTGTAGATATGTTCTTACATCTCTAATGAACAGTAAATCATAACTTTTTTCTTAAAGTCACTGTAAATGGAGGCCAGTTCAAAAACTGCTGCTTAACTCAAAGACAAACGGTGTGTGACAAACCAATAAAGCCTACGACAGCTGCGTTGTATGAATCAGCTGCTTTAGGGGTGTGAAACATCATCTTGAGGAATTCCCCTTTCCGCCGGCTCTAAAGTCACTTGATCTCATGCAGCCGAGGAGGAGGATGATGCTATCCCTTAGTCAGGGCCCTGAGTCAGACCTACCCTCCTGCTAGTGCATGTATTTTTTGTATTTCCTTGAGAGTTGAAGCTCTGAGTCATGTTTCTGTGATGAGCAGTGTTAGTGCTAGCCACCTGTAGCATTTTCATCATATTTCTATCTACATAAGCTTGTAAATACGGAGTAAAACGGTGTTTGAGTGAACTGAAAGAGACAGATGTTTGGTCCCACTGCGACTAGCCATTAGCTCATCTGTCTGGTCAGAACTAATCTCTATTTCTCCAAACTAAGGTTGTACAAAGAGCTATCACCAGCAGGTAAGATATTAATTATTCATAACCATTTCACTGAAAGCCACTTCAAAAGACCTGAACTATTCGTTTAAATCAAACAGAGCAGCTCAGGGTCCAACCTGAGGTCTGCTGAGGGTCAAATTTCAGAGTCGAACACTTCTCCTTTTCTGGAGCTCTTCAGGAAAGTCAGTATGCGACCCCCTCAACCGAGAAGCTCAACTTCAGTTTTTTAAAGCCCTTAGAGGGGATTACTTTTAGCATTTAATATAAACCAACATAAAAAAAACAGTTGCACGAGGAAACTGTTGCATTCTGACTTTTATTGTATTTCTACTTTTGCTCACATCTCGTGTCTCTGATAAATCCTGCAGGCCTACACGGAGGAGCTGGTGGACCTCCACCGCAGACTGATGGCGTTAAGGGAGCGTAACGTACTACAACAGGTGAGTGATTACACCTCGGCTAGTATTATTAAAATTATGAAGCTCTGTTCCGGTTTCATTAAGTTTATTCTTACTGGGGAATAATTCTTTTAGATGATGCATTTTTGCTTTTATTTATTTATTTTTTGGTGAGTTCTAAATTCAGACTCTGCATAAATCCAGTGTCTTCTCCTATAAGGATTATCTTCTCCTCCCTGTAATCAACAGAATGCAAAATAGTTTTGATTGGGTTTAAATTTCTTGGTGTGGTCTGAATAAAACATGTAGTCACAAAAGAAAAAAAGAAAGCATCTGGAATAAAATTAGTTGACATGTTTTCTGCATTTATCGCTAAAGAACACATTTGCTTCAGACATTGACGTCGGCTAATCTTTGCCAGATTGTCAACCTGATCGAGGAGACGGGCCACTTCAACGTGACCAACACCACCTTTGACTTTGACCTCTTTTCACTGGACGAGCCCACCGTCCGCAAACTACAGAGCTACCTGGAGGCAACGGCCACGTGACAGGAAGCAGAGGCCGGCGTGTGGATGTCGGCGACAGAGGTTGCCTCGTCGTTACTCCTGCTCCGTAAGGAAAAGCAGAGCGCTCCCATCCGTCGCAGCCTTGACACAAGCCTGACTGAAGCATCGAACAACAGAAACATACTAACAATCGCAAGCACACATCACCCCCTTCACGGGACACTGGGGAGGACACTGGAGGAGGAGGCGTGTGAGGAAACACTGGAGTATCTGAACTCCATCTAGTCAGGAATTTCACTACACATCTCTTGTTTTAGGTCCGTTCTGAGCTGTGGTATTCGCCCTCCTGCACTTATATTGCTCCCGCCTTTGCAAGCCTAATACTTGCCGTCCTCCCCCTCCTCTTCTTCTTCACATGCACACTCCTTACTTGGCAGAACTTACCTCCAACCACCCCCCACTTGTCAGCTGGAGCTCATTTCTCTCTCAGCACACTTTAGTTGTCTGCGTGCGCTCGTGTGTGTATGTGTGTGCGAGTGAGCGCGTGCGTGTGCATGTGTGTGTGCGCGTGCGTGCGTGTGTGTGTGTGCGCACGTGCAGCAGAGATGTTGTCTGTTTGGTTACTGACGTTTTCTTTTTTTGTTGTTTATGAATCTTGAGCACAAAGAGCCGGTTGCGTTACTCACACACACACGTGCACATTTAAGTTGAACTTTACTCTGCAACTCCCTCATTTGGCATTAATACACAAACATTAAATAAAGGCTAATAACAGTTACATTTTAAAATCTGTAGAAAAACACGCTCAATAGCTGTTTTTTGCACAATTTGTCACCACATAAAGACCACGGGATTCCCTTAAACTACTTCGTTAGTTTAATAAAACAGCAGAAACTCTGGGTTGGAACACAGATTAGCAAACTGTTCTTAAAGTAGCTGTTTAAGCTAGCAGGACAGTTTAATGTTCAGTTTTAAATTAGTACCTGATGTTCTAAAGATGCTGAATTGTTTTGGTGTAACTCAGCTGCAGATTAGAAGAACTTACGGGGGGAGTGGGTTTTTTTTGTGCTTCCAAATATTTAAAAAAAACAAAACATTGAATATAAAACGTGTCTCCATAGAAGTTTAAAAGGGAGACGTGTTGGTGTGTTTCTAGTGTTTGTACGTGCTAAAATGGGGGAGTTATAGTAAAGAACAGCTTCTTCACGCTGAACATGAAAAACGCTGTAGAAGACTGTTGGTTTTTCTGCCGTCTGAACTTTTGGAAACACATGTTCTGTTGAGTTTCCTCTTTTCTGGCTCTGAAAGCTGAGCCTTGACCTCCTACCAACGCCCCCCCCCAGCGAATGGCCCCTCGTGTCCCCTCCTCCCCCCCTCCCCCTCGTCTGAGCTCATGAAAGGGCTCGACTGCTCATGGCCAGAGCAGAGGACTGCTCCTGAATTGCCTTCTAGGTGGTGGGTCTGGTCGGGTGTGAGGGGTGGATTTACGACAAAAAAAAAAAAGAAAGTAGCCATAATTGTTTCCCAGAATCCAAAAAACAAGTGAATAATAAAAGGGGGCCACGCTTTTTTATTTTTCTACAAGTGCTTCTCGTGTACGGATTCCCAGAGCTTTGAATGTAAACTGCTTTTACTTTCCTTCAGCCTCAGCCTAGTGCCTTTTCCTGCGACTCGCAGTCTGAGGGGGGTGGGTGTGTGCGCTCCGTTAGTCATGCTCAAACAGATTAAAGACCCCCCCCCCCAAATACTCCTCCTGGGGAAACGAGTGTTAATTGGGATGCCTGAATATCCAGTAATGTCTTAATAGCTTCCAGCTTTCCAGCGTGTGTGTAGGCTGTTACCCTCTACTATCTCTGTTCACCCAGCCGCCTGGATGATGGGATTTCTTTGGTTATTTTTTTACGTTCCTGGAGATTAGGTTTAGAGTTAAGGTAGCTCCTCACCTTAATTGGCTCTACTAAGAGCTGCATCAGTTGTGTTTTTGTGTTTCGTTAGAAATTTTATGTTTAAAAATAAGCAACAAAAAAATTTAACCCACGATCGTAATGCCGGGCACTTACACAGCAACAAGAGACGAATGAGCAGAAACTGGTAGTGCTTTAATTTTTTTAGGCCTGAATCAAGAAGCCAGGTTGTTTGATTAGATGGATAAATGTGAGTGACGGTCTCACAAAGCTGGATTACTTAAATCAACCATCAGATCAGAGAAAACGCTTCTGGGCGTTTCATCAATACTTATTATTTGTAGCAGAATCACTTCCTGTTTGAGCTTTTAGATCCACCTGTTGGAGATGACAGCGACATTACAATAGATCTGACCCTTGCTGTGGGCTTTAGACAACAAACCATCAGTGCAGCAAATGTGGATCAAGCTGCTGTAGAAATAAAGTGACAATCAAGAATACAGAAAAGAACATCTGCAGGTTGAGATTGATGGACAGATTATAATTCAGGATATCTGAGAGGATTTTAGTGCATCTGTTTAATTTAGATGAGCCTTACATTTACTCTATTTTGAACTATTTCAATTCAGATGTCAGATTAAACCTTAGACTAAGTGCTCCATCAGCTGTTTCCACAGTAAAAGAGTTCATGGTTATTAACATAAAACCCAATCTTGGGCTGTAGAAAACTATTATGGTGTAATGTGATGGACTTTGTCGTATTTTTTTGTCTTGACTGTATAAAACCTTTTGTTAATGTGTTTTGCTGTTGCACTGATGGTTTTTCTTTAAAAGTCCTGAGTTTTATTGGTCACTGATCGTTATTTGACCCGTGCTGTGGGGGGTTAACACAACCAGAAGCCTGTTTTGAGAGACCAGTTCTAGTCTTTCTTTTTTTTTTTTCTTAACACATGAACTTGCTTCTTGATTCAGGCCCTTCATGTGTTTGTTGTCGTGGCCCCTCTAGGCTTTACACACACACACACACACACACACACACACACACACACACACACACACACACACACACACACACACACATACCAGTCCACTGTGGGACAGTCCATCAGGGACAGATTTACCCCCTCCTCCCATCATCCTCCTCCTGCCGACAGCGTTTTAACTCTGGCGCTTTGATAGCTTTAAAACACCCCCACCCCCACCTTGGTTTTCTGTGGCCTGCCTGGCTCGGCGACACACTCCTTTTACTGTAAACGCTGTCCGAGCTCGGAAAATGTCTCGGAATAAAAAGGAAAACCTGGATCCACACCGCCTTACTTACCCCCCACCCCCACCCCAGCACCACCTTCATTTCCTCGAGGTGTGCCTCTGTCAACAGAACTTCAGGCTATAATTATTACTGAGAATGAACTTTGCGACGGAGCGAGTAACGTCTGTGGGAGGGAGCGGATGAAGAACAGCTTTTCTTTTCTTTCCTCTTTTCTGTGCACCAACGTGGGAGCTTTAAGTCCTAGTTCATGAACTTTGACCTTTGACCAGGCACTTACTCAGTTCCTTAACGGTGGTCGTGTCAAGGGAGAGGGCGAGCTACTACCCCCCCCCCCCCCCCCCCCCCCCGTCAACCTTTTATTTATGGACCTCTGCACTTTTGGCTGTGATTACTTCAGTACTTAAGTAGTTACCTAAAACTGTATTTTTAAGGATTTTATACAATATTTACATGCAATACAATATAAAATGAGTTTGTTTTCTCTTTTGCCAGCCTTCCTTGTTATTTAAGTGTCTTTATTTTTGGCATGTGATGTCATAATTCCCAGACAAACATGCCTGTTGAGACTGTTTTTGGCATGAGTTGTTACGGGGGACTTCCTCGTATGCGTTTGTTTTGGTTTGACAGCTGAACACCAAGAAGCAGGTGTAGGAAAATATTTGCTGTATGAGCTGAACTTTGTGGGCAAGAGTCTTCAAATGGAAGAACTGAGATGTTCATAAAAACTCTTTATTTCCTGTATCATATCTTTTTTTTTTTTGTCTCCTTCATAGTTTGACCCTAAACTGAACCCATCATTGTTGCTTTGATTGTGTTAGAGGTAACGTGATTCTGAAGAAATGCATCAAAGACAGAGTTGCACAGTGAGAGGTGCTGTTCTGCAGAAACGAGTGCCATTTTTTATTTTTTACTTTAACAGACAAATGAAACTTTTTTTAATAAAAAATCAGTTTACTCCAACTCCCAATCTGCCCTGATGCAACATTCAAAATGAAATTTTGATCAATTGAGGTATTTGGTGCCTTGATTCTTCCTTTCTTTGATTCTGACGATTCCCTCAGATTAGTGGAGGATCATGGGTAATGTAGTGTTTAGAGCTTTGCAGGCGGGCCCTTCACTTTGCAACTCTGAGGGGAGCGGTGGCGGAGGAGCATTTCAGCTGAGAATATATTATATATAATCTGTATGATGCAGCAGAGGTCGATTATCTACTGTGTGGATCTTTAGCGGACAACGACAAGCGCAAACGGTTCCTTTAAACCTTGGGTGGGGGGGGTTGGGTGTGCAGACCGGGTTTCCTGTCCTTGGTGTCATAGTGTCAGCGCTGCCTGTATTTATAAAGGTCTGATTTGTTTTCTGAGGTTAAGGGGGAGGGGCTTGTGTATGTGGTTGTAGCGACCGCGTGAAGAACAAATGAAATGGATGGCAGAAGAACAATTTGGTATTTTTAAAAAACAATACTTGGCATTGCGATGCCACCATGTGGCCATATGATGCAAGTTAACAAGGATGAAACATGTTATTTTAATGTTATTTTTTATTTTGAAATCATATTATTAATAAAGTCAGTAAGAACTGTTGTCCCCACGTGTCCAGTGTCTGACCGGCGTGTGACCCCGGCGAAGGGGTCGTGGAGAGTTCATGTTCTGTCAGCGCAAGCTGGCAGGGTTAAAAGGACAAGCAGTGTGACCGGGACGCCTACTGGCAACCCTGGTGGAGCTGATAGTTCAGTTTTAAATGAATTATTAATATTTAATGACCAAATTAGTTTAATTCAAAATAAAACAAAGTGAGACCTTTGGAAAAGATGTTGAGATTAAGATTAATTTTATTGTCCAGCAGCAACACGTCAGTTTTTTCTAAAAAAAAAAAAATGAATAAAAACTTATGTTGGTTTGATGGGATAAAAGTAATATGATTTTGTCAAGTTATTAAATGAGGGGAAATATCTTGTTTTATTTGTAATTTTTATTTGGAATCTTCTGTTTCCAGTAAGTTCAGTTCTGCACACAAATGGACGTTTCATGTGTTAAAAATAAAATACTCATATTCACAGAATCACCTTGAACTAATCTAAACACGCTTTTATTAACTGAAGCAGAGACCTTAAAGGACCAATATTCAATTCAAAAATTTCCCAGAGGGAAATTGATTAATATGTAAAAGTATGTAAAAGTTTTAACAGTGAAAAGACCACAAAACTGTCATATTTCCTTTTTAAACTGGCTGGGTGGTTGTCATTTTTTTTCCCCCTTTCAAAAACCTAAAGAGGGACTTTAGTTGCTGTTTACGATCCGTGGGTTGCCAAGTCTGCGCCAGAATTTGTAATTTAACACCAGCTGGCAAAACTCAGCAGCGTTTTAGAAATATCCTAAGCATAACCGTCCACCGTACGTGAAAGCAGCACATAAAGAAATAGAGGCGTTTTACTCGCAAGCTCCCTTCCAACCGGGAGCGATTCTGCCACAACACGGTGGTGAAAGTGTTCCATGTCACTGGTCCTACAAAGAAAGAAAATCACAGGAGAGTTGCAACCACGCGTGATTTCAGAAGTCCTTTACAGTAACAAGCAAAGAGAAAGACAGTTGTTTATATTCAAGAAGGTCTGTGTTTTTTTTTATGTTCTGTTTACATCAGGTTTTCACAGGAAATTCCATGCTTTTATCCACACGTGACTTCTATTTTGAAAGTTTCCAGATGTTTTTCACTGCTTTCGTGTTTGACTTCCTGTCTGGCCTGATCTAAACTGTTTGATGTGTTTTGAAAGTGTACAGCAGGGGTAGGGAACCCTGGTCCTGGAGAGCCACTATCCAGCACGTTTTACAGGTCGCCCTGCTTCAACAAAGTTGAATCACCTGTTCAACTGCTCATCAGGCTCTGCAGAAGCCTTTAAATCACCTGCTGATCAAAATCAGGTGTTTTAAGGCAGCTCTAAACTGTGCTGGATAGTGGCTCTCCAGGACCAGGGATCCCTACCCGTGGTGTACCTTCGCTTCTGGGACGTGTCCAAAACGTTAGTTTGCTGTCTGTAGAAAGGAACTTGTCCAATATAATGGTGGCTAATTGCTGCAAAATAAGTTTTGTGGCCATTTTGCGACATTTTCACGCCCAGTGGAAAGAAGGGGTAAGCCAGTAAACGGGAGCAACTAAGAAGCAATGACATCTTTTTGTTTTACTCCAAAATTGGTTAAAGAAGGCAAGAGGCCTATGTAGAGCTAACAATGCTAATGGTAATTTAGAATCTCAAGCTGGGGGCCTGAGTGGAACATGACGGTGAATCTGTGATTTCCGGGTCTGCAACTGTGTGCTTTTGTTGAATTCACACGGGAGAAGGTGGTGTTTCATTGAATCCAAGTGTCTTATTTTAGAGTTGATGGAATGAATCAAGCAAATAACTTTCATTTCATAAAAATAACATGTCAACATTGATTCGGATAAGGGTAGCTTGCCTTCTCCAGGTCAGGGATGAGGTCCTGCCCCAAGTGGAGGAGTTTAAGTATCTCGGGGTCTTGTTCAGGGGTAGAGGAAAGCTGGAGCATGAGATCGATAGGCAGATTGGTGCTGCATTTGCAATGATGCAGGTGTTGTACCGGTCTGTCGTGGTGAAGAGAGAGCTGAGTCAGAAGGCGAAGCTCTCAATTTACCGGTCGATCTACGTTCCTACCCTCACCTATGGTCATGAGCTTTGGGTAGTGGCCGAATGAACGAGATCAAGGATAAGCAGCCGAAATGATTTTTCTCCGAAGAGTGGCTGGACTCTCCCTTAGCGATAGGGTGAGAAGCTCAGTCATCCGGGAGGGGCTCGGAGTAGATTTGCTGCTACTCCACATCGAGAGGAGCCAGTTGTGGTGGCTCGGGCATCTGGTCAGGATGCCTCCCTGGTGAGGTTTTCCGGGCACATCCAACTGGGAGGAGGCCTAAAGGTAGACCCAGGACACGGTGGAGGGACCATGTCTCTCACCTGGCCAGGGAATGCCTTGGGATTCCCCTGGAAGAGCTGGCCCAAGTGGCTGAGGAGCGGGAAGTCTGGGCCTCTCGCCTTAGGCTACTGCCCCCGCGACCCGACTCCGGATAAGCAGATGAAAATGGATGGATGGATGGAACATCTCAATATTGTCAACAGTAATATTTTATATGTTGTGCCTACCATTGCTCTGGAATGTGTTAAATAGCACGATACGGGTATAAAAGTTACACATAATCTATTAACTTATTATTTTAATGAATTATGACTCATATTATGAAATGAGGAATTTGTCTATAATTACTTAGAATGAAGTAATAGCAATACATTTTCTAGAGATAACTGATCTTCCATTTTACATATTAGAATAAATCTTAACATTAATGTATTTTACATAAGTACTGGGGCATAAATCATTGTTGCATAAGAAAACCATTATTTATTTCTGGAGATTACCTCATGAATCACTAACAATTGAGCAGCTGAAGCCAAATCAGTGAGTAACCCTCAGTGCTGTGTGCACATATTTGAATAAATGAAGAAGCTTGGTGATGTAATAATCCATTTCCCCCCAACATTATGTTGTGGGCAACTTTAGATTCTCCATATTTTTACACTTTCATGATCAAATAAAGAAAAAATATCTTGGATGATTGTAATATTTTTATTTTGGAGCTGATCACACAAATATTCACATTTCTGTCGGCACCAACAGGCCCGCTTTACATTTCTCTCCCAGCTTTTAAAGTTCAAGTCATACAGCTTGTGCCTGGGGTCATGTGACCTCCCCGGGATCATGTGAGCTCCCAAACTGTTTGATGCAAACATTTTAGCAGCACAGATTTTTACATTAAACTTGTAATAAAACCTTTTATTTTCCCGTTCTACTATGAAAAGTCAGCTGCATTGGAGTGGATGTAGCTGCCCCTCCGACCTGTCTGGATAACTGTCATTCCCATTTAGCTGTGAGGAAACTCGTTCTCTTTCACTTTGAACTGCAGCCCCTTCAGGAGAATAAAACTCACACAGTTAAACTTTCACTAGCCGACATTTCCCATACCTGCAGGATGAACTGCCTGTGGAAGATCAGCTGCTTTGGAGTGCAAAAACCTCTGTTAGAAGTTTGCTCAGGAGAAACATTCCCAAAGAGGCCAGAGACAGATGAAACATATGTACACGTGGAACTGTTCTAGATAGCTTTAACAGAACGCACAAATGTATTTACATCAATCCACAAATTATGGCATTAAATGACAAGAAAATCAACACAAGTTGAATAAAAAGTACAAGAACCATCACTTATGGCTGTTTGGGATTTTGAGATTCCTTTAAGAGCACATTTTATTTAACGTAAAAAAAAGTTTAAATAAATCAGCAAATTTCTGTAAACGATTCAAGTGTTTTCATTAAATTTTCTTCAATTGATTCTTTTGTTTTGGAGGTAAAAAACAAACTTTGGCAAAAGTAAATAAAAGTTAAAACCTTCTGTTGTGTTTTGGATTAGGCGTCTTTAGCTCAAGTATTACATTAAAGCATTTATACATTTAGCTTCATCCTGCTTCTCAGACACAAATAAATAGCTCAGTTCAACTCATAACGACAAACTCCTAAAGCTTCATTTTTACAGTTCTCCTGTCTGTTCTTGTCTGTACAACAATCACACTTAAACCCTGACAGAAGGAAGGCTAAACACACAGGAGCGACGTGACACCAGGAGGCGGGCAGAAGGGTCGCAGCGCGTCGGCAAGTGCAACGTGGGCCGTCGAAGGTCACTGCAGGTAGAGAAGCGTTTATTTAGGAGGCAGCGGGTTTTCTGGGGTCGACGGGGTCGGAGGCTCACTGTAAAAGTTGTCGATGTGCTCCTTGTACATCTTCAGCACCACGGTCCGTTTTAGTTTCATGGTTGGACCTGAGGGATGGCATAGATTAACTGTTAAGACAAATGTTCTGGTCAGTTCTTCATTTAGCTGCAGTTCAAACTTATCGAATTCTTCCTCAGTAGTGTTTGTTTATCAAAAAAAACAGTGCTACTACTGCGTGTTTTAGGTGTTCCTCTGCTCCCAACACACCTGACTCAATGATTCAATCAACTTTTCTGCCATGTCCTCAAGGGGCCAATCCCAATACTCGCACTTCCACACATGTGCCCTTCAATTGTGCATTCAAGTCCAGGGGTGCGAGGGTGTAGGGAGTCCCGATTCTCAAATGCGGAAAGTGACCACGCCCCTTTTACACCCTTGATCTGTATTACCCACAATCCATTGCTGCGTGGGAATTTTGATAAGGCGGAGCAATGGCTCAATTGCCTTTTCTGAAAATCTGTATTTTCAAATGAAATGATGATGAAAGATATTCAATCATGCTCTGAACGCTTTGGACTAAGATTTAATCGGGACAGCAATGAATGTAAATGTAGTCAATTATTTGAATGTTGTTAATAAAGATTTTTTTAACGTAGCACAACCAGCATCCCAAAGACTCAACGTTTACCACATAAATTAATGGACAAATTTACAATGGATGGAGGCAAGTATTAGAGCAGCTTCTGCAAAAATTGGGATTGTTATAATTTTTTTTGCATCAGTTCAAAGACACTAAACCACGACGGCACTTTTCAAAAATCTATTTTTAGCGCTTTTGACAGATTTGGAAAAGGGGAGAGAATAAAAACAGCAATTTTCCAATATGCAAGATAAAAAAAATTTGTTTTGTTTTTGAGTGTCGTATCATATCTACTATGATGGACAATAGAGTATGTACTCTATTCTTGCTTCACCTCTATTCTACGTTTCAGCTGAACTAAACTTCAAATAGGTGATAAAGGCGACAGCAGGAGGGTCATTCAGCACAACATCCTGTATCTGTCTGTCACCTACCCAGCTCTCCTCCAGCGATGGAGAAGTCTCGTTCCAGGACAAGCCACTTCTGGATGCGCTGAGCGTTGGACGTGGCCTTTTCGTTAACTCGGTTGATCCCTTCCTGAATGGCGGTGTGGACGGCGCGGTCCCGGCCTCCAGCGATCTCAGAGACTCGTGTGGCATTGCTGCCCAACTTCCTGCAAAACTCCACCGCTTCTGGCAACAGCTCGTCCTCGGGGTTCCCCGTCTCTGCGTTAATATCGCACTGCAGGGGTGAGGAAAAAATAACATAAACCATTACTCTCTAATCTCAACCTTTAAAGTGTTTTGTCGTTGCAGCTTCAAGCGTCATCACAGAGAAAATTATGATTTTTGCCATGTAGATTTTAAACACACCACCAGATGGCAGCACTGGCTCTTTGAAACACCAAACATTTTTGATTTCTAATACTTCAGTCAGATACACTGACTCCTTTAGAGATTAGATTAAAATACTAACATTTATCTGTATGAGGGAGTTGTGTCCTCTGTTATGATTAGCGTGTGGCTACACCAATACATCTCCTAATCGCTCTAAGGAGACGGTGACATAAAAACATCTCCTGTAGGCTCTCTAAATATTCACCTTAATGGTGAGCAGCATGGACAGAAATTTCTTATTGTCTCCGATTAGAATGGCGTTGCTAATCAGCGGCACAGCATCCTTCACTGCGTCCTCAATGGGGACAGGTGGGACGTTCTCACCCCCGGCTGTGATGATCAGCTCTGCAGGAACGCAAGTCAAACAACACAAGTGTGTAATTAATTAGGTGGACGTGAAAATAAAGATTTATCTGGACTCAGGGAGCTTTAAGTACAGACAAACCTTTAATTCTGCCGGTGATGTAGAGCAATCCCTTCTCATCGTGTTTGCCCAGGTCACCTGAGTGCAGCCAGCCCTCTTCGTCCAGAGCCTCCTCCGTCTTATCGGGCATATTCAGGTAACCCATGAAGATGTGGCGACCCCAGAAGCAGATTTCACCATTTCCCTCTTCATCAGGGTTGTGCACCTTAGTTTTGCATCCTGGGATCTCTTTACCACAACTGGGAACAAAAAACAACAATAACAGGGATTTAGGTGGCTGTTTTAGAAGGCAGAATAATTCTGCATCTCAAACCAGCAGAGAATGAAAAAAAAAGACACCTGGTGAGTTTGAAGGCCTCAGGGTGAGAGATGGTGTGAGGCCCGGCACTCTCACTCATGCCGTACAGTTCGTAAAGAGGAATATTAAGGCTGAGGAAGAACTCCAGAGTGTCTTTGGTGATGGGGGCGGCGCCCGTGTAGCACTTGGTGCAGCGGTCCAAACCCAGAGCCTTACGCACCTTCTTGAACACAAGCTTTTTGGCGACGTGGTAGCTGAAAGGACGGCGGCCGGTTGCAGAGTTTCTGAAAGGAGGACAAAATGTGAGCACTGAACTCGAAATGGGAGGTGTTCCAGCAAATAACCTTTTTTTTAAAAAAAATGCACAATTCAAAGATCCAACCCCCTTTCTTCAGACAACCCCCCCAAAAGTTGACCCTTCAGAATGCAAGAACGCAGAATGCTTGTTCCAACGTGTTAAAGTTTACATTTTGAACAGTTATGGACACTGTTTCTGTCAGATTGCCTTAATTAACGCTCCTATGCAATCTTTAGCATGCTAGCTAAATTAGTGTGGTGTTTTTATGGTGAAAACTGAGGAAGTCTTTAGCTTTTTAGCTCAGTGCCACCAAATATCTGGAAAAACTTCCAGAACCCACTCAAAACCTCCTCACGCAAAAACAAACACATACACGGGTTGCCAAAGCAACAAACTGACACACAGCTCTGACAGCCGACAGAGGACAGGCTGCGTTCACAGACAACAGGTCCATCACATTAACATTTCCCAACAATCGCAGAACCAGCCTCTAAACATAGCATGTAAAAAAAAACTCCTTAAATTAGAATGGAATATTCTGTCCATTACGCTAGCTAACCCCAGCTCTGGCTTCACCTTCTGTTTAGCTTCTCCAAGATGACAATGTGCAATTTATGCACATGAGGGGTATGTGCAGAGGGGAGAGGGATGGATCAGGATCCAATCACTAAGAACGGGACATTCACAATGACTGAATGAGGTACGTTTCAGAGTCGATTATAAGTATTCATATTTTTATATAAAACATTTAATTGATTAGTTTACATCAGTGTGTGAAGAGCATTTCAAGCAATATGGCAAAAATGCTCTAGATAAACATCTCCAACTGCAGCTTTAGTGTGAGGCAACACTGAAAGCAGAAGTACAGCACCAGCAGAATTCTCATAACAACAGGGGTTTTTTCCCAAGAGAGAACTACAGACAGCACGTCAAAGTAACAAAAGATGTGAAACAGGAATTCTCCATCCTATAAAGAAGTGGTTAAAAGTAGATTGAAAATTGTGACAAGGACATACTGGTTCATCCTGGTCAGATTGCTCTGAAGACCAACATCTTTGGCCCAAGCAGCCACTTTTCTGCGCACAGTTGAAGACTTCGCTCCAACGGATTTCATCCTCTCCTGCATCTTCTCCCAGACTCGAGGGACGCCCATGAAGGCCGTGGGACGGGCTTCCTTTAAAGTGTTCACCAGAGAACCCTAACAAAACACATTAAGATCACTTTTATCCCCCAATTCATACAAAAATGATCATGAAACCAAACTAAATGAGACTTTTGCAACCGCAATGTCCTGGAAAAGAGGAAAAACTTTGTGTAGTAGTCACATATCACTTTCAGGGTACCTCCATCAGACCGATAAACTTTTATTTAACATTTAAATGACCGTTTTTGGTCCAACACAATGTTGAACTTATATCAGTATCTCTATGACAACTGAGTCGAGCAGCCACTCACCTTCAGGGCATCCGGATCAGCAAAGTAGGTCAAGCCCCCGACCCTCATGACGATCCAGATGTCCACCATCTGAGCCGCGATGTGGCTCAGTGGCAGATAGCTGACCACCACCTCCTGACTCTGTGTGGCCTCCGTAAGTTGCACGTGTTTGCCGGTAGAAAGTGCCGTCCAGGTAATCTGAGCAGAAAAATATGGGATTGCAGGATTTATGGAACGTTTAGGAATTAAGTAGTGAGTGAAACACTCGGCTGTTGATGTCAAGCAGGCGTGGATCTTAAAATTTACATTATCGTGGCTCAGCATGACTCCCTTGGGTTGGCCTGTGGTCCCTGAGGTGTAGATGAGTGTGCAGCATTGATTGGGCTTCTGGCTGGCGATGATGGCATCAAGGGGCGCGTCAGGCTCGTCACGTCCAAGCTCCATGAATTCCTGCCACTAGAACCCACCAAAAACACCACTAAGATTATTGTGCTTTGATTGTTTCCATCTCCCAGAACACCAGGGCTGCTCTTACCGAGTACAGGTTTGGTCTCTTCTCTTTTGGGGAATCTTTGTACTGGACAATAGCTTTTAAGTGAGGAAGCTTGTCTTCAATCTGGAAACAAAAACAAGACAATTAGATGAGTTAATTTTAGTGATGCACGGAAACATCCATACACTGAAATAGCGTGATTTTTCATGTTGTGATACTGAATCGATTTTTACTGAAAATGTACATGGAAACACTTAAGTCTATATGTGGTGCAATTCAAATTCCAACCGGTAGGTGGCAGCAGTTTTTAACCACCATTCTGACTTAGTGTTAAAAACGGCGGATATCTTCTGGCGTTTAGTATCGCAATATTGTCTCTGTTGTGATGTACATCATCACCAGATTCTTGATCCTCTTCCCAACTTTAAATGGACATTTTTCTCCAAATACCCTTAAAGGACACGAACACGGTGAGGAGCTACTCGCACAGATACTCAAACATATGCACCAAAGAATATGGGAATACTAGAAGTTACCTCCCACAATGCACTGCACGAAAAAAATAAGCTTTTGTATGCTAGGTAAATTACGGGGTTTTTTTTTGCTGCTGATTTGTTATTTTAGCGTTTCATGTAAAATAATTTAAATGAATTGAAGTGAAATGGATACATTTACATATTAATTTTAATCACATCTCTTCATTCATTCTCACAAAGATTTATGGCAAAAACAAAGATTTATTAGTGGCACACACTTCATGAAGTGAGACCTTCTCAACACCACAGTAGGATAAAAGTATGAAGTAATAGTTTTAGTTTTTGAACAGATGATCAAACAGCTGGGATAACAAAGGCACCGGGCAGCATCTGCAGACGGGCGTGTGTTACGGATGCTAGGGATGCTCTGACCGCAGCTGCAGAACATGGCAGTGGCTCTGCTTGTAGAGTTTAGTCCTCCTCGTCTCACCTGAAGAATTTTCTGCAGCTGCTTGTGGTTCTCCACCACAATGATGTTGGCTTTGCTGTTTTCTGCTACATACTGACATGCCTCAGGGGAGTTGGTGGTGTAGATCCCCACAGCAAACCCACTGCAGGAGACAAGGGGAGGTCAGAGTTAGCTCGGCGTGTCGCCAGATGCTAGAATGTGTCACCGAAATACCTCAAAGTCATAACCCGTGCTTTGTTTTTTGAAATCAACCAAGAAGAGTGACTCATCTGGTTTAACAGGCTCACATTCCTCTGGTGATTGAGCACACGATGTGTGGGAGCGTGTCAGTGCACACACAAGTACTATGATGCGTGCTCAAGTTAAAGAATAAAAAAGCTTTTATCTTAGAAGTCATGAGAAACGATGACGTACGGAATTGTGTGATCAGATTGTCGACCCTGATGAACTCTGAGTTTTATGTGAGACATAAAAGCTGACTGAAAGTAAAATGAAGCATTTAAATCCCACCGACACGCTCCAGATGTGTGGTGATGCAAGAGGCTTAGCAGCTGTAGCTGAGGCCATGACCAGCCAGTGTGAAGGTCCTGCTGGGTTTCAGCTCGTTGAAGGACACAGTTTGGTGTCATTAGTTCAAAACAAAATGGAGGATTTACTCAGATGTGATCTGTTTTCAGATCATTACAAGCAGAAGGGATGCTTTAAAGAAAATACCTGATGAATAACTCCAAACAGCTCGAAAAGTACATTTTTAAGGACAGTTTCTTTGATTTGATTTTTATATGAACTAAGTAGATTATAAGACAAAAATAACACAATTTCCTCTCTGAATTTGCTCCAAAACGGAAGATGAAACTTCAGCAAGCACATACAGTAACTTCTTCTCAGCTGAAAAATGAAAGCGTCTACGTGATAGGAAGCAACGTGAGGTTGTGTTCTGATATCATTCAGGAATGAATGGCAGGAATGTAAATGTAAACACCGATGCTCTTGAAGCTCAGAGCGCTTCAGACATGAAAAAACAAACTCACCCGGCCAAAATGGTTCCGATGTCAGAGATGAACCACTCAGCTGAGTTGAATCCAAGGATCCCGACACCATGATATCGCTGCAAACCGAGCTGCAGAGAGACAAAAGCATGTTTCAGCTAGAAAGACGCCACCTTTACACAAATACTGATAGGAATCCTTACAAAACACTTGTCAGTTAGATTTGATACGCATATCTTTCACCATTTTGCACAGAGATGTTTTAATTCTCATCTAAAGCATCAAATTCTGTTCACTGAATTGCATCCTAGAAAGGAGTTTGTCCTTTTTCCAGGAACGTTTGGAGCGTTTCGCCCTGCCAGCAGCACGCCAGCCGAGCCACACAAAGATCTGTGTTTCACTATCCTTCACTACGGAAGAACACGACAGTCAAATGTGCCTGAAACCAAAGTGATGCAAACTGGTGTCTAAATTCAAAATAGTGCTGAGTCATGCTAATGATTTAAAGTCACAAGTTAGAATCTAGTACAAGTTTTTTTTTACCTTGATTTCTACAGAATAAAGCTCAATAAGAAATAAATCCTCATTTTCATGAATCGTAAAAAGCTGAACATAAAACAGTAGTACAGAAGCATAACATGGTACAATGTCAAAATTGGTAAAATAATAAATACTTTTAAAGCAAAACAATATTTTATTTTCTTCAACTTGGACACGTTTTAATTTAGAAACACTTAATTTTAATTTATGTTTAAATTTTTTCTTTTTAGTTATTTATTTTAGGAAATTTGTCAAGACTGTTTTATTAAATTTGAAAAAATTAAAATTTTTCATGTTTATAAGTTCTGATTAATCTGAAACAGCTAAAAATAACAAAAACAAACAATTAAATCATCCAAAACAAAAGTTTGGCTCCCAGGAGATTAAAAATAGAAGCAGGAGACATTTCTTCTATTTTTTGACCTGATTGTTAAAGGTGTGGAACACTCGTTTAATCGGTGCATTTGCAGTCGTCTCTAGTAGAAATGAATACCTTGTAAGACAGTCGTACTCTGGGGGGGGGGGGGGGGGGGGGGGGGGGGGGGGGCCAGAAATGTCCGTTTCAGCACGGAGAATTCAGCTGGAGGAGAAAATAGCTTCAGATGACAGGGGTTTGGAGTCTCTCCACTGATTGGCTAACAGCAACACGACTCTACCACTGACTTGCAATGTTGACATTTTATCTCCACAAATAACAAGCCTGGAGGAGTTCTGTTGTGTGGTGGAGTTGCTAATGCTAACAGTTAGCTTCTACTAATGCTAACAGTTAGCTTCTACTAGCCGAGACGTTCTCTGCTGTTTTCTGGACGCTAAACCAACAACAGCCTTTCCTGTCGTGAGTCAAGATGGGGGAGTCCATGAGTGTTAAGTGACAGTGTGATGTAGATCTGTCAGGATTTTCTAATCCTAGAGTTTCAACGTATATTTTCTATCAAAATCTAATGCAGGAGACAGATGTAGGAGACTTTTTTCATGTTCAGCCTGCATGAAAAACTCAGAGCGACTGATTATCATCAGAAATAATCATTTAAAAAAGAGTTTTCAGTGTTCCACACCTTTAAAATCACCCAAAGGATCCGACCAAAGAGTTTAAGAGTTATTGAGATAATAAAAAATGTCATCTCAGTGAGATTAAATGTCGTCAAACATATAATCTCAAGGTTTAGAACATTAGATTGAGATAGCTGGTGTGTACATGGGTTAAGACAAGTGACTTCTGATCTGATTAACCGATTATTTAGTCAAGTCAAATCTATCAAATGGTACCAAAGAACTTTTTCAGACTAAATAATGTCTTAATGAGCCATTTATTTATTAAAATACTGAAACACTATCTATTATCATGAAAAGACTTGGTTTTCTACAATCTTTTTGACTGATTTATCTGTACATATTATTGTTACGATGACTTGTTTTGTCTGTCATGAACAGATTATATCAGGAAAGAAAAAGGAGAGAAAACTACCTTTAGGAAGCTCTTAGCAGCGGTGCGGCAGGCCTGGTAGTACTCTCTGTAGCTGAGGGTTTTCTGCAGCTCCCCCTCTTTCCAACTCAAAGCCGAGTAATCGCCAAAACGTTCCACCGCTGATGTGAATATCTGGTTTACAGTCACAGGGGTCTCAGCAGCTAGACCAGAGTCGCCCATCCTGAGTTTCACCTCTCCGTCGCGCCGAGTCGTCCACAGACGGACCTCTGCTGACGGCGGCACTGACAGCGAGTCCGGACGCTGAGCGATCACTGAAAGATGAGAAAAGGAAACCATCTGTTATTAGTTCCAATGAAAAAAGGCCTCTCTGATCTACAGACGTTAACAAAATTATGGGTGCCTTTTGGTCAATGAAGGAAAAACCCACAATGGTCACAGAAATAACTTAAATTAGACAAAAGGCCAAAGTTATCAATAGTCCTCACGAGCCACAAAAAGTTGTTATTTTTTTCATTAAAAACATGCAAAATTTATTTTATGATTAGTTTTACTTCTCAATATTAGTAAAGTTTTGAATTTAAATGTTAGAAAGTATCACTCTACATCATCAACCTGCTAGAGACTAAATACATCCTTCTAAAAGACTATTACAGCAATATTATTAGCTTTTATCCTTTTGCCATCATTTAAAAATGTCAAAAGTTTAAATTCTAGTTAAATCCCTAAAATCTGTTTCCTTATCTTTAGATAAAACTTAGTTACATCATCTTCCGTTACCAGCAGAGACAAGAACTCAGACCCACAGAGGTGGTTTAATGGCTGATAGGGGAGGTTGGATCCTACAGTAGCACAGATGGCCCAACCGCCAGCAGGATGTTTTGAATATAAACAGGTGTCACATTATTAGAGAAGGAACAGGTGCTGATCAGTACTGTGACAGGCAGGATGGGGAATCTTTTTCTCATGGAAAAAATCTGCTCATAAGTAAATATTTCCCAGTCTAAAAAAAAAAAACCCTGATATTTCATTCTGAAAAATACTAAATCCCTGTTCTGGGAACCCTTTTTGACTTTTTCCACCAGATCATCTGAAACAGATTACACGACTTTCTGTGAGTGACAAAAACAGTAAAGAATGCTAAGAGTCGAGTTCCTGGGAAGGAAAGAGGAAATGAAGTTTGTTCTGACGGAGAGATTCTGCTTCCTCAGGAAAAAGCGCTCAGCCATGAGTGCTGACTTCAGCACCTCCACATCAACCCCGTACACACGTTTAACATTCCTGAGTCCGGCATATGACTGCATACTAATTAATGTAGTTTAAACCTGGCAGCTCCACCTCAAACCAAACAAACGCGTGGCGGATTTTCTTCGAGCCTCACCCTGTGGTGCAGCAGTGGCTGCTGGAGTCTGGGAGCTGCTGGTCACTGCGTCCTGAGAAGAGTTCTCCTCTTTCTCTCCTGTGGACTCCTCCTCAGAAGACTCACTAAAGAGCAGGAAGGGGAAAAAGTCCATTTAAAGTCCAAGTTATGGGGAAATCAGAGGCTTTCGCCATCATGATAATTTAATCCCAACCCGGTTCGGACCAAACCACTGATAAAAGCTTTACTCTTTACGGTCGCTGAACTGTAGGAGTGACTTTGAGTTTCAGACGTCTGCAGAGAGAAAACCTGTTTATAACAGAAGCAGGTGAGTGTTGACGTACTTTGCTGTGTCCACAACCTCGTCATCAAAGGACGCTGCGCTATCTCCTGCACTGCAGGACACCAGGAAGCCTGCTGCATGAGGAGGCTCCATCACCACGGCTTCAGACGTGGTCGTGGGCTCACAGGCGGTCACTGAAAGAGAAGAACCAAAAACTAGTAAGTTAAAAGTAAAATGGTCGACGATGACAGTAAAATAAGAGATACGAATCAAGGGTTAAAAGTGGAATTTCAAAGTACAAACTAGAGGTGTTGAAAAGACGACAACATTTATGTGACACGGGGGAGACGATCCGATACCCAAAGCTGGACCATATTTTTTAGAGTGAATTTAATTGGAAAACTCAGGTCAGATACTTCCAAGACACATGCAGTGTTATGGCGAGATCTCGTTCCATCAGAATAAAAGCGGTAAAAACTCCTGCCACCCCACAGAAGAAATACTGTAAATATGCAAGTTCTCGACAAAGTAATCAATACTGCTTCTAAATATTCAGTATCATAACACAGAATACTGCAATATTTTACGAACATTCGTGGTACAAATTATACTAAAATATGTCATTTTAATAATATTTATAGTAAGGATGTTCATTTTTTAAATATCCATATTCGGTAAACTGAAATGGTCTACCTTCTAATTTCTGATATCGATACCAGTACATGCAGGATCTCCAAAACATTTAAGGTAACCAACATCACATCTTAAACTTTAAACTTTATCTGTGCAAAATAGTTGTTCCAAATAAACAATATATCTACAACTAGACCTCGGATCTGTTGTATTTAGCGTGAGAAGGGAAGTTAAACAAGAGTTTGATGTGTAACACATGCATGGTATGTAAAAGTTGTGTCGTTAAAAACCGGTACCTATCATTTCCAATACTACATTTAATGCCAATATCCTCCCAGTCCCAAATGTTAATTTTTTTTTTTTTTTGCTTTTAAATTATTTTTCTCATCAGTGAAACATCTCGTTTTGGAGCATCTAGAATTAAACTATTCCTACTGCGTTAAAAGTCTTGGCGCTGACATTTGCACACGTGTGTTCTTGGTGAATAGTGTTAAGGTCATTAGCTGTACAGTTAAACCAGCTCACATCTAAGTGTGCCTTGTCATAGTCCACTAGTGAGCTAAAAGTCAGGGTCACGCGTTCTTCCGCGTTTTGATGGCGTTTAACCTTCATCAGACCTTTAGAACCGGTCTAAAGTCATAAATAATCTGACTGATCACCAAATGAACAAAGAAAACGAGGAAATGTGATGCATAGGTGTATATGTGGAAGTAGTTCACTTCTGAACAATAAACCAGCTCGATCAGATCCCCCACGCAGGTCCACGCCCCTCATTCAGACCTCTGTGGCTGCTGGGCAGGGACCCTGCCTCTTGTACTCATCAGAGTTTTGACCTGTTTGTTTGTTTGTTTGGTGTGTTTTTTTTTGGGGGGGGGGGGGTGACTACACATACCAGTGTGCTTGTTGTGGCAGGAGCTGGTCATAGCTAATCGGTCCTGGGTCGGTGGATAAAAAAGGCCTCTGAAGAGGTCAAAAGCAGGAACAAGAATCATTTTCTTTTTCCTGCATGAGTTTGACTCACAAATGCTAAATAAAACTTCTGATGGATACAACCAAACACCGAACGGTGCCTGAAAGTAAAACCTAAAGGTTAAGCGTCCCACTGACCCCTGTCGGAGACAGGTCATGTGGTGAGAAGTCTCGAGTTTTCAGATCTTTCTGGAAACTTGACTCGTGGTCCTCTTCCTGCAAACGCAGACTCTTCTGGGAAGCGGCTGTGGGTGGAGGACGGCATGTGGGGGGACCTCAAAAGACCCCTGCCTCTCGTCTTTCTTTGTCATGGTCTTGGGACGAGGGGGGGACTGGGGCGTGATAGTCCTCCCAAAGAAAAGGTTTAGTGACTCATAAACCTAAAGGTCTGTAACATCAAATATCTACGCCACATATAGAGTCAGAGACTCAGAACATGCCCTAAGGTTACTTCTTACTTCCTCATTTACATCACTACAGGAGAAAAGCCACCTTCACATGAACCGATCACATTTAGGATCAAATAGAAATGCCCGAGATTCCACCTCAAAGCAGCAGCCGTCTCAGAAGTTAATATCTGTGATCGCCTTGATAAAACCGATGCTTTAAGGCATTTAATCACAGTCTGCTTGCTGCTGAGAAATATCACTTCCTGTTTTTAAATTCTATTCATTTCAGAGCTAAACTTCAGCCTTGGGATATCTGGAAGTTTCCCCTTCAACCAGATCTTCTAAACCAAATGGCCTACTCACCATCACATTACTAACGTACATCTACTGACTGGCTGAGACGTCGCTTAGGGTTTTTAGACAGATTTTTCTCATGTTTAAAGAGTCTCATCACATTTCAGTGACCAAACTAAAAAAAACATGTTTGCAGTCTGATTGCTTTGCACAGAAAGGACATTTTTCAAGACGAATCGTCTGTTGGGAGTTAGCAGTGCTGCGCAAACTGACACAGTCCAACACTCAGAGGAGGATTATGACGATGGGAGGATAGACGGGCATGGCAACAGCTGATCTATTCAGAAAGGAAAATGCAGCAACTGCTAATCTGTGTTCATTCAGAAAGAGGCAAACCTATCTTCTCATCAGAGCTGCACTTGCATCTCAGTATCTAAAACAAAAGCAACACATACTATTTATATATAAACACATATGATGCTTAACATGATCTGGATCCTCAGGATGCTGCAGCACTCGAGTGCATCTTTATTACACCATTATTTACCATTATTACACCATTATCAATGTTCTCAAATGAAATGATTTTTAATCTATTAGTCTGAATAAAACGCTGCTGATGTTTAAGAGACGTGAGCTAAATGACAGCAGCAAATTTACAGCGCTCTGCAGCAGGGTTACACCCATCTACCACTGGGAGGTCTACGGATGGTCTAGAAACCGAGCTTAAAAACTCTGATGTTCTTTAAATCAGATGTAGCACTTCTACGACATTATTACAGCTGATCTCAGACAAAAAATATTATTTCCTGTGAAAACGGGTCAGCGTAGTGGATTGAAGAAGACCAAGATCAGCCCTACAGAAGATCCTCATCCTAACCTCTCTCTAAGTGTAATAATCGGTAAAGAGATGGGTGTGTGATTTTCTCACAGATCTTTACTAAATAGTTTCATAAATAAAATTCCACAAGAAAGCACTTCCTCCTCCAGCTCTGATACTCACGTTGCATTGTTGGAAAATTCTTGAGTCTCTGGAGCTGTTTTTTAACCGGAATCGTCTCCTTTTATCCGCTTTTGTAAAAACGTTTAGCTTCAGATGGCCGCAGAACACACACACACCAATACACACACACACACACACCAATATTCCAAGCAGCCTCTGTGTCTACAACATGAGGCAGCATACCATTCATTCAAACCATTCAAACACTAGTAGCTGGCTCTGTTGGCCCCTCCCTCTGAAGACCCCACCCAAACAGGCCTGCTGGCTTCTTCCTGCAGGATCCAGCCCTCTCATCCTCAAGCCTTCTGATTGGCTGAAATCTCTCACACCACAAGACTCACTATCCACATAAGGGCATTCAAACCAAAGGAAGGAGGTGGGGGAAGTCTCTGTGAGGAAACACACACAAACACTCTCTCTCTCTCTCATCACAGATGATGCTATGAAACTGAAGCCCATCCCCCATGAGAGGAACCAGCAAACATGATGCAGAAATGCCGGGTTACTGTCGGACACCTATGCAAGTGCAGCTGCGCCGGCTGAGCTTCAGCATTCAGAAAATTACAACCTGTGACCCAGATTATTAAAACTGATGCAGATTATTTGATTACAGACTTCCTTAACTTTTTATTCATACATTTCATCTGCACCATATTTTTTACATTATTTGTCTTTTTTGTAAAAGAAAAGTCATCCACACTTGAACTTTTTGAACACAAAGTGTTAGCAGAGATCAGAAGTGTGACTGCTTTAATCCGAGCATGTTTGCTAACCTAATTTTAACCCATTTTCTAAAAATCAGCTGTCAAACAAGCTGAGCCTGTACTTCTGGTTTCAGTGAGGTCGTAACCTGGAGGGACGAGAGAACAGCAAAATACCGTACCACTAGGGAGGAAGCTAATGCATGCGTTACAACAAATGAACTGAGATTAACAAAAAAACAAATTGTACAATTTAAAAAAATAAAAACTAACAAGAACAGCAAGTAAAAGCTTGTTGTAATCTGATGAAGCAATTTCACTTTAAAACTACATGGCTACAAATGTAAATACGTTGCTATTTACATAATACAGAATTTGCAACTTGCAAATACACAAGCAGTGCAAGATTTTCTTTTTTTAGGTCATACTATAATATTCATCACCTTATTTCCCATAAATCTATGTCGGCCCACAGTAGTTCAAGTATTTAAAAAAAGAAACAGGAAAGAAGTTCATTCTCTTCTCAAAACTCATTAAAAATACATGAAAAATGACAAATGACCCGTGCTTTTATGGCACCTTTCAGAGTCAGAGGACTCCAAAGAGCTTTACACTACAGTGTATCATTCATGTATTCACACACTAATGAGCTACAACGTAGCCACATCTACCCCGGGGCTCAATGACTTAGGCAAGGCTGCTGAGCACAGGCGCCACCGGTCCCTCCGACTACCAGCGGAAGGCGAGGAGGGTTAAGCGTCTTGCCCAAAGATGCAACAGCAGCAGGAGCCATAATCGAACCTGCAACCTTCCAATTGCTGAACAACCCTCTCTACCTCCTGAGCTACTGCTGCCATTAAACCTTACTATTCATTTTGTAACAAAGCTTAAAGACCACGTTCACTCGTTTTTTCATCTCATCAGCAGTGGTCTCTAGTATAAAACCAATGCCTTGTGAGTCTATCTCTATTGGGAAAAAAGCTCTGGCACTCCTGTATAAGGAGGTGGAAGTGAGCCAGAGGCGTGGGGTGTTGTGGAGTCGCTAATGCTAATGATTAGCTTTTACTAACCAAAAACAATGACTGATGGAGAAATCCTCTGCGCTTTCACCTGTGAGCCCAGTGGGCGGTACCCACCACCACCATCTTGACTGTGTCATGCATCTTGTCACTCCCAGAAAAAACAAAAATAGAGTTCTGAGCAGGACTGTGAAGGTGGGGGCAGATGATTGACAACCAACAAACTCTGAGTAAATGTTGCTACAAGCTAACCAAAGCTAGAAGAGAATGAAGGACATTCGTTGCCACAAAACCAACGTTACACAACTCTGCTACCCTCTTACTTATAGGATGAAGTACTTTTAACATGAGGCCTCCCCTGGAGAACGCAGAAGGCGAGCCGCTACTGCTAGCAAAGATGGCTCATTTGCTACCTGTCAATCAAATTGACACACCCCTAAGTATTCATAATTTCAAGCTTTAAATACACATAAATGGATGAGTTACTAAAGAAATTGCCCACCTCAGAGTTGTCATGACGGGAAACTTGACATATTACAACTAAATTGTTTGTTTTTCAATCAGGCTGTGCATATGTTTACATATTGGGGGGGCTGTAATTTTTTTTTTTACTTCAGCGCTGGCTTCACTTTTGTCAGGAAGAGTTTAACCGAGACACACGCTGCTCTCTCCTGAACACTAAATCAACAGCAGTCTTCTGCATCACGAAACAAGATGGGTTGGTCCACAGGTGCTATTTTTTTTAATGTGACGCGCAATTAACTGGCTTTTGAATCTGAGTTTCCCCAGTCTATTTTATATCTGCGGCTAATGCAGGAAATGGGGTAGAAGACTATTTTCACATTTAGCCTGAATGTTAAACTCAAGTGACAGATTGCAATAAAAAAACAAGTATAAAACAGTTTCTGAGTGAACTTGGTCTTTAAAGTTTTAATTTGAAAAAACAAATGCATACAAGGTAGATAAGATACAGTGATTTTTTTGTTTTAAAAGGCAAGTCTGCATTCACAAAAATTTTTTGTAAATGTTCTAGTTGACATGAAATTTGCTTTTAAAGATCACTCTTAAAAATAGGTTATGCGTGCAGATGCTCACATGACCTCGCCAATGTGTCACCGCTGCTCTGTAGAAATCATCGACATTAATATAGGTAGAAATACAAGTCTCAGCCAATCAGCATGTGAGGCCAACAGACGGAGCCACCACACCACAGCATCATGTGACACACAGAAGCTCAAACGCTGATTCAGTTCACCTAAACAACTGATGTTGCTGCAGGTGCCGAAGCGCCCTAAGAGCATTTTTTTGGTAGCTGACATCCTTTCCACCAAACCCATATGCAAATGTATATCTAAAAATATGTTTAACATAGAAAAAGCAGTTTCGCCGGGGACACACCGGCCGTCGAAGTGCCGGGAGCCGAAGCGCTCACGAAATTTGGCCACTGCTCCTCAGTTTAGACCAGACGCTTGTTTCTCCGCTTCGGTCGAGGCACGCCTCGTAGTTTTGCGATGTGACAAAAGGAGATTTTCTAATCGCAAAGGCTGCAATTTGGCAGCGAGTGGTTAGCGCAATGCTAATATACGTGGAAAAACTCATAGGAATGCTAATGCTAATATCACCAATTACATTATTACAAATTATGAATTAGAAACGTGCCAAATGATTACATTTGGAGTCTAATAGAAAGTAAAACTACCATCAATCAAATAAGTACAGACAGGTATTTTAGTAAAGCCAGAAAACTTTTAACTCCAGAGTTTTGGCTAGCAGCTATGAGCCTAAATGAACTACGCATGGACAAGAAGTCAAAAACTAAACACAAAATACTTCAATAAACGGGACACACTTCTTTCCTGCAAATACAATTTCACAGGTGTTGCTAATACCTATGATCCGCCAAGGGATGTGCTCAAAGAGGAGTTCAACATTATGAATACAATATAGTGTTTTATTTTACAAATACCATTATAAACACAAACTTGCGTCTTAATAAACATTATTTTAATAACGAAACTGCTAAATTCTTTCCAACAGTATAGATGTGTAGTGTATTTTGTCCGAGTGGGTTTGCCGTACTTTGACGTCATCTGCAGTCGAAGGACCCCGAGCCGATCTTGCACCCGAGCAAATCTTGTACCGACCATCGGTATCGACACAGGCGCGCGGCACTTCGGAGGCCCATGAGCTCTGTGCAGTGCAGGCAAATAGGCTGCTCGGTTAGTGCTTCGTTTGTGCTGATTTGTCCAGGTTTGTGCTGCTATGGTTTCTGAGATATTAAACTTTATTCAATTTGATGATGTCATCAATCAAAAATAAAACTTGTAATATCTCAGAAACCATAGCAGCACAAACGTCAATTTTACCTGCACAAATCCGCACAAAGCACTAAAAAAGTAGACGTATATGGTCCATTTTGGAGTAGTCTGGGAATATGATGATGTCATCATGCAAAAATAAAACTTGTAATATCTCGGAAACCGTTGCAGCACAAACGTCAGTTTCACCTGCACAAATCAGCACAAACGAAGCACTAAAAAAGTAGACTATTATGGTCCATTTTGGAGCAGGGGGGGGGGGTGAGACTCTGAATGACCTATAAAATAACTTTTAATATCTCAGAAACCATAGCAGCACAAACGTCAATTTTACCTGCACAAATCAGCACAAACAAAGCAGCCTATTTGCCTGCATTTTTGAAGCTGACGGGGGTCAGCTTCACAGAGCTTGGCCCATGTGGTCAATAGGAGGGTGCCGAATAAAGGCGGTCCCCGTTTTGCGGCGCTTCGGTGGCCGGTGTGTCCCCTGACAGTTCTTAAAAGCGCCAGCCAATAGAAAACAGCAAAAGTCATCAGGATACTGAATAAATCTATGTTGCTCTGGCAGAGTTTGCCCAATGCATGATTCTGCTTTGAAGCAATTCTTTCTTGGACTTTGTGTGTATTTTCATTTCAAGCAAATTTTGATTTATAATACTACTGTATTTATTGAAGTCAGCACATTTACTGCAGCAGGAAGTGGACATCTTAAAAAAAGGTTTTGACAATGAATATTAGTCCTTAAAAAGTCATTTTTGTTCAAAATGTCTTGATTATAAGAACCTTGTGTCACCAAAACAGCAACAAATCACCAGCCAAAGTTTCAAGTGTCTGCATTCCTTTCTCTAACAATAACGTGGTCAGAATGCTGCTCATCCCGCTTTTAAACCAGATAAACCTGCAGATCTTGGGTTAGCCGGCCTAACTCTACTGCAGGGTCAAAACACTGTATGAGTCATGCATGCAGACTCTACCATCCTTATAGTTAGATATTATATAAACAGAAATTAACTAAAAATATTTTATTGATATTAGAATTAGTCTTATTGCAAACTACTACTGCTAATACTTTTATTTAATTTGATACACATGTTTTATATAAAAGTAAAATCACTGATAGAATATGAATAATTAAATTTATATTAAACATTTGTTTGGTTGTTTTTTTTGGGGGGGGGGGGAATGAATGTATTATGTGGGGTTAGAGTCTATCAGTTGCTTATAAAAAATACTTATTTCAGATAACATTCAGAAACCAAAAACCGGAAATAGAAGTCAAAAAAGCCCTTGGGAGTTGTAGTTCTTTAATGCTAACAATCTAACGAGCTAAGTATTTTCTTTAAAAGAAAAATGTCCAAATGTTAAAAGATAACATCTTCAGAGAAAGTACCAATGGTCGCTAACGTTGTTATGGTGGCAGGGAAGTTGGGAAACTCGCGTTTTGATAGTTTGAGATTAAATTATTTTTAAAAAGTCGCCTACAAATTAGCTTAAACCAACGCGTTGAGATGGGATGAATCCACCTGTCAGAGACGACTAACACGAATAAAAGTGTCTCATAAAATCAGCGAGTTGAATCAGTCACGAAAAAATATGGAGATAAACTAAAAAAACAACATCAAATTCCTAAAGGTTACTACATGCCACCTCCCTCTTAAATTAAACAATATTTAAAATGCAGAAGAGTTCAGGTCACTCACCGGAATGGCTCTTTTCAATTGATGGGTGTGTGACTAGTTTAAAACCTTGGCTGTAACTACCAAAGAAAAGCAGAACCTGCTGATACGATGGATCCAACTGTCACCTTTACAGCTTTAACACTCCCACTTAAACACTGACCTGTCCACAACCAGTCTGATCAGATCTCACTTTTAATGAATGAATCCTGAAGAAAAAAACGTGAAATCCCGAACATTTCACCTCCAACTAAGATGTTTTGTAAATAAAAAAAGGCTTAGTTTGGAAGTTATGGTGTTTTAGATATTGGTAAATAAAAAAGGTAGAAACAATAAAATGACAGTAACAAAACCCAGTAAGACGAAAAACAAACCGATAAAACCACAGAAAAACTAACAAAAAATAATGGTTGGAGCAAAAGCTCCGTGCACAAAACCAATTGAACCAAATTTAAATATGATAGTAAAAGTTTAAATTGCATTTAGATCTGAAAACTTTATGCTTGTATTTACCAATCAAAATACTCTGGCAGAGGACCTTTTCTGCCATCTTGCGGTAACCAAACGTAACTACATATAAGTAAGAAATACTTGAATAGAACTGAATAGAATAGACTTTATTGATTCCCCGGTGGGAAAATTCACTTGTTACAGCAGCACCAACACTTAAGAAAATAATTTGAAGAAAACAATAACAAAGTTACATGTATATACAGAAAGACAGTAAGCTATTATTGTAACTTTTGACCGCTAAAAACCACCAATAAAAAATGAAGAACGTGGGTTCTAGAACATAGAATATACCTACGATTGAAGTTAAGTTTTAAAGGCATACTAGAGATATAAACACAAATGTAACATTTATAGGGAAAATGTTAACATTGGTTTTAAAACAAATCAGAATCAGAGAGATGTTTATACCTTTAGACTAATTCGATATTTTTTGTCAGACTTAGTCCTAATATTATTTATAGTCCCATGCATGAAACAAATTATTTTAAAATGCGTTAAAATTTAATCTATTTATGAATTGACTTTTCATCCATAATTTTATAGTTCGTCATCGCCCTCTAGTGGTTAAAGTTCGAATAACGTGCCTTAACTGGGCGGAAAGCCAAATGGCTCGGGTCCCTCCCTTACGTGAGAGTGACGTAGCCGTTGAAGGGTAGCAACAGTTGCCTCGAGACCCTGTGGCGCTAGTGACTGTAGCCGTGGAGACAGTTACTTACCAACGGGCGCAACACTCATCAGCAGCAGCAGCATCTGGAAGTCGCCGAGCGAGTGGGGGAGAGGGCAGAACTTTTCTCAAAGCAAAGGTGAATATAAATATTATGCATCATTTATGAGCCGAGTTAGTCTCGATTTGGAGGGGGACAGCGTTTTGGTTTTCCACAACTTCTTTCTCTTCTGGCGTTAGCCCCAACAGTTCTCTTCCTTCAACAGGCGACTTCACAATGTCCGCCGGGGATTTATTCTCACTTCTGCCGCAGACGCATTCCTTACAAACTGCGTTATTATCGTTACTACAACTCCAACATGTTTTTTAACGCTGTTAAATGTGTGTGGAGACGTGAAGGCACTTCCAGTTCAACAAGCCCTGCTGAACGGATGGACTCAGGCTTCTCCCAGTCGAGGGTAGCTAATGCTAATTTGGCTGTAGTCATGGGTGCAAGTTCGCGTACGAGTTTCCGTCGTGTTGTCAGAAGACGCTCAGTCCGTCTGGTTGGGTCACAGCAGCGAGTATCAACTTTTAGTTCTGATTTTCAGAACTGCGCTTCAACAGGTGGACCGTTGGTTCTGTTGCTCCAAACAACGTCCGCTAACTCAGATCTCATCTTCACGCCAGGATGAGCTTTTTTGAGCGGTTTTCACTTTTCGTTTCTCTGAAAATAAACCTAAAAGGCCACCGTAGAGCTGTAAGAAATTAAAATGTTTATTTTGAGATTTACCTGAAGTTACATGAAACAATCTGCGTTTATCGGATAACGTCAATATCAAGGGGGAGCCGTTCAAAAACTTGTGATTAAAAATGTATCAATAACTTCAATAACAGGATAGGTTACAGCTAGGTGGTGCTGCTGGGTGATGTTTTTGTTCATTTTTGTTTTGCGTTTTCTGTCATTTTTTACAAATACAGCTACCTCATTATCTCCTGCATTTTACATGAAAAATAACTATTTGGTTAATAAATTGCCATTTCCCTGTTATTCATTAGATACATCCATTTATTTATATTAAAACTACCCAAATTATCTCATTGATGGCGCTGTTTGATCCCCTGGTGTCAATCAGCCACAGCTTTAAAGAGAAACAACAGATAAAGTAGACCCCACGTGATTTTAAGTTCCCCTTTGTTAGTTTTTGCAGTTTGTAACTCTTTTCTATCCTCCTCCTCTTTTCTTCTTTTTTGTCTCGGGGACAGGTTCTGTCAGACATTCATCAGGTGTTTGCTCATTCATATTGTGCAACATTGAAGCAAAAGAAAAACACTTTTTGGAAAGTCATCAATTTTTTTGTGATGCATTTTGTTCATCTCCTACAGGTAGAGATATAAAAAGATTCAGTAGATTTATTATGAATGAAAACCTGTTTTCTTAAAGAGTGGAGGGAAAATAGCTCCACATCATAATTGGTGTTTGTTTTCATACTTTTTAAATCCACAAATAAAAGCTGCATTTAAAGTATGAAACTTTTATCAGTCGTGTTTCCTTAACAGGATGATTCTGTTGCAATTGCGAACTCCACCAGTTTCATCTCCCAACATGAGCATGTTATGTTTACATGGCAACTTGTCATACAAATACACAGAAGTCATGGAAAGAAAGGGGGTTAGAAAGGTCCAAGGAGGGGAGTGTTATTGGTTGGGTTATTATCTTCTTCTCTGGCTGGAATGCATTTCTCTAATTCATATAAGCGCAGCAGAAAGAAGAGGTATCAAATCAAAGATACTTTATTAATCCCAGAGGGAAATCAGCTGATAGAACAGGCCTGATTCATGAGGATGCTGATCTAAAGGAGGAAGATGGTGTGGAGTTGGTCTTCATTCTTACTGTTACTAGCTTTGTTAGCGTTAGCTACAGCCTGATTACTTGTAAGCTTTTTCAATTGCAGTGTCAAGTGTTATCAGTGTTGGGTGTTTTAATGGAGCCGTGTATGCACAGATCAGCTGTCAATAGGACAGCTGCAGTGGTCTCCAGGGCAGCGGGTGACCTGACACAGCTTTTAGTCACGTGTGTGTGTGTGTGTGTGTGTGTGTGTGTGTGTGTGTGAATTTTAGGCATGTGAGGTGTTTGCGTGTGTTTGCTTGCACTGAATTTAGCCATCTTGATGAGGCCCACTGTTGGGGAGAGGTCTGAGGAAGGCATGGACCTGATAGCTGCGGTTTGTTTTTACAGGTGATCATACGGAGCAGCATTTCTCCTGCAGTGATGAGATGGCTTTTTGGGGGTTTTGTTCACATGATTGTCTGAAATTTGGAGACAGTTTAATGGTTTATCACGTAACTCCAGTCAAAAGCAGGTCAGGAAATCACAGAGCGAAACTTAAGAGCTGAGGGGGAAATTTGCCTCATGGGGCTTGTTAAGTGGAAGTTAATGTGCCATTTGTGCTCATTAAACTCTACAGATTCATAATCCTCACAACTCATTTGCTTTGTTTTCATTATTTTTAAAGTGATGAGCCAGTATTGGTTCAAAGTAAGACCGTGTGTCTTGCATTAAGATTTTGGTTTCTACTGCTAGGATACAAAAACAGCAACTCTAGTTACGGATCTGCTCCTGTGGCGGTAGCAAGCTGAAACAGGTTGTTTTTCTGCCTGGGTGTCATCTACAGCATTCCTAGCATTACACCTGTTTGTATCATAGCTGCACAACTGATAACTCATTTCCTGCCACAAACAGAAGACCTGGCAGTGATATTTGCATCACAATGCCCCCCCCCCCCCCCCCACACACACACACACACTCCTCCCAGTGCAGGAGTAGGAGCAGCAGACCCCTAGCCTGGCAAGCCAGACTAAATAAATGTATTATTTACTTTGCAAAGCAAGAATTTGGTCTAGTTCACTAGGCTAGCAGACCCCCACTTGCACCTCACTTTTTCTTTCTTTTGTAGAGTTTGAGGCTAGTTAAGCGACATAAGCGACGGTTGTTTAGGAATGGCCACATCAAAGCTGACTTCTTTTAGTGAGGTGTAATTTTCCTGAGTAGCATAGGAAGAAAGCTTAGCAGGATTTTTAGACTGGTGCTTTTTTGTTGGCTTTCATTCAGTGTATTATTTTTTTTTTTTACAAAAGCTTTAGCAGATTGGTTTATTCAGAAGCAGCTACAGAACATGCTCAGCATTGTCTGAAAGATAAATGTTCCACACAAGGACACTTCCTTTCCTTTAGCGTAGTTTGTTTTTTACTTCAGTTTTCACTTTCCCTGATCGGAGGTCTTCAGGCGATCTCACGCTCTGCTCACCACAGTTTGTAGTGTGTTCTGTAATTGCTGTCTAGTAACACTTTTTTCCATTTAGACCTCCTCTGAATTACAGTGTTGACAACCAGCTGGACTGATTATAGCGTCAGTCATTTTTGTTACATCTGGCAACTTACCCGTTCAGTCTGAAACGGTTTATTTTCCCTGAAGATCTCCCACATATGACATGTTTCATTCAGAAGGAAACCTGGATTGTGTTTTTGAAATTCTGTTATTTTTTTGGAATTAAAGTTCAGCCTTCATGTGGGAAACATGCAGAAAATGTGGGATTAGTCATCAGATGCTAACCCCACCTTATTTTCATTTTCTTCTTCACAAAAGTGCCAAAAAAAATCAGATCTAGATTAATGAGGATAACTGTAGCCAGCGTGTAGTGTAACCCACATCACTGATACTTCCGAGTCTGATGACAACCAGTCATTTGGAGCAGTTTTCCTGAACAACACAGACACTTGGATCTGTCTCCAATTTAAAGCACTAATGACTCATCTTGGAGGAGAGTCACGCAGTGATTTGACAGCTTAGTGTCCCTACAGTATGATGAGGATCCAGACTCCAGAAGTGCAACGCGACACTTATCTCTCGTTTATCCGTCAGAATCAAGTCAGGGAGCGGCCATCGTCAGAGCTCACCTCTTCAGAATGTCTCTAAGGAGAAATAAAACACCTGTTGAATATCATTCATGTTAATCTAGTGCAGCATTTAATATAATACATTATTTTAATTAACTTAAGAGTGAGTTTTTATGCTTTGTGTATGAAATAGATTAGCAAGAATACCAACTGTTACACGGAATAGTTTTAATTTACTCAAGCAGCCAGGATGCTTGAATGCAGATCATTCTTGCAGCTTGAAACATGGAAGATGAATAATGATAGAAAGGCTTGCCCACGCATCGGTTTACTCCGATTAAACTCCAGTTGTGACCATTCTGCCCCTGGTTGCCTCTCTTGTTTATTTCAATAAAATTATGTAGTTAACATCAACTCTTGAGTCTTCCACCTGAAGATGTGAAATGGTGTGAGTGAGGGCTGGAGGTGGGGGGGGGGGGGGGGGGGGGGTGAGTGGAAATTTGGAAAGGGTTAGATGAGGTAGGGAGTTGGGGGAGGAGAGCTTAGGCGAACACACAATCTCCATGGCAACAGTTTGATCTCTCTCTCTGTGGCTGTCAGGCTTGCAGTGCACACGGTGACAGAGTGGACAGGTTGTGCTGATGGCCAGAGGTGGTGGTGGTGGGAAGAGGGGGGGGGGGGGGGGTATTCTTGGATCAGAGATGGTGGTTGGTGCCTCTTTTCTCTGTCAAACACCCTCCCGCCCCCCAACTCTGCCATCTGCAGACCCCAAGAGCTGCTTTGATTGGATTAGCCATGAATTAATGAGACAGCCTTGAAGAACAGCCTCTGTGGTGGAAATCTCTCATCAGATCTTCATTTGCTCTTTGTGTGAACATGTGTCGCTGTGTGATCTCATCGCTCACCAAAACCACAGATTCAGGTTTCCTTAAATAAAAAAATGACTTGTTCAAACGTTTTACTGTTTATTAAGTAAAACTGAGAATCCCGACCACACCTGTTGCTGTTTTCTTTTTTTTAGTATAGATATGAGTGAAAGACTGAGGATTACACCTTAGCACGAAGCACGTGTCCTGTTGGGTTAGCAGCAACATGTGTCACCTTCAGGCTTTATTATTCAAAATCTCACTGAGCTAGAGAAATCTGCCAGCAACTCTGGAGCGATTAGATTGTTGATTTTTAAACAGAATTAAAATAAGGAGGCCATAAAGATATCCAGTCATGTTTTTGACAACTTAAACTTTCTTTTCTCTTATGAACGACACAAAAACAGACCAATTTATCCACACATGGTCAATGTGGCCACAGCCAGTAGAATGTCTGTACATTTCTTTATTCTAAGACAGCACCCCCCCCCCCACCACCACCACCACCACACACTCACACCCCCACTCCACACCCCCACACCCGTGCCTGAAATTAATAGCTTACATAGCATTTGTTGTTGTAAGTTTCTACTTAGCGTGAGATAGGGGAATCAGGTGGGGGGTGGGGGACATTGTTTGGTTTGGGAAGTATTCTGTTGGTTGCATAGCAACAGGCTCCTGGAAACAGGAGTGGACGGTGTTGCCACTGGCAACCGTTGTTGCTCTGCAAACAATGTGGGCCAGTGCAAACACGAGTCAAGACTGTGGGCTCCTGCTTTTAATTGAACATCTGCACTTGTTTTTCTCTGATTGAGTCGTGTCTCGGTTCGATAAGTCCGTGTCAGATGTTTAAATTTAGTCTCTAGTGTTGACGTGATCCAGTGTGGCGATAAGCAACAGCCTGTGGGGCTCTGAGGTTGTTGGAAAGTTTTATGTTTTTTTATGAGGCTTGTGAAACTCCGGTATTTCTTGTTAAGTGCTCATCTGGGATTTGCTTGGATCCAACTCTGCTATTAGATTTGACATGAAAAAAGGCGTTTGTATGAAGTTGTCTTTCTGTTGGAGGCAAAAGGCGGTGGGCCCGAGCAGCAGACCGTCCTGGGTATTGGGTCTGCAGCAGTGTGCTGCACCTCATGCTGAGCTCTACCTTTGTGCTAATCTGAGCTGCTGGTGGGGACTTTTAACCTTCCACCAACACAAAGTAGAAAGACTCTTCTAGCCCTCATTCCCTTTCTTCCTTTCTTTCTCCTCCAAGTCAATGATTTGGCACACTTCCCTCTACGTATTAGAGCCAGTGCTTAATGGATGAGAACATACAGGTCAGTGCTGTTTTTGATCCCATCTCACTAATGTCACCCGAACAAGCCCCCAGACTTGTCTTTGCTTAGAATGACAGAGAAAAAGTAAAATGATGGGGTGATTCATAACAAAAGTCTTTTGACTGATGCTTGAAGACTTCAGCAGCCTTTCTCTCGTCTTCTCCGTTGTTCTGATAATAGACTGTCAGTATCGGGCTGACACGGGCAACACAAATGGGAAGAAACATTTTGATGGGACACGAGAGGATTTCCATCTGTTATTGTGCTCTGAGCTGTTGGTTGGGAAACATCTTGGCGTTCTGTCAGAAGAAAACTCGATATGTGCTTATTGGATCATGTTTAAAGGCACATCAGGACTTCCTCCACAATATCATGGTAATCTCAGCTGGGTTGACCCACCTTGATTTCATTTACCACTTATTAATGACCCTAAACTGTTACTGTTCTAAACCCTTAGAAAATAGTTTAGTTCTGAGAAGGTTTATTTGCAGTAAAACATGGTCATCACTGTCTCTGAGGTATTTTTCACGTTCAAGACCGATTCCAGGACCTCGGCTGTTTGCCGTGTTGGGAACAGAACTTAAATGTGTTGGACGCGCTGACTTCTGTTTAAGCTATATGTTGCTCATCTGTTCATTCCACCCCCAACTTTGCCGTATCTCCTTCTCCCTTATTCTCATTCTCCTCCCCCTCTTCGCTCCAGAGTTCCTGTGCAAAAGCTTTATAAAATAAAAGGGGGGGGGGGGTGTCATTGTGGTTGTCATGGATTCCTCACCATGGCAACCGACAAACGTTTACAAAGCATTGAGGAATTTCCTCATATCAGCTGGATTATTGAAGCCCTCAGAGACCAGCTCTGATTTGAAACGTACGCTGGATCTCATCAAGATCTTAGCGGGGGCTGAAACCCTGCTGCCATTACCCCCCCATCATCTTCTGGTAAAGTGGGGAAGTTTAGAAGGTTTATTTTTTTTGGGCCTTGCAGTTCAATTCTTCTCTTGTCCACAGCTTTCTCCTGCTCTATCTTCTTTAGTCTCTAAAAAGAGCCTTTGTGTGGCTCAATTTTTAGCTCCCCTTTGCTATGCTGAGCACAGTCAGCCAGACGAAAGCCGGGTGGCGTTAGTGGCTTTGGAAGTCGTCCTGATGTCTCCGTGCAAACCAAGTCTCTGGTTAAAGCCAAAGGTGCCTCCTCTTGACACAAAGCCCCTGGCAGGTGCTATAATGCTCATGTTGACCCATAAAGGAGGCAAAGCATTGTTTACCACAGTTAGCTGTTTGTTTCTTTTTAAATGCTTCAGATTTTTTTCCATGTTATTTTTCTTAACAACACAATATAGGTACACATTCTTCTGTGTGTCTCATTCCCGTAGCTTTTCCAGAATGCAGAACTCCGAGGGAGGGTCAGACACCACAGCTGGTGTGGCGGCTCTGCGGACATCGTCATCAGCCCAGGCTCCTGTGGTCCAGCCGGTACCGGCCTCTCAGCAGGTAGAGTAACACCTCATGTGACAAGAGAAAGGCTTCACCCTTCCATCCAGTAGCTTTCAACGTGTACTTAAAAACCCAGAAGGTTTGTTATTTAGTAATTTATTTAATGGGAAATCAGGAGCTTGTCACACCCAGGCTTGCACTCCCTTTCTTCAGTTCGGTATTTCCAGTTGCACCATCAGATGGGTCTGCAGCTTCCACCTTCAGCTCTGCAGGGAGATTCTTTTAGTTTCTGTTAAACACTTGAAGCAGTTAAATGATAGGTAACAGGTTGGTGTGCATCCCACGTTATCTGATCTCTCACATTCCTGTTATGTCTCTGCTGCAAAAAAATAACTCAGAGCTCCAACATCAGAATCTTTAGAAGGCAGTCAAAACATCTGGTTTCATGATCTGGTATTCTTCTTCGTATGTCATCATGACTGTATGAATAAAATGTATTTGTTGAATCATAATTAGGTTTTCCCTGATCAACCAATCATTCTTGTGTGTGTGCTCATGTAGTTTAGACTAGCGTGTTTGTGTGTGACTGAACATGTAATTGAGTTATGTCTTGTATCCACACAGAGGGTGCTGGTTCAAGCCACAGGCTCAGCTCAGAAAGGAGGACAAGTACAGCAGCTTTCAGTATCCAGGGCCCAACAGGCCCCTCAGCAGGTACACAGTACTGTGCCTACCTGTTCACTTAAACAGACCAACACTCTCTACAGGCTTCTTATAAATACTCTCTAAACTATCAGAATGTAGCCAGAGATGTATACAGGGTTTCATTAGAAAACTGCATTCATGAGCTCAGCCGAAAACAAAGTCAGGAATGACTGGTTAAACTGAGAGGTTAAAGGTCATGTAGGGCTGGGATGATAATCCGTTTCCTGATCAGAAAAGCCCTTCGCTGCCAGCGTTTCTCACCATTTTTACTGTTTTTCTAAGTGTGACAGAACGTTGCGCACTGTGATGATGTCGACGCCAAAACAACCAAAACAAAGCGGAGACTCACCTCTTTTTATCAGGAAGAAGCCGTGCGTTTCGAGCTTTATCCGTTCTTCCATAATCCGTTGTTGAATTGTGATCCGCAGAAGCTTTTCCGGTTCACGCCTCACTTTTTTTACAGTAGCGGCCCAAAACGATCTCCTAACACATGGATTTTCTGCTTCCTGATCATGTGACATGTAACTTATGCGGATGAAGTTCAGCTCCAGAGCTGAGATGTCTGTTCTCACAGTGCGGGGGCTCGTTCCGATGCCCACACAGTAAAAAAAAATTGCAAATGACGATTTTAGTCGTCATTGGCAGTGAACGGTTGGATTTAAAATGACGACTTTAGTCGTCAATGGCAGTGAATGAGTTAATCGTACGATAGATGAAAATGAAGACGATTTTTCCAGCCTCAGTATATCAGTCTCTGTCAGACACATGACCTGCATGTCAACCGCACCCCCTTAGCGCCATTTTAGGTGTATGACTCGCGTTGCTAGGGGAAGCTGCAGCTGAAGTTGAAGCAGAACAAGAGTCAAAAGGATGGATAAAAGAACACGGATGAACAGATCCCTTACAGGAATAAACTCGTGAAGGAGGATAGGATCGGTATTTTCAGAAATGATAATCAGTAACGTAGATCTCTACGACCTCAAAGGAAACAAACGGAGCTCAGACGCTTCATTACTGCCGATAATATATCACTTAAGTAAGTTAAATAAAGGCTTAATTGTTGCATTTAAAAGGGTGTTCTTGCATTATTATGATATATTAGCATTTCATAAGTGGTTGTTTTGGTCTCGATAATGTCGACCGTATCGTTTATCGACAATAATTTGTTGGACAATAATATCGTCCAGCAAAATTTGTTATCGTCCCAGGCCTAAGGTCATGCATTTATTGCTCTCTAGACCTAAACTCAGATTTTGTTTTTGTTTCTCATTAAATTAGACTTTCTTTTGTTCCCTTAAAGATTTAGGCAAAAACAAATTACAAAGAACTCTTTCAAAATTAGAACGTTTTCCAACCAGTGCTGGAGCCTCCGATTCTCAGATGTCAGAGGAGGGTTGCTAGTTAGATTCTCCTCCTCAGGAAAAGCTTCTGCAGTAGCTGATTCTGGTCTTCATCTCTTTGTCAGAACCCTTTTTTAATATTAAGAATGATTCTTCTTTTCAGAAACATTAGGGTTAGGGTTATCTGCAGCTAAAGGCAGATGGGTCAACTGGACAGAAATATGGGAAAAGTTCAGGTTGCACCAGACCATGGGGAAGTGAGCAGCAGCTCTTCCTTTGAACAGCTGAAAAGGTTAAATGTCTATTAGGATGTTTGAAGGTGTGAGATGATGAGGTTTCTGGGGTGTCCTGGAAATTCCAAAGTGGTGTTCCTGAGGGCTTGAACCAAATCCCAACAGTTCATGCGCTTTTTCCCATTTAGTAGTTCATTCTTCACCAGTTGTCTGTTTACAGTGATGAGCCAGACGTCTGTTTGAGTTCACATCAGAACCAACTTAGTCATAGTTGTACTGACTTTAGTCAAACATACGCTTGAATCATGTTTCCATCTAGTTTTGTTCCACATTGTTGCTTTTTACATCTTTTTGGAATGAAAAATGCTTTTTTCTCCCGACTTGCATTAGTTTTCTCTTCATGCATGTTAACATCTGCATGTTTGCATGTTTTCCTCATTCTCAGGTGGGTTTAACATTGAGCACGCCTTTATTTGTACTGTTGATTCTTTGTGTATGCAGCAGGTGCAACATGTCTACCCATCCCAAGTCCAGTATGTAGGAGAAAGTGGAGATGCTGTTTATACCAACGGAACGATGTAAGCACGGCTATGACATTTCACACAACTAAATGTTTCACACAGATAAAATACATTAACGGATAAATAAGCACACCAGCAGACTGTTGTGGTAAGCTGTTTCATTTCTAAATGAGGAGAAAAAAGAATCCACTTCCTGCAAAATGTAAAAACCTGTTTGACCTTTAAACGACAGAACTGCTCCTCATGTTTGGCTCTGCTGTAATAGCAAGGTCAGTAATTACAGTATGAAAAAACCAATCATTCTCACCATTTATAACGTGTCAGCCAACTGTGTTTAAAGTGGCTGTAATCACAGCACCATTAGAGCAAATTCAGATTTGCCCCTCCTAGTTTAAAACATTTGGTTTAGTTCCAGCATGAATCGATATTGGTATGACAACAGTCACATTGTTGTATCAGATTAAAGCTGTTGTATTTGTGTAGCTTTAGCTTGATGCTAACGACAGCGATCTCTCCCCAGCCGAACAGCCTACTCCTATAACCCTGAGAGTCAGCTGTATGGGCAGAACAGTGGGGGGACCTACTTTGACTCTCAGGCCGGTGGAACTCATGTCACCACGGTGGTTTCCTCTGCCAGTAGTGGCGTGCCCCCCCATGGCATGGTTGGCATTGCCATGGACGTGGGCAGCACCTACCTGATCCATAGTGGAAGCATGGAGGGAAACCGCAACCACATATCGCACTCGTCACGCTCCTCCTCGGCTATGGTGAGCAACGTGCATCCTGCTGTTACTGTGGTAGGAAGAGTAGAGGGTTAAACTCCAACCACTGCTACCGTCAGCCTTAACAACTCTTACAGATGTTTTTTTTGCTCCAGCAAAAATATTGTCTGAACTCTAGTAGGGAGTTCAGACAATATTTTTTTATGGTAGCGGTTGATGTACCTGCCCTCCCGACTGACGACCGGTTTCCCAGGAACCTGCAACCTGAGTTGGGGCGTTGTACCTTTGTATGAGCACCCACAGAGGCCATGAAGCCCGCAGAACTGGGACTTTCTTAAATTATTCAACACTGCCTTGTTTCGGAGGTTTTCACAGGCACTTGAGCGCCCTATGAAACAAACAAACCCCTGGGGCTCATTACCATTTGGCCGAGAGCCCTCTGGAGCCTTCGTAAGGCTTGGAACTCTGCCTGTTTCTTTTTCCTTTTCTTCTCTGGCGTTTGGCAGCAGAGCCACATGTCTTTTCCTTTTTTGACTTGATTTTCTTCCACAGCTCCAAAGAAAATCCATGCTTCTATCATTCACTTCAGTGACTAGTTAAACTTCGTCATTTATTTAATTTTTTTTTGTAATCAAATCATAGAATATGTCTGAATATTCATCTTATTACCAACTTACTTTCTAATGTTTTTGGACGTTTGGTCGAGTTTGGGATGATTGACCTTCTGTCCCAAATCTGGAGGTGACCCGTGCCCCTGTCTGTTGTTTCTATTTGCATACTTTAGAGTGTCTGACCTCAGGCCTTCAGAGAGCAGCTTAACCCTATGAGTCCCTTGATTTGCATGCTTTTGTCAGCCAATAATAGATTTGGCTGCAACACTGACTGATTTTAATGGAAATGCAGAGATGTGGCTGCTCGCTAACAGTCTTATTTCCTTTATCCTTTTTTCCCCTGTGTTCTTGTTCTTTGTCCTTATATCCCTGCTTATTTCTGTCCCCTTCCCCTTTTCTGTTTCTCCTGCCTCCTCCCCCTTCTATATCCTCTGTTTTCTTTTTCTGTCTGCATGGTTCTTCTCTCTTTAGCTTGAAATGGCGATTGAAAACCTCCAAAAGTCTGACGGAATTGCGAGTCACAAAAGCAGCCTGCTCAACAGTCATGTAAGTCAACAAGGAACTTTCTTTGGAGAGGAAAGGGAACGCTGTGGCTGAACCGAGCCCCCACACTGCGGGTCTGAAAGTGAGGCCAATGCGGACATGAAATAAATTGCAGTTCCACCCTCATCCACTGGGGGCTGGTGTCAGAAGCGAGCAAGTCCTCATTGACTCCCATGTTAAAAATACCAATTTCACAGCAGAAATAAACATGTTTACAGCCTGGTACCAAAACATGTTTTTGGTTTAAATGATCTAGTTTACACTCATGACATCTCTGAGGGGGGTGAATTTTTTTCTCACTCTTCTGTTTAAGTGTATTAAAAGCCTAACATTCTGTATAATTAATGAGCATCTGACCCACGTGACCGCAGAGCTAGCTCCGTAGAAAGGCCTCAGTAGCCTCAGTCTGAGCCTCGGCCTCGCCTGAAAACTGTTCCGCGATTTTTAGTCTCTCAACTTAAACCATTAGTGGTAGCATTTCTGTATTCTTTTTTTGGATACTATTTGTGCAATTGTTGGACAAAATGACTTGCTGTGGTATTAATTGCACTAATAGAGCATCCAAGGAGTCTCCACTTCATTTATTTGGGTCAGTAAAATTATATTTATGTATTTTAGGTCACTGCCGCTTTTGCACTAGCTGAGCTTAGATTTTAACATGTACTGTTTAACCATGAAATTTAAATTTATTAGGGTAAAACCCAGTGCATTTAACATACTGCTGCACTTTAGAAAATGAGTTGAAATATAACTTGTTGGTGGAGCTGGGTTCCGACTATCGGTATGGTCCCCTCCCCGCAGCTTGGCGCATCTCTGATCGCAGCGGCGCTTGTCTGCTGCGCGGCTGCCAGCTTGCGAAGCTCTCGGGAGACCTCTGTGTTCCACCCGGTTTTACGCAGCGGTCAGCCCGGCGTACCTCTGACTCAGATGCTCCGGTGTTGTGCACAGTTAACTTCGGTTGTAGCAGGGTTGCTACCTCCGTTAGCTTAGCTCCCACCTCCACGTTAGCTTTGGGTTAGCTTGTAGCTACATCGCTTCAGTTCGACGGGTGTCATCATTTGATCCCAGCCTTACAGCCCCGCCCTCAGCTCCACCTATTTTCCCTTTTGTGGAATTGCCTGGGCTTGACGGAACCTGTGACACGTTCCCATTTTAACTCAAAAACGTGTTATTGGAGCCTATGGAAACCAGTTGTCCATATATATGTATGCCGATGGGCTGAACCGGTGGGCTCCATGTTGTTTGTGCTCCGCTCTGTTGAATACACTGCTAGCTTTAGCTCTGTCCCCCTCACATGATGATGCTTTCTTTTTGGTACCTGTGTTCACGCTCACTTTGTCCTAAAAACACATCTTACATGTTTACTTTGAGAAGCTGCATGAACTCGTGCTTCTTGATCTCTGTTATCTAAGGCGACATCTTTAGCCCCATTTTTCACAAATGTCTGTAAAATATTTAAAATGTTTTAGTGACTGAGATCAGACGAGCGCTTAACAGTTTTAATCTGAAGTACGGTATTTATATTCCCTCCCTCCCTAGATAGTTGGTGATAATCTGTTAGCTTCAGTCCCATCATGAGGCTTAAGCATATCTCTGCAGATACAGATGTAAAGTTAAAGTCCCATTAGTCATCATCGCACACTGGTGATATTACATCTCTGCATCTGACCCAACCCCGTGGGATAGGTGAGCTGCAGCTGTGGCCACACTCGGGAACTATTTGGTGGTTTAACCCCCAATCCAACCCCTTAAGCTGAGCGTCAAGCAGGGAGGCATTGGGTCCCTTTTTTTTAAAGGTCTTTGGTATGACCCGGCCGGGATTTGAACCGGGATCTCCAATTGATCTCCCAGTCCCAGGGCGGACAAACAAAAAAAAGTTTTAAAATGTTGATTGAATGGACATAAAAAGTAAGTGAAAGCAGTTTGATTGAAACTTGCACTTAAAAAATAAATAAATAAATAAATATGAGGTGGTAGGATTTCTGACAAAGTATTCTCCTGCAAAGTTTGGAACTGCTGATTTATATGGAAGCCCATTTCTGCTAGACTAGTAAGTCATCCTATATATGTAAGAACTCGGTCATGGTGTGGAGTCTACGGTTGTCTTTCAAACTGTCTCTGCACACAGTTGGATAGAGCTAGGACCAGTCAGAGCAACAAACAAAGTGACACAATCATCACTATGGAAATTTGTCCTGATTCCCCGTCAATACATCAACAAAGTACCTCTATCTGCCCAAGCCTTTAAGTAGAGCCCAAGTCAAAATCATCCAAAGACGCCATCTTTGTAGTTTTTCTCAGTCGCTTTTGTGCTAAGCTGGTAGAACGTTGTGATTGGCTTGACACAAAACTGTTCAAGCCAATGGTAGACCTGCTGAGACTCCAATGGAGCAAGACACCGACCTGCAGAGAACAATCCTTCTTACTTCTATGGTTCTAAATGTCTTTTCTACGATTCCATTAAAATAAGAACTCTTGTGTCTCATAGTTATGACTTAGCTATCTTATTATCAGATAGCGACGACATAATTATGAAATAGATACATTTTTAACCAGTGGCGGGAATGGGCTTCCACACATTGGGGTACATCCATGATTAACCTAAATATTTGCTCTCAAGTACAGAAAACGTCAATTTTTCTTATGACCCTTTTTTAATGAAGCATTTTCACTTGTACACACTTAAGACATTACCTGGTTTGACTTTATTGTATATTTAAGAGACTCACTCAAATGTAATGAGATAAAAAAAAACATTTTTAAAATTTTCAGATTTTTATTCACGCAGAAAAACATGCAGAGAGGATTCTTCCCCTCCACGTTAACCTCTGTTGTCTGGTATTTTAAACCTCCTCTAGGCGATGCCAAGTCTTTGGGACTGTGCTGGTACACAGAGCATGTTGTTACAGTCTGCATCTGCATTTATGAGAACTTTATTCTTACAAAAGTAATGAGTTTTACAGATGTTTGAACATCTGCTTTAGTCAGGCGTTTCTAATCCTGCAGTCTCTAAATAGCCAAAGACCCAAACTCAGACGCAGCATGATTCAGGAGGTTGTGTGAGGTGTGTGATCTGTGTGTTTGATATCTTCTCCCTTGTTGCCCAGGCGACTGACACAGACATGAGTTGAGACTGACTGATGGTGCAACTGTATTTTTATGTATATTTTTAGCTGCAGTGGCTGCTGGACAACTACGAGACGGCGGAGGGGGTGAGCCTGCCCCGCTGCTCGCTGTATAACCATTACTTGAGGCACTGTCAGGAACAGAAACTGGATCCGGTCAATGCTGCCTCCTTCGGGAAGCTCATCCGCTCTGTCTTTATGGGCCTGAGGACGCGCCGCCTTGGAACCAGGTAGGAAGAGGCTGCTGCAGATGCTGATTACTGTGACCCTGTTACTGATGTAGATGTGACACGTATGACCATGCTTACAGACACCAGAGATGTGCTGGTAGAGGAGAGTAATAATAGTGATTACTTTGGTGGTGGTGAGGAAAACTGGTTTTCAGGCTTTTCTCTCACTGTGTCCGTCAGAGGCAACTCAAAGTATCATTACTATGGCATCCGGGTGAAGCCGGACTCGCCCCTCAACCGGCTGCAGGAGGACACCCAGTACATGGCCATGAGACAGCAGCCGGTGCACCAGAAGCAGAGGTCAGAACTTGATGTTTTAAAGATCTCAGTCCTCCTCTTTTACTTTTTTTGTTATTTTCAGCAGTTGTCAGAAAATTTGGGCGAGATTTAGCATTTTGTTGTTCTTGATCTTTATTTGTAAACAGAATATTTTTTCTTAATTAAAAAAGAGGTCATTCACTCATATTTTTAATACATTAGTAGTGGTCTCTAGTAGGAATGAATGCTGTATAAGTCATACTCTGGGAGGGGATTAAATAGAGGTGCTGAAAAAAATCGATTCAAGTCTGAATCGGGATTCTTATTTATAAAAATTCAGAATCGATTCCAAGAACTCAAATATTTGGCACGTTACAGGTTTGAGATGCACTTTTTTTGATCTTTGTTAGGAGAGTCAGTACTCAGCTTACTTTTGTGGTCCCATAAACTGAGATGATTTATGTTTGACTCTGCTGATAAGAGGGCACTTGAATGTAATTTTATCCATACTCAGAAATTTGAGATATTCTCATATTTATTTTCCAAGTTGATAAATGAGTACTCAGGATTACTCACGTAACTTGTTTCTACACATACTTGAAAATTATTTGACCGTATTACTTTCAAAGCTACTGTTAGGTAACTACAGATTTGTTATATTTTACAATATAAGCCAAAATAAATGTTGCCTTTTGGTCAAAAGATTGCTTCTGTTTACAGTTTTAGAATCACTTTATTTTACATTGTAAATTTGCATTTTTGGAGCATGACCAGTTTAAAGTCAAATAAAAATGTCCCATAGCTTTAACTAACTTGTACAACAAAGTAGTTCATCCTGGAGCTGACACTCTTTGTTAATACTGATTGTGAATCGATTTAAATTGACAATCGAGAATCGATTCTGAATCGAATTGGCACCCCAAGAATCGGAATCGAATCAAATCGTGAGTTGCTCTAAGATCCACATCCCTAGGATTAAAGCTCAGAAGCGCCTGTTTCAGCATGGAGGAGAAAGTAGCTTCAGACGACAGGATTTAGGGTCTTATTTCCTGATATTTGGACATCTCACCTCTGACTGGCTAACAGCAGCTCTAATCTACCAATGACTGTTTGGACTGCAACATTGATGTTTTATCTCCACTAATAACACAAGCCTGAAGGAGTTCTGCTGTGTGGCAGAGTTGCTAATGCTAACAGTTAGTTTCTACCAATCAAGACGTTCTCTGCTGTTTCCTGGGCGTTAAAACAACAACAGCCTTTCCCGTTATGAGTTAAGATGGGTGAGTCCATGAGTGTTAAGTGACAGTGTGACGTAGATCTGTCAGGCTTTTCTAATCCTAGAGTTTCACTGTCTATTTTCTATCAGAAGCTAACGCAGGAGATAGGTGTAGGAGACCATTTTCATGTTCAGCCTGCATGTTAAACTCAAAGTGACCAATAATAATCATTAAAAATGGTTTCTCAGTGAAGGGCCTTTTTAATACTCTTTAAATCAATTTTTAATGTTTATTTTATCTTATTATTTTTTAACTGGCTCCTTTTCCATTTTAATTTCTTATTCCTCTGATCCAATCAAATGTTGGCGTATGTTTAGAGTAAAAAGCAGTACAGTAGCAGAATCTTCAGACCTTTAAATGGTAAATGGCCTGTATTTGATATAGCGCCTTCTAGAGTCCTGGAACGCCCCAAGGCGCTTTACAACACAATCCGTCATTCACCCATTCACACACACATTCACACACTGGTGGGGATGAGCTACAATGTAGCCACAGCTGCCCTGGGGCGCACTGACAGAGGCGAGGCTGCCGAGCACTGGCGCCACCATTCCCTCCGACCACCACCAGCAGGCAACGTGGGTCAAGTGTCTTGCCCAAGGACACAACGACAGCGACAGACTGAGTGGGACTCGAACCTGCAACCTTCCGATTACGGAACCAACATGCACAGCTCACCCTAATTCCTCTGCACAGGTTCAAGCCTCTGCAGAAGGTGGATGGCATGTCTGACAGCCTGTGTGGGAGCTCTCAGCACTGCAGCAGCACTCCGGAGCAGTCCATAGCAGCTCAGAGCCAACACCACCAGCAGTACATCGGTAAAGACAGGAACTGGCATCCCTACTTCCCAGTTTTTTACAACTGCCTTTGAAATTTTTACCCTGTTCATCCAAATACCCTGATTCCATCACATTTGAAACATTAATAACAAATGCCAGACGGGTTCAGAAATATGTTTATCAGATTTTTTGTAACAAACACAACAGGAGCTAACATTAAAGCTAATGCAGTTCCTTTTAGATCCTGTCCTGTACCTGTTTGAAGTTGTGCCGGTAACATCTATCTACATTTATTTATGCAGATACGTCTCACTCCTTGCCTCCGTTTCCCTCTCCCGACCTGGGCTCCCTGTCTCTGCCTGAGCGCATCAGCATGAGGGATATCAAGAAACTGCAAACACTCTACAGAGGCCACTGCGAGGTTAGTTCCATTTCACAACACGTTTCTTTATTAACGTGTGCATGTGAGTTAGAGTTCATGTTTCAGGTTCGTTATTAGTTGTTTTCAGAGCTGCATTATTCCCAGGATTCATCCAGTTCATCACAGAAATTAAGAGGGAAAATATAAACTCAGTTACATGTTGACTGGTACAAAAAAATCTTGTGCATTTTTGCAGTTTGTAAAGATAAATTGTATAATTCAATGTCAAAATTCAAGATAAATAAATATTAAAGGTCTCATTCACCTTTTTCCCAATAAATTTGCTGTGGTCTCTAGTATGAATGAATGTGTCGAGTCATTTTCAGTGGAAAAAAGCTCTGGCGCTCCTGTTTCAGAAGGTATAAGTTTGTCAGATGGTGAGAGAAAACAGGATTTGGAGTCTTGCTCATTAATATTCATGTTAGGGTTGGGTATCGAGCATCGATTGGAACCGGGACCAACTGTTAGTTTTTTCCGGAATCGTTCAAAGTTTTTTTATTTCGATTCCTAGAATGCCGACCAGAAGAGGAATCCGTGGCCAATATCCATGAAAAATAAACGCGATCTGCAAATTGTGATCAACGCTTTTCAGAGCTGATCACACCAGCTGTCTGTGTGCAGCATGAGTACCCCCCTCCCCCCCACACACACCCAGCGGCCAAATATAAACAAACACGTCTGCCGAACTTTTACTCCGTAATGTAAACTTTAACTCCTGCAGCGTAGAGGAAACTTGTTAAATACGTAAACATGGTGGATTTAATAGAAGCTTCAAAGAACAAACTCTGGACGGTGTGAGGTGAGTTTGTCTCACTGCAGAAATAAAAACACACACGGAGCGTCAGCAGTCGGACGTAGCCGCTCACCAACACTCGTGTGTGTGTGTGTGTGTGTGAGCGTCAGAAGGCTGTACAATAACCTGTAGAATAATTTGTCATCATGCTAGAGAAGCTTCTCTGTGGTGGACCACACCAGCTTCTGCCACAATAAATTCAGTTCATTTTATTTCAAACATATACATTCACCAACATTTCATAAAATCATTCCATGCAGTTGTTTGAAAAGGAGTAGGGAGAAGTATATACTTATTTAGCCCTACCCCCTCAGGTTTACATCCTCATCATCTCAATTTGAACCACAAAAACATTTACAATGCCTTAAAAAATAATTCTCATAAATAATTATTAATAATAATAATAAATCACACACAACGTTGTGAACATTTTAGTTTCCTTTCTGAACTATTTCTGTTGAGCGTTTTAATGTTTAAAATCTGTTAGATTGTTACTGACAGCAGCTACATTTAAGTTTCACTTCCTGTTCTGACTGAATGCTGCTGCAGCATGGAGGTGTAGTTCTCAGTCATCCTGGACGTGATCATCCTGAGAGTTTTAGCTGAAAACAGCTGGGCGTGTCTGGATATGCTGGAGACATTTAGCCTCTCATCCCAGAGGCTTCTTCCAGACTTTGGTTGTGGTCAGTGTAGCGTGAGGAAGTACATCAGAAACAAACACACGGGTTGTGCTGCAAGTCGTCTTCTTTTTTTCTCCAAAACATGTTTTTGTCTAAATGAAGGTGATGTTGTTGTTCATAGAATTAAAATTCATGTGGTTAGCTGGCTCATTTAAAACATGTAATGTCTTGAAAGAATCGGAATTGGGAGTTGATAGGAACCAGAATTGAAATGAGGAATTGGAATCTGAATGTTCAAATTCAAACGATGCACAACCCTATTCATGATATACAAACATCTGCCCTCTGATTGGCCAACAGTAACGTGACTCTTCCAATGCCTCTCTTTGCTCTTCTTTTTTGGGTAAAAAATGCAACGTTGATGGTTTATCTCCACAAATAAAGGCCTGAAGGAGTTTTGCCTTGTTGTGGAGATGCTAATGGTTAGCTTCTACTAGCCGAGACGTGCTCTGCTCGCTCTTGGACACTAAATCAGAACAGCATTCTGCGGTTGTGAGCAAAGGTGGGCGGAGCCGTGAATGCCAAATTTTCTGGCTCTTTCTGGCCCAATTGTTTTCCCGTCAACAGCTACCGCAGAAAAGCTTCACCTTCGGCATGAATGCAACTCAGAGTGACTGCCTGCATTTCAGAAAGAACAAGTTTGACACGGTTTCTCAGTGAACAAGACCTTTAAGCAACATTAATGTGTTTAAAACCAAACAGTTGACCAATTCCATCTTTGTGTAATGCGAGAAATGCAGCAGCAGCAGCTGGAAATTCCAGTGTAATCCCATAATGATGATGACCTTATCTTAAAATGATTGAGAAACCAAGCAGCAGCAGTGGACAGGTGTCCTGTTTCTAAACAGAATCTATGATGTAAGGAGAACAAGTTCTGGGGAAGGGCTGTATTTCACAACAGTATCTGTAGAGCACAACTCCTTCTCTAAAAAGTGCGGTAAATCGGAGCGCTGGCAGCATGAGGAGAAGAAACAATACGGAACATGAATTTGGGAAAGAATCTGCGATAAAAACAGTAAAGCTGTGGATTTATCATATTATCCCTGCCCTCCCCTTATCCAGCTTCTACACACTCCCTTTGTTCCAGTCGTCTTTTCATCTCCGTGCAGCTTTCAAGACATGCCAATTAACCTTTCAGCACGCTGTGTGGACATCTCGGTGTCTTTGTGGCGGGCTCCCCTCAAGCCTTTGTGTTGTCTTGTCTGAGGACAGGCACATGGGCTCCTGTCTTTGTCTGCCAACACATTTCTGTCACTTTCACAGCTCTCACTGCCTCAGCGTGTTTAACCATTATGCACTTTACTGTTTTCATCAGCGCTGACCTGTTGGGATGTTAGCCAGGAGTTTTTAGATGAAACAAGACACAGGAACATTTGTTTATTTCATTGAACTTCCATGTCGTTTAGTTCTGAGTGGTGTTGTTGTCCCCACTATTTGAGCGTGTATTTACTGATGTCATGGTAACAGCTGATGTCAGGACAGATGTTCAAGCCTCATTAAAGTCATTTAAGAAATGATTAGATGTTTAATGAAACGTGTGGGGTGGGGTGGGGGGGGTGTCATAAATCACTGCAAACCACCGGAGCTGTCGTGAGAGCGCACGGGAGTTTTAGATGGGGAAGCTCTGCCGCGGGCTGCTGATCCGTCTGACTCTGCGTGTTAGCACACGTCGTCTCTCTTCCACATTACTGTTAGTTATATTTTTTATTATTATTTTTTTTTTTACCGCGTTGTTTTTTGTGGTTGGGCCTAAAAAACGGCAGAGGGAAAAATGTGCTTCTTCAGAGGACACGGGTAATTCTTCCTTTTGTTTTGGAGCTCTCTGTTTGACCTGTTGCCGGCGGCAACTGTAAACACGGTTACCATGGTGACGGCCAAAGAGGAAGCAAAAACACAACACGTGATTGAAGTATACGCTGAAGTGTAACAAGACCCAGCAGAAAGTGGTTGTCCTGGCAGACAGAAAGAGGAGAAACTGTGGCAATAAGAGTAAATTAGAGATTTACTGAAGTGTTTAATCCAAGAGAAACAGAATTAGGATGAAATCATTTAATCTTTTTGAATTTGCTTATTATAGATCACTGCTTCCTTTTATACAAAATACTGTTTTACACAAACAGGAAAGAAGTCTGGGTTAACTTAGGCCACTGAAAGTAGGCAAAGCCCTGAGATACTGGTCAGCTCTACAAAAGTGATTGAAATGAGCAGAAGCATGAGAGTGGCCCACAGGATTCTCCCAGTGATTAATGTGGAAGGAGGTGTGTGTATGTGTGTGTAAAAAAGCCGGATCATTGTCTCACCAGGAGGAGAGGACCCAGGGTGAGCCAGAGGCGACCTGCCTGCCTGTAGAAACTTTGTGTGTCTGGTTGCCATGGTTCCACTCTGTGTGTTTTGACTCCCCTTCTCCTTATTTCCCTCCCTCGCTCCTCTCCTGCAGGCCACTTTGGACGTGGTGATGAATCTCCATTTTCACTATATTGAGAATCTCTGGCAAACCTTTTGGAATTCAACACCGCCACCTAGTGATGGGAGCACAACCATCCCCAGCAGGTCAGGTCCCACAGACAGGACGAGTCTTCTGTGTTAACTGCAACAGTTGTGATGTCACACCTGAACACCAACTGTGGTTTCTCCTGAGATTCTGATGTTTTTCTTCTCTCACTGTAGTGACGATGACCTCGAACGTGTGATTCCCAATGAGAAGCTGATTGCTCTGTGTAAATATGAACCTGTCCGACTATGGATGAGGAGCTGTGACCACATCCTGTATCAGGCCCTGGTGGAGATCCTCATCCCTGATGTGCTGCGTCCGGTTCCCAGTCCGTCAGAAATCAGTGCTAGATAACATCTTCTCACCTCTAAGCTGTCACATTCATGTTTTATAATATAATCTATGATTTCTCTGTGTAATCCAGGCACTCTCACTCAGGCCATCCGAAACTTTGCCAAGAGTCTGGAAGGCTGGCTCACAAACGCCATGAGCAGCTTCCCACAGGAGATTGTTCGCACCAAGGTTAATAAAAAAAAAAAGGCCCAGAAAAATTAAAATAGTTGTGTGTGTTTACTTTAATTATTTCTGGGTGGCTTTTCCCTGACGTAGGGGGCGGTAGTCAGCGCATTTGCTCAGACTTTAAGACGATACACCAGTCTGAACCACCTGGCCCAGGCAGCTCGAGCCGTCCTCCAGAACACGTCCCAGATAAACCAGATGCTCTCGGACCTCAACAGGGTGGACTTTGCCAACGTCCAGGTGAGCTTTCACAAAAAAAACGGTAACACGATGTTCAAAAGACAGATGAGCCAAGTGTGTCAGCCAGTGTCTGTTGTGGTTTGTCTCTGGCTGAGCCTGGGGGTGTTTGTTGTGTCCAACAGGAGCAGGCTTCCTGGGTGTGTCAGTGTGACGAGAGTGTGGTTCAGCGTCTGGAGCAGGACTTTAAGGTCACCCTGCAGCAGCAGAGCTCTCTGGACCAATGGGCCACCTGGCTGGATAACGTCGTCTCTCAAGTTCTGAAACCTCACCAGGGCAGCCCCAGTTTCCCCAAAGCTGCTCGCCAGTTCCTGCTGAAGTGGTCATTTTACAGGTATGAGCTGGGGGGGGGGGGGGGCACACACACACACAAGAGTTAACACCAATGTTCATAGATGCTTATTGTGGACACGTCTCTCTCCTGTAGCTCTATGGTGATCAGAGATCTGACCCTGCGCAGTGCTGCTAGTTTTGGCTCCTTTCACCTGATTCGCCTGCTGTATGACGAGTACATGTTCTACCTGGTGGAACACCGCGTGGCTCAGGCCACTGGAGAAACTCCCATTGCAGTCATGGGAGAGGTGAGAGCTTTGTTCTGATAAGGAAACATACATCACACTCAGGCCTCCTAAACATGAGGATTAATTCTCTCTGAATTCTTCCAGTTCAGTGACCTGAGCTCCATGATGCCATCACTCATGGAGAAGGGTAAGCTCCTCCCACTACTCTAGTCATCTCCAAGTTTTACAAACATGCAGAAATGTGTTGATTTTGCAATCCTCGCTTTAAGAAGACACCATGCCAGCATGGCGATGCGCAAATTTTGCGGCATTCGTTCCGCCTCGCTTGGTAGTAATATTGCGGTAACTGTCCATCTTATAAACGGTGATTGCGCCTTGGTGCAACAGAGGGAGGTATCATGATCACGTGGGGAGTTACTTCCGAGCTCCGGCCATTAACTACTATGAAAATGTACAATAAGTTTCACCTTTGTAAGCAGAAGCAGCTGAAATGATAAACTGAAGCGCTGCAACGCTCCTTGAGCTTCTCTCCGTTAGAGCTGGAGCTCATATCAGAGACCACAAGGGGATGGAGAGGAACAGACTCCTTTAGGAGCGGCTTGTCAAAGAAACTTAACAATTGTGGTTTCAGTCGCAGTAAAAATCAAGTTATGTCCAAGATAAACTGAGGTCCGCAGCAGAGCTGAGAGCGCCACCATTGCCCAATCTTTCGTAAAAAGGACACGATTGCGCCACATTACCACCACGGTCTGACGACTTCTAAACAACCTAAGCTTCTCTGATGCCGCCACGGCGTTGCGACAAATTGATGGCATTATTTTATAAAAATGACGTACAGTCAGAATGAGCAGAGATAAACATATTTTTCCCTTTTAACAATTTTCCAGCTGTAATGTTTAATCAGCTTTTGACGTAAAAACAGTTCTGAGAAACCCTGTGCTTGTTCTTTTTGAAATATGATTGGTCACTCAGTTTCACATGCAGGCTGAATATGAAAATAGTCTTCTACCCCTGTTTTCTGCATTAGCCGCTAATAGGAAATTGATGGGGAAACGCTCGGTTCTGCTAGTCAGAGCTACGTCACATTGCTAAATTAGCATTTATGGACTCATCCATCAAGGCTTACGGGGAAGGTTGTAGTTGGTTTATTGTTCAGGAAACAGCAGATAACGTCCTTGCTAGTAGAAGCTAACCGTTAGCATTAGCAACTTCACCACACAGCAGAACTCTCTCAGGCCTGTGTTATTTGTAGAGATAAAATATCAACACTGCAAAACAAGAGCCAGTGGTAGTCGCATTGCTGTTAGCCAATCAGAGATAGGATGTCTAAATATCAGGAAATAGGACATCTTTTGCTCCCCTTAGAACAGGCTCACTTCTGGTTCCTGAAACAGGAGCGCCAGAGCTTTCCCCCCCACAGAGATTGACTTACACAAAAGACCACTGCAGATGTGTTGGAAAAACGAGTGAACTTGGTCTTTAATGTTTAGAAACGTATTCTGACAGTGATATTGTTCGTTTCTGTGCCACCAGATACATCATTCTCAGACGATCTGAGTAACCTGGGCAGCGAGGCAGATACATCCAGAGGTCCCGCTGAGCCGGCTGTAAAGAGGGAAAGGATTGAGATGAGCCACCCTCTGCAGGAGATGTGAGACCAGTCTGACCAGTGTCTTCGTCAGGAGGGGTTCCTTCTCCAGCAGTCGTGTAAATAGAGAAGAGTGTTGTAGCAGCAGCAGCATCATGATCATCATCATCATCATCATCCCTCCCTTCTGGAGTTTATATAGATGCTTTTTTTCCCCTTTTAAAGACTCACAGGGTAACATGGATCGGATTCTTCTGTTTTTGTTGGAATTGTTAATTTCCTTTGTACAGTAACTTTTTATCAGACAGATAATTGGAGTGGTGGTGTGTGTTGTACGTGATTCATCTTTTTTGTTTTTAGCTGTGCCATGGTGTCCTTTTGAGTGCCTTAGATTTTTAACTCCTGAACCACCACTACAGTGTGTGTGTCTGCCCTTCAGCTGTGCCTCTACCGCAGTATGAATGTATCGTCTTCAAACCTCAAACATTCAAAGCACCTTTAACATCGATGGGGTGTTGGTGCGGTCTCCTGGTTGCCTCTTCAGCTCGTAGCAAACGTGTGGGAAAAGGTCAAAGAGAACAGGAACACGCAGCCTACAAACCCAAAGGACTTTTCCCTTTTGTCCTTCTCACCAGCTCAGCTGAGTTTCCTCTGCGTCTGGCTGCAGGACCTCACCATGTGGCAGGAAGCCGGGTAACTCGACTGTTAGATGTTTGTTTACCTCAATATTTCTGCTCTGATGACAGGAGGCAGGAACATTTTATAAAAAGCCACGGCTCTTTTCCATGTCCCTCCTGATCTGGTGTCAGCTGGTGGAGGATCTGTGAGCTGCTTTACTGGAGCAACCCCAGACTAATCACCGTAATGGAGACGAGATCCTAAATACCTGTTAGAGCTTTAGACCCGTGAAGCCAAAACCCTCCAACTAAAAGAGAATCTGACCTTTGACCTCATGCTGTTACTCAGATAAAGTCTTATATTCTGTGTAAATCAAATAGAAAATTCTGTGTCATTTGGGAAATTTGTGGATAATAAATTATATATACATATATCTTTATATGGTGTAGAGAGTGTGTGCTTTGTGGCCTTTCCCGAATCCTCTGATGCTGTACTTGTCAAAATAAACACTTTGATTTGTAACCAATTCAATTTGTTTCCAATCTGAACTGTTAAATGTGGAAAATTTAGTTGTTACAGTTGACGTCGCTGCCTTCAGAAAGCTAAACAGTCACAATAAAAGTCCTATTTATAGCGACTAATCTGATTTGACGATGTCATTTGTTTGGTTGTTATTTTTTTTTCGCCCTCTGATTTTGCTGTAGCAATGATTTATTTAAGGCTTTGTGTAACTTGTGCCTGTCACAGTAATTTGCCTTAAAAGTGCTTTGAAAAAAGTTATTTGTAATGTTTCGTAAGGCCGTTTTAGACTTTGGCGGAGGAATATTTTTATTGAACTAGGCTCTTACAAGTATACTGAACCATTATATGTGTGTATTTCTAAACCTGTTCTCGACTACACTAACTGGCCTAAGGACAGATGATGGTCTGTAATAAACTACATAGTTCAGCTGTATTTTGTATTTGGTCACAATGTGTAATAAACTGTTGTAAACTCAAAGGTTTGAACACATTTAATCTTTTATTTGAACAGAATCTCCATTTGGACCAAACTATTTTTATATTCCTACACATTGGTAGAGGTTCTTCAAACACGCTTCATTAATCAGGCTGTAATAAAGATACAGTATTTACATCATTTAAATAACCTGGTTTCCATGGCAACCCAGCTTTGGACTATAATGAGAGTCATAATTACAATGTATAATTGACAAAAATGTAATTTAGCTTGATACAAAAACAACAGACCCGACTCAACAGAAATGAGGTTTCCTACTGAAAAAAGTGAACAATGATACACACACACACACACACCTTAAATTAAAGGAGTAGAAGAATGATGTTGGTCCAAAAGCAGCAGGACTTTGTCAGTAGTAAGTGCACGTTGTCCTCCACAGCTGAGCTGATGTTGGGAGTCGAGGAGCGCCGTCTCACCAGGAAGTAGCTCTTGGCTCAGACACATAAAAGTGCAAAGTTCTCTGAATCGGCAGCGACGCGTCTTTCTGATGGTCCTCATGACGATTCACAAAGAGCAACCTGCGATGTACTTCCCTGTCAAAGAAATAAACACGACATGTTATAAAAGAGGGAAGTGCCCAAAGGTAGAACCAACCGTAGAGTCAATGGAACCAAAACTACTTCATGTTTCAATACAAAGGTTTATGTTCCAGCTGCTGACCGTTTCCTGGCAACATTCACTGAAGCCACAAGACCGCAGCTTATCCTGCGTCCAGCTAAGATTTTCCTTTGTAACGAGGTAAAATTAATTTAGTAATGAGTGCAGATAAGACAATGGTGTTAATTCAACTCTGAGCAAAGGAAACAAAACAAACTAGGACAATAATTTGCAAAGAGCAGCCCGCTATTTAATTCCTTGTCAAATTAGGAAAATAATCCATGTAAAAACAAAGATGTGATGCAAACAGAGAACTTCAACAGCTTTAATTTACTTTTTTCAATCATTAAAAACTATTTTAATCAAAGTTTGCTGCTGTAAATGCCAAACTTTTATCAGTGATTCTAAACTAAATGAAACTATTATAGAATGTTTGAAGCTCTGAGAACACAACAGTTAAGAATAAACTCAGGGAGCTTTTATTCCTTCTGACTTCTAGGTCATCTACATGTCTGTCTCTCTTTAATGCGACTTTATGGTAACAACCCTAAAAACAACAATGCAGGAACAAAACCTGGTTTCTCTGTTTGAGTTTATCACCTGTGGCGAATCTCTTCTTGACCAGCGACATGCGGTAGCGGCTGCCCACCAGCTCCACGTCCACGCCCGACAGTGAGGCCCCGGAGCCCACAAACTGAACAGCCAGGCTGGGTGGGGGGCCGCAGGGGGCCTCCAGGCACTGCCAGCTGGCACACAGAGTCCCCGAGCCTGACACAAATACAGAACTGGTTCTAAAACCATGGCCCCGTAAACCAGAACGTACATCTACATTTCTGCGTTCATCCTTCCCTACATCACCATCACAAATAAGTCATTTTATTTTGTCAATTTACAAAAGATTTGAACTTTACATAAAAGGAAAAGTGAAGGTAGCAGGTGAAGGTATTCATAAGCTTTAAATATTTCACTTTCCTTCAACTTACTAGAGAAAATAAGTTTCTGCTATTAAACATTCTAGAGAGATGGAGTTTATAAAATACAAGCAGCATTAAATCGGTCTAAATGAAGTCTGATTTCATTTATTCTACTCTTATTTGCTCTGCATGAGGCCGACTGGAGCAGCTGCTGTTCATAACAACAAAACACCTTCAGCTTCCTAAAACGCAAAAACCGAGGTGAGCAGAAAATTTGACATGACTCTGATTCATTGTGCATTTTCATTCTCACACAACTTGGACTGAAAAATAAGCAGTGAAGCGGAAAAACAATGCAGATTTAGATGATCTGGTTTTTTAACCCATCAAACCAAAGGGTTCAAAATAAAGTCGAGCAGCTGACCTTTGCTGTGGTTGGTCGGGGAAAGGTTGGAGAGTTTCCACAGAAGCCGACGTTCCTCAGAATTCCTGCACAAGCAGAAAGGAAGTTAGTACAGACTGACCTGACTTATCTCCATGGACGTAATTTTGAGGGGGGACAGGGGGGACAGGGGGGACATGTCCCCCCCACTTTTTCCAAAGTCAAGTTTTGACCCCTGCACTTTTTACCATCCAAAAACAATATTACGCTATATTAAATTGACACTGGTTGAGCTCTAGGACCAAGCGGAAAACAACCGTTTGTGTTGAAGCCTGTTTCCCATTAAAACATACTGTAAAGACCCCCCCCCCCCCCACCCGTGTCCCCCCCACTTCTAAAGTGAAAATTACGTCCATGCTTATCTCCACCATGTTTGTAGTCCCAGAACTTGATTCCACCGTCAGAAATGTTCGACCCAACTCCATCATTCCATTGTTTTTGTCAGTAAATAACAGTCTAACGGTTCCAGGTTCTGCTTATACAAATATAAACACATTCTCAGCTGATGTTTAATTTATGCTTCGGTTACATTTATTTGGTAAACAACAGCTCGGTCTCAAGAACACCCAGTCATCCTGCCTCCATCGCTGCTCACCAGGAGGCGGGCGGCTGGCACTGCAGGTCGGTGGCGTTGTGATCCAGAGGCAGCAGCACCTGGACAGCGGTGAGCTGGGTGGAGGGCGCGGTGGCGGGGCAGCAGTGATAATCCAGGGACACACGGGTGACCATGCCGCTCTGCTGACACTCAGCTGACAGCAGGAGAGGAGCCCGACCAGGATCCTGGGACGACACCTGAACAAACAATCAGCTGAGGGTCAGAAAGGGTTTTACTAACAAAAGTATTTACCTGATAACTACACTTAAATTTAAAGGTATTCCTTTCAATTTGAAGTTTTCCAGATTAAACAGTTATACAAAAATTTAAAATCATAAAGCAGCAGAACTCTCCTAAATCCTGACCTGATACTTGAGCAGACCGACGTTGTAGTAGGAAGCCTGAGGGTTAAGCTCCGCCTCTTTCTGAAGGTACAGCTGCAGAGCCTGCATGTTGAACCAGAAGTCTCTGGTGTCCGGGTCGCTCTGGGATGGATCACTGAGTGGACAGGGACACAACCAAAGCATGACAAATTGATAGCAGAGAGAATGGATCTGTGATGTGAAGAGCAGCAGACAGCTCACCTGTATAGCAGCTTCTGATTGGGCAGGAAGTGATTGATCCTGGAGATGTTGACCAGCCTGAAACTGAGAACAGGAGCGTTGGGATTGGCAGTAAAAATCCGGGTGATTCCTGCAGGGAAGGACATCGTTAGGTCGCCGATGATCTTCACAAGACATCTGAGGGAAGAAAGACACGACACATGAGATAAATGTTTCTTTGGATCTATTAATAATCTTTCATTAAACAGCATAAAGCTGTCGGCTTCGCAGAGACCTGTTGTGCTGTCCTCCTTTAAAGAAGGCATTGATATATTCCGTTATTGCAGCTGCTACAGGCCACGCCTCCTGCGTGCTGAGGGAAATGGGACTGGGCCCTCTGGATAGATGCACTGAGCACATTTAAAACACAATGAAGCATCGTAACAAACAGTCTGGCTGTGATGAAATCGTTGCTTCTCGTGTGGCTTACATGTTCTCTGTTGGTGGTCCTGGTGCTGGTAGGGCAGCGGCGAGGCTGGACCCACTCGGGCAGGGCTGGGTGCTCGGTTCTGCACCCCCCACTCACCCTCTCTGGCCTGAGGCCACTCGCTGGGACTGGAGGAGGAAGAGGAGGTGAGAGAAGGGCTGGGCTCCGGCAGCGGAGAGGAACACAGAGACCTCGACTGAAACACAAGAGTGGGACAATATGAAGACGGACGTCCCGAAGACGAGTCTTTAATCAGAGGTTAAAAAATGGAGCAACAGGGGACTCACTCGCTCACAGCTGCTGATATGGCCCGAGGTCCGCTTGGTCCGGGTCGCTCTGTGAGGAGCAGCAGCCATGACCTCAGATATGTCCGGTCTGTAGTTGTGTTTGGAGCCTTAGAGACACAAACAAAACTAATCCACACAGATCCCAAACTACAACTCAGACGACAGAAGTTACAATCAGAGAGGAGAACAGGGAGCTGGCAGAGCTGACTAGCACCAAACGTGACGATGCTTTACGTGTGCGGATTCAGCCGCTGCTGTCCTAATATCTCCAAAGGTTTTCCTCTCTAGTGAAGCAGAACTAGACCAATCCTAGACAGTCTGCCTCACCGCACCAGAGCCAGAGCAGAAAATGTACCTAATAGACTTAAACAATATAATAATGGCAGCTTTGGATAGATTTAAAGGCTCTGTAAAGCATCAATGTGAAGCTAGAGAGTGTGAAAGTGGTCAGGGGTTATTTTACATCTGTGTTAGAAAGCAGCAAAAGACCAGAGGAGATGACTTGGTACCCCTGTGAGAGCTGATACTGCAGGTGACCGGAGTGTTCAGATCCAGACAATCTTCGTCTTTATCTGTGGAGAAGCACAGATCTTCCTGAGGACCCGAATGCCTGGTGAGGGGAGGGGCGTTCCTACGCGGCTCGCTCTCTGATGAGCGGTGTTTCCTCCTCTCGCCGCCTTCCTGTGATTTGGAGCCGCTGGCCTCATTAAAGGGGTTGTGAACAGAGTTCCAGGTCATCAGCTCCTTCTTTGGCTGAGCTGATGGTAAAGGAGCTGAAGCTGCATCCAGTCCCAGTCTGTTGCTGGAGCCGCCATGCGATGATGGCATCGTCCCAGCTGCTGCAGCCAGTGACGACTGGTGTGTTGGACTGCCAATCATCGTGATGGCGAACGGGTCGTCAGACGTAACTGGAGGAGGGAGGCTGCAGTCTCGTTTCCGCTCTCGTTTGTTCTCCTTCTCTTTGCGAGTGGAGCAAGAGGAGGAGGAGGAGGAGGAAGGGGCGGGGAGTGTCTTTGTGTCAGCAAGAGGGATGGAAAACGGGTCCCTGCGAACTTCCTTCCCTCTGACCTCCTGGGACTGGCGAGCAGGCAGGTGCGTCCAAGCGTCAGACAGGTTTAACGTCTCCGGGGTGACAGTCCTGTCAAAAGCAGCGAAGAAGGGGTCCTCAGGTGGAATGTGTTTGCAGTTCCACACTGACGACTCCACCTCGGGTGGGGGGAGAGACTGAGGGAAAGCCGGGAACCGAACAGACGAAGGATCCACATCTAGGGGGGCGCGTGATGGATGGGACAAAGCTGCAGGCCATACGGTGGAGGAGTCAGCGTGAGGGTTAGAGCACGGCTCATGGAAGGCAGAAAGGAAAGGGTCCACGGGTCGGCCCAGAGTTTGTGTCTGCTCTTTGCTCTGAGACACCGGGGGCCAAGCGGCCCAACCCGTCAGCTCAGGGGACAGCCCAAGAGGCTGATGGGAGGGCGAGTCGAGACCAGAGTCCTCAACGTTATCCGGTGAGGAAGAATCGGAGGAGAAGGCAGCATCTGGACAAAATAGCAGAAGACGAAATCAGCTGTGATGTCTAAACCAAAAACAAACACAACATTAGACGTTATACTGATGATTTTAGGCTGTTCTCTAGGAGACATCTCCACTCATCTGTGACTATAATAACAATAATAATAATAATAATAATAATAATAATAATAATAATAATAAAGGCTCAGAGAGAAAATATCTGTATTTGGTGATTTGCTGAAAGAAGGGAATCAAATACGCCCGAATCAATGCCAAACAGATTATACATCCAATTTATTTATTAAAACGCAAAAATCAGCAGCTCCTTCTTTACATTGCAACCTTTTTAGGACAAAATTTAATCTAAAAATAAACTATTAGTGCTTTTTTATAGCTTTTAAAGACAGAATGAAAGTGTTTAGGCAATCGATTTTAATTATTAACTAAAGTTTGACATGTGCAGAGTCTGCCCTTTGATGACAAATTAAAGACTATTAAATAACATTTATGTTGATATTAAATATTTTTCTTTATTATAATTTAAGCAACACAAACTTTCTCTCAGGTCTCATGATTCAAGTGTTTTTATGAAGTCTCTAAAGTACAGGTGCTGGCCAGTAAATTAGAATATCATCAAAAGGTTGAAAATATTTCAGTAATTCCATTCAAAACGTGAAACTTGTACATTATATTCATGCAATGCACACAGACCAATGTATTTCCAATGTTCATTACATTTAAATTTGATATTCATAAGTGACAACTAATGAAAACTCCAAATTTGGTATCTCAAAAAATTAGAATATTCTGAAAAGGCTGAATATAGAAGACACCTGCTGCCACTCTAATCAGCTGATTTACTCAAAACACCTGCAAAGGCCTTTAAAAGGTCCCTCAGTCTTGTTTTGAAGGCACCACAATCATGGGGAAGACTTCTGACTTAACAGCTGTCCAAAAGACAATCATTGACACCTTGCACAAGGAGGGCAAGACACAAAAGGTGATTGCTAAAGAAGCTGGCTGTTCGCAGAGCTCTGTGTCCAAGCACATTAACAGACAGGCGAAGGGACGGAAAAAATGTGGTAGAAAAAAGTGTACAAGCTCTAGGGATAACCGCACCCTGCAGAGAATTGTGACGACAAACCCATTCAAAAATGTGGGGGAGATCCACAAAGAGTGGACTGCAGCTGGAGTCAGCGCTTCAAGAACCACCACGAGGAGACTCATGAAAGACATGGGATTCAGGTGTCGCATTCCGTGTGTCAAGCCACTCTTGAACAAGAAACAGCGCAAGAAGCGTCTCGCCTGGGCCAAGGACAAAAAGGACTGGACTGATGCTGAGTGGTCCAAAGTTATGTTTTCTGATGAAAGCAAGTTCTGCATTTCCTTTGGAAATCAAGGACCCAGAGTCTGGAGGAAGAGCGGAGAAGCACAGAATCCACGTTGCATGAGGTCCAGTGTAAAGTTTCCACCGTCAGTGATGGTGTGGGGTGCCATGTCATCTGCCGGTGTTGGCCCACTCTGTTTCCTGAGGTCCAGGGTCAATGCAGCCGTCTACCAGGAAGTTTTAGAGCACTTCATGCTTCCTGCTGCTGACCAACTTTATGGGGATGCAGACTTCACCTTTCAACAGGACTTGGCACCTGCACACAGTGCCAAAACCACCAGCACCTGGTTCAAGGACCATGGTATCCCTGTCCTTGATTGGCCAGCAAACTCGCCTGACCTTAACCCCATAGAAAATCTATGGGGTATTGTGAAGCGGAGGATGCAATACGCTAGACCCAACAATGCAGAGGAGCTGAAGACGACTATCAGAGCAACCTGGGCTCTCATAACACCTGAGCAGTGCCACAGACTGATCGAGTCCATGCCACGCCGCATTACTGCAGTTATTGAGGCAAATGGAGCCCCGACTAAGTATTGAGTGCTATACATGCACATTCTTTTCATGTTCATTCTTTTCAGTTGGCCAACATTAGAGAAACAAACATTTTTTCATTGGCCTTTAGAATATTCTAATTTTCTGAGATACCAGATTTGATGTTTTCATTGGTTGTCACCTATAAATATCAAATTTAAATGTAATGAACATTGGAAATACATTGGTCTGTGTGCATTGCATGAATATAATGTACAAGTTTCACGTTTTGAATGGAATTACTGAAATATTTTCAACCTTTTGATGATATTCTAATTTACTGGCCAGCACCTGTAATAGCGGAGTGTCTTTTAACAACAGTTTGTTTCTGTCGTGCTGATCCATCGTCATGGCTTCTTGGGATTTACGATGAACTGTAATCATTTTCCAGCGGTGCCCGATTTCACTTCCATGACAAGTAAAAATGTCCACCGTAAAAAACATTCATTAAGTTCTTCTATTTGTGTCAAAATAACCTAAAAAAAGAAGCTAAAAATGACTGAATCTAAACTTTTCTTACATTCAGAAGCACCAAACGTGTTCTGCTCTCGGAGCTGTTCGCGGCTGTCGAAGCTTTTGGACTTGAAGGCCAACTCCAGCGGAGGTCCAAACAGACTGTCAGAGCCAGACGCTGCTGAACTCAACCTGAAGGAGAAAACAGTCATGACCGAGCGATGAGAAGAGGGGCGTCAGGGTTGAGGAAACACAAAATTTCACATTATTATCATTATGAAGAGCAAGAAAGTAATCGTGTGTCTCAGCGGGGTCTTTACTTAACATTTTAATAATGCAAAACAATTATTATATTTAACACAGCATCAGAAAAGAATACTTTTATTTGCAAGATTTAGTTTAACGTCTAACTAAAATATTTGGTTTTCTCATCTAAAAAGAAACAGAAAGAGGAAAGTGTGTAAAAAAAAAAACCCTCATAAAGATCAGGCTGAAAGATGCTGGCGGCTGAAAGCCTGAGGGGAAAATCCGACCATTCCACCTCCAAATCTGCATTTGTTCACCTTTAAGAGGTGGAGGAAGTGATGAAGCAGAGGGCAGAAACATCTCACCTGCTGTGATCGGGGCTGGACGTGGACCTGCGCATGCTCTCCTGCTCTCCATCTGCAAACAGACAGCACATCATGAGAGAGAAAGGGCCTCGGAGCGGACGACGCTGCCTAATCAGAACTAATCAGCAACGCAGCGTCGTTTGTCACAGAGGTGGGGACAGGCTAGACGAGGTGAGACAAGACGACACCAGGGAAAAACCATCTTCCTGTGATAAATACGAGCCGTTAACCTGGTCTCACTGCTGCTTATGTTGAGAAAGGGCATTAATCAGATGCTGCTCATTAATCCTGCTACCTCTGGATTGACGATGGAGAGACTTCCACCCGCTCCACTTTAACCTGCTGACAGCTAACGACCCCGCGGGTGATAAAAGGAGGATCTGGAGCGTGAGGAGAGTTGCCTGAGACTAATGGAGAGGAGCAGCTTGTGTTAAGTTAGCCAGGGGAGAGATTTGTTGTTTGCAGGGAGCCGAGCGAGCCGGAGGCTATGAGATCCTCCATGAGGGTCAAGTTAAGGCCATAAAAGTGAGCGGTAAATGAACATAATTTCAGTGACGGGGATTGTAAATCCTCATCGCAGCTTTTAATTGGACCGATGACTCACCCCTGTGAGAGGAAGCCTCACTCTCCTCTAATCGGACTCCTGCTGCACTCGAGTTTCCTGCAGAGACAAAAACAGCAACTTGACTATCAGAAATAAAAGATGCAACAGATCGTGTTCCACATAATTCCCTTTATGAGTGAAAAGTTAAGCTAAACATGAACAGAAACACATGCAGAACTCACTGGGGAGATGCCGCTTCACTGGATTCTGGAAATCAAGAGAATGAGACATAAAAGAGAAGTTATTCAACATTTTTATTAAAAATGTAAATATTACCCAGCTTTTTCTGTCTGTGAGAATCGTCCTTTCAGTTTGTTTTTATGATGTTTACTAAAAGCGTTGGGCCAAAGAGCGACGACCCACCTGCTGTTGTGCTCTTCTGTTGGGCGGCAGAGTGAGCGCCCAGACGGTGGCCTTCAGCTCCTTCTCCGTGGCCACAGAGCTGCTGCTGGCCTCCGGTCTGATCTGGACGTGGAACTTCTTGGGCTCCTCATCATCGAAGTCTGAGTCGCTGGAGTAGAAGTTGTTCTCTTTTTCATCAGAGCAGCGTTCAGGAGGAAACGAGTCAAGAATAAAAATAACGGTTTTGGTGACGAAAAGAAAAAAGGCCATTAAAAGTTTAATTGGAACTATAAATCTTCTACATTTAGAAATACAGACGTGGACAAAATAGTTGGTGCCCTTCGGTCAACGACACAAAAACCCACAATGGTCAGAGAAATAACTTGAATCTGACAAAAGTAATAATAAATAAAAATTCTATGAATGTTAACCAGTGAAAGTCAGACATTGATTTTAAACCACGCTTCAATGGAATTACTGAAAAAATAAACTTATAGACCAGGCCTGGACATAAATGACAGTACCCCTAACTTAATATGTTGTTACACAACATTTTAAGGCAATCGCTGCAATCAGACGATTTCTGTAACTGTCAGAGACTTCTGCAGCAGGTATTTTGGCCCACTCCTCATGAGAAAACAGCTCCAGGTGTCTCAGGTTTGAAGAGCGCCTTTTCCAGAAGGCACGTTCCAACTCCTTCCAAAGATGCTCAACAGGATTGAGGTCAGGGCTCATAGAAGGCCACTTTAGAATAGTCCAGTGTTTTCCTCTTAGCCATTTCTGGGTGTTTTTCACTGCATGTTTTGGGTCATTGTCTTGTTGCAAGACACTTGACCTGCCACTGAGACCAAGCTTTCTGACACTGGCCAGCACATTTCTCTCCACAGTCCCTTGATAGTCTTGAGATTTCATGTACCCTGCACAGATTAAAGACACCCTGTCCCAGATGCAGCAAAGCAGCCCCAGAACCTGTATGGTCGTTAAATCAAACATCTATGCGTACCCGCCATTGGATGTTGGTTGTTGTGTGAAGACACAGATGTGAGCATGCCATACTGTACTGATTACAAATTCCACCAACTTGTTGTGTGGTCATTAATAAAGGAATCTGAATCTGAATTACTTGTGTCCTACCAAAACACAAATTAGAGCTTTATAATTCTTCACATAAAAAAACCACAAATGTAGAAAATTGTGCAGAAAAATGGAGAAAACTCTCTAATCCCCTGATGCATTAAAACACTGTTTGGAGGAATTTAGAGTCTGTTCATCAAAATCCCAAGAATAAATGTGTTGCAGACGGAGTTTAACACACGACTAAGGATAGTTTCAAACTGCAGGCAAAAGTGCATGAAATCTGATTTATTTCCCCACATGTGACCCATATCTGAACAGCACAGATCCCATTTTTTCAAATCTGACCAAGGTCACTTTCGTATGTGGTACTGATTCCAGTGCATATCTGATGTCTTTGAAAGTGACTGCAGTGATCATGTCGAATTAAAACCGTGTCCTATGTCACCGAGTCAGCTGAGGTGAGCAGGTGTGTTGATGCTCTCGAGGAGAAGCGCTGACAGAAGGACTTCAGGAGGGGCTTCTCCATGAATGAACGTAATTTCGGAACATTTTCGGTGAATAATAATTCGAGAAGACGGCGGGAAAAAGGAGTAAAATAGTTTACCTCTTCACATCACAACTCCGCCCCTCACTGGAGAGAGCTTGATGTCGCACTTCAGTCATAATGTCAACAGCCACACGAAAAAATCTGATTTACTCAAAAAATCAGAATTGAGCAACAAGGCCTGCAGTGTGAATGAAACCCAAGTCTAGATTATAACATATTTATGAGTCTAAAGTCTTTGAATAATCCAGCAGAAGAGAGGATGACTTAAACACGGATGCTTTTAAGTAGTGTTTGGCTATTTTTTTCCCTAAATATCCAGATGCATCAAGCAGGAGCAGAAAAAGGATATCATTGTGAGTGCTGTCAGCTCTGATGACAAATCCCTCATCATCCATTTCCAGCGGTGAATTCTGTAGTAAACAGAGCAGAGGGAGGCAGACAGCAGCCGAGTCAGCAGAAACAAACGGTGCATTTCTGACACCCAGAAGCATTAACGCACCATCTTTCAGAGCTCTAACAGAGCGTTCTCTAAGCGTAGCTGATTGAGTAAATCGACCTTACAGACGATGCAACACTGATGACACAAGTGTGGGTTTAGTTATTCCTACAAGTACAACCACTGTCCTTGTCAATAGATGTAAGACAGAAACTGAATTAAAGGTCAACCCAATTGTTTGGGTGAAAATTTTGTTTTTTATTAGTGAATACGTCATGTAGAAAATGTTTTTTTTTATAAAACCCTCCCTCGGCTAAGCAGTTGCCTCTGTCGAGTGTTTTCAGAAACATGAAACTTGTGAAAGTATAAAATTTCGGCATCAGTGGCTCTGTGATGTTCTGTTTTATGCTCTGACTTCTCATTAGCCTGTTAGACGGCTGTTTGGCAGTGTTTAAGTCCTTTTACACACACACACACACACACACACACACACACACACACACACACACACACACACACACACACACACACACACACACACACACACAAGCATGTACAGATACACACATGGCTATGTGCTGTCCATGTGCTTGGAAGATAACCTCCCAAATGTCTTCTGGGAAGTACAGGAATAAACACGGGAAACCCCACACCATCCATGACCCTAACCCATCACACACTCATGACTCTTCCCAACACCACCTCGCACAACAACACACTGTTTTTACAGATTTTACGCCTTCAGAATACACACACGCACAAACGAGCCGTCTGCTATTTAGGGCAAAGATTGACAAACGAGCTTTACGCAGATGAGTGTGAATTACGTCAATTACTTACCAACGTGTCCATGACAGCCGAGTCCCTACGAACCCAGAAAAAAAAACCACAGGAGTTTATTAAACTTTTCAACAACAGCTCAAAGCAAAGCTCTATTTTTTGATTGAGCAAAACTTTAAACTGAAATCAGACATGACCAAAAGTCCTAAAATGGTGATTCAAATGTTTGTTTTTTCCATCCATCGATCTAGGCTGTTATCAGATGCTGAATGTGAATTTGACTCAAAAATCAACACTGTGAGAATTAAAAGTTGCAAAATAATTGTATAAAAATCATTCTGACAAAAATCCCGTCACACAGCAGTAGGATCAAGACAGGAATATCGCAGGAAGTTCAAACATTCCTGCACCGCCAAAATACACACATTATGATTTTACATAATGAAATTCCAAAGGAGTGCATTAACCTAATAGTTAATAAACTAGAAATTATGTTATGTAAATCAATAAATAAACAAGAAATCTCATTAAATACCTTACATAAATGAAAGAGAATATTTTATCTTTGTTTGAACTGAAATCAGCTGTTTGACACCAAACTGCAACCACATATAAAGAAGACATGATCCGTCCTGCACTTAAATGTTCCTGTTGTTTTACAAACCTACAGACTCATTCTTGTTACGCTGTTTTTGACATCAACTGCAAGGTGTCAAACATACAAAACTGTTGTTAATTAAACACTAGAGTTACTGAATTTACATCAGATTCTAACAAGTTGAATCGCTTTATTCAGTCTTCAGTTAAACTGGTGCACAGGCTGTCAATCATGTCCTTGCTGTTCAACAATATTCACTCTGACTGAAATATAGTGTTCAGACATGATTTTGACATCTAGAATTTCATCATGATGAGTCAAGAAAATGAAAACTTCAGTGAATTTATTCCAATTTCCTTTCTATAAACCACTCGGTTAAAATACTGATTTAACCAGGTAAACACGGAGGGCTTTAGGTGTGTGTGTGTGTGTGTGTGTGTGTGTGTGTACTACACTCACGTAGAGTCTGGCTCCTTGTCCCTCTTGCCGAGGCCGGGGATCCTGAAAGTTTTAGCTCGAGTCTTTTTCCCACCCTCAGGAGTCAGAGCTGTCATGTACTCCTCAAACCCAACCAGAGCTGCAGACAGCAACACAAACATTATCTAAATGATGTTTGGAGTGTGAGTGTGTGTGTGTGTGTGTGTGTGTGTGTGTGTGTGTGTGTATACCTGGTTTGTCTTTGCCCGTGCCTTTCTGCTCAACAAATTTCTGAATGAGTATATCGATGCCGATGTTTTCCACATTCTGTTTGAATTCCTCGTGAACCTGAAGTTTATTTTTAAATAAAGTACAATTTATAAGAAAGTTTTTAGTTTTCACTGCCAGAATAAATATTGAAGTCACTGAGAAAAAAAAAACTTTCCTTAAGTGCTCCATGATAAGAGCAGATCGGCTCCAACCTACCTGTCCCACCTGGACATGGGTGTCCTCTATAGAGTGAGAGTAACTTTTGATCAGCTGTCTCATCTGACGCAGATGAGCTTCCTCAATCTCCTGAAACCTCTACACACACACACGCACGCGCACACACACACACACACACACACACACACACACACACACACACACACACACACACACACACACACACACACACACACACACACACACACACACACACACACACACACACACACACACACACACACACACACACACACACACACACAGGAGAGTAACATGAAAAAAGCAGAAAATTTTCATATAGAAAATCTACCCAAATATGTTTTATAGACAATAAAATGTGTAGCCTTTATAGACTTCATTTGTGTAGTTAGATACCTTTAAACACTATAAATGGCATGAACGCAACTGCTTAAAGCAAATTATGTCCATCCATCCATTTTCTGAACCCGCTTTGTCCAAGCAGGGTCGTGGGGGGGGGGGCTGGTGCCCACCTCCAGTGGTCAATGGCCAATCAGGCGGGGTACACCCTGGACAGAGAGCCAGTCCATCGCAGGGCAACACAGAGACACACAGGACAATCAATCATGAACACACACACACACACTTAAGGACAATTTAGACAGACCAATCAACCTAACAGTCATGTTTTTGGACTGTGGGAAGAAGCCAGAGTACCCAGAGAGAACCCACGCATGCACAGGGAGAACACGCAAACTCCATGCAGAAAAATCCCAGGCTGGGAAGCGAACCCAGGACGTTCTTGCTACAAGGCAACAGCTCTAACCACTGTGCAGCGCAAATTATGTCCAATTATTAAATTATTCACAATTTAAGCTCTCTCTTCTTAAGAGAGAGCTGAGCCGGAAGGCAAAGCTCTCGATTTACCGGTCGATCTATGTTCCCACCCTCACCTATGGTCACAAGCTTTGGGTAGTAACCAAAAAGAACAAGATCTCGAATACAAGCGGCCAAAATGAATTTTCTCCACAGGTTGTCTGGGCTCTCCCTTAGAGATAGGGTGAGAAGCTCAGTCATCCGGGAGGGGCATGGAGTAGTCCCGCTGCTCCTCCACGTCGAGAGGCGCCAGTTGAGGTGGCTCGGGCATCTGGTCAGGATGCCTCCTGGATGCCTCTATGGTGAGGTTTTTAGGGCATGTCTAATTGGGAGGAGATCCAAGGGAAGACCCAGGACACGCTGGAGGGACCATGTCTCTTGGCTGGCCAGGGAACGCCTTGGGATTCCCCTGGTAGAGCTGGCCCAAGAAGCTGGGAGAGGGAAGTCTGGGCGTCTCAGCTTAGGCTGCTGCCCCAACGACTCGACTCCGGATAAGCGGCAGAAAAATGGATGGATGGATGGATGGTTGGATAGACAATTGATGAATTTAGAATATTCAGATTATCCTTAAACAAAGACGCCATTTAGAAGAAATAATAATAAAAAAAGCTTCAGGGATGCAGTGGGTCATCAGGAGGACTGCTGGAGTTTAGCTTTTAATTTGGTTGCATCATTTGTCACCGCCTGCTTTAGGCAGATTTGATGAGGTGATTCTAGGCTTTGCTGAGGACATAAGCCTGTGAGTAGATTTTTCTTTGTGTGCATGTTCTTGTTTCTTTGAGCCAATTATTATACATTATTATGAGGTGTACGAGTGTGTGTGGGGGTTTCCCAAACACCTCAGTGCAGCCTGGTGAACAGACACCGAGAGAAAAAGACCAGCACAGCTTTCGTCTACATGAATTAGTTTAATCGTGCTCTCAGATCAGTTTCTCTTCTCCTTTTATTTAGTCTGGTTATTGGGAGCAAACATGGCACGCTGTTATTTAGTCTGTTTCTACCTGTTTCTATCTGTTCCTCTTTTTCATCTGCTCGTGTCTTGATGAGGAAACCGCATTTAGTTTCAGTAAGGATTCAAAGATGAATTCAGACTGATTTTATCTGACACAAGAAACTCTGGTTTCAGCTTGTTTTCAGACTAGCTCATTTGGTAACCGGGACATAACAGGATTTCCTCTAAACTCTCAGCTCATTACGACAAAACTCTTTAGAAAATAAAGAAGCTTGTAGATTTTTTTTCCTGTTTGCAGTAGATCAGAGGCAGGGTTTTGGTACTGGAGGTTTCTCTAATATTTCAGAAGCGTCTGGTTACCTGCGGGAAAAGATGCCTTGTTGAAGATAAAATGAGCTAAATTAGCTTAACTCACTCAAAGATGATAAAAAATATATTCATTGATAATTTATATTTGGTTTGTTTCTTAAAAACTCACCCAAACACCAAATTGTGTATTAACCTTATTTTATGACCAGTAATTATAATTCTTCACAAGTGTGTGACACACATTTTTGAGCCTTTAATGAACACATAAACATAGTTTAAAAACATTTTTCTACACATTTTTAAAGTAGGTCAGACTGCCTATGCAGGGCTGTAGTCAGGGGCGGCGTTAGGCCCGGCTACTTGGGCTGAAGCCCCGGATGTTTCATGAAAAGCCCCGGATCTAAATCGCGGAAGTAACATGCAGTACCAAAGTCCAACAGAGAGGGAGCAGCTGGCAGTAGTTTGTATACAGCCTGCCTGAACCTCCACCACTGAAGAAGAAGCCCTTCAGCAGCCGGCTTCTTCTACACTCTCTGCCTGAAACGCATGAGTGAAGATTGACATAAGGACGTTTTTTTAGACACAAAGTACAACGACAGAACCCCAGCTTTGATGAGACTGGTGTTGACTCAGGTTTGAGTCTTATTTGAAAATATTTGTTGTGCTGCTGGTTTGCCTAAAGTTAGCTTATCAGGTAAAGTTGTTGGAGAAAGAAAGGGAATATGTACTATCATCTCACACTAAACACTAACAGGAACAATACTCTGCCCTGAAAATGCTTAATATGTAGCTTCAGATTAAAAATTATGTGTTACAAGACAAATATATATGATGTTGACTAGTGCGTGTCATGTGTGTGTGCGCGAGCGCGTGCGTGCGTGTGTGTGTTAAGCCCCGGATCTTCTTCAGTCCTAAATCCGCCCCTGGCTGTAGTTATAAACCACGGTTGCAACAAAAGGTAAAGTAAAAAAGTCAGTTTTTCTTTTGGTTTAACCGTCTGACCTCATTAAAACGTGTCACTAAAAACCAAAACAGGATGTGTTCTTTTACTCTCTCTTATTTCTGTGGTACCTGGGAGAACGCTTTACTCCCCCAGGTAACGCGCTCCTTCCTAATTAAGACCAGACCTCCCCCTTCAGAACCATTACAATAGGTAATTGGTCACAAGGATTCCATTTATCAGTTCAAATGTAAAAACACAGAGGCGCTCATTAGGATTTGTTAAATATTCCCATGGAAACAGCAGCCGTAGCCATGGAAGCATGGAGGCAGTGATTAAAGGTAATGAGCAGGTTGCAGCGTTTGTGAGGAGACGGGTGGGTGTTTTAAAGTCAGGGGTCGAGGTTTCCTTTTTAGGAATGACGTGATGTTAGACAACAAAAGAAGGGATAAGAAGGGGCTCTCTTGTGGTGGGGGTGGATTTGATAAGGAAGAAAGGGGTGGGAGATCAATGGCTGGAGTCACAGCTGACCTGGGCAGATTCACTCATCTTCTGCTCAAACTCTCCTCCCACACGGTTGTATTTCTCGATGCTCAACGCAAACGACTCTGCCGCTTTCTTAGACTTCAGCTCCGCCTAGTGAGGAGAAAAGGAAAATGATGCTAATGAACAAGACAATAAACCATATTTCAGTAGGAACTAATGCTGGCTTCAGTTAGTCAGGCTGTTGAATTAAAAGCATGTAAATAAAACATTCTTTTCTGCTGTGTGAATCACTCAGACTAGAGTAGCTCATTACAGACATAAACAATGATAACATGACTTAAGAAGTGCTCTTCAACATATGTTAAAGGCAGTTCTAATTGGTTTAAGCCATTTGTCGGCTTTACCACTTTAAATGTACAACTCTTAACGATTCACGCTTTTTTTTTAACTGTTGTTTCTATTTACAGCTGTACAAACTTCCAAGGATAGCCCAAAGTGTGGAGCCTGACTCGCTGACATTGGGGGGAAAAGTATGTTGATAATTATAGAGCTTTATTGTTGTAGAACTCCCCACCACCTCCTTCAGCCCTTTCAGAAGGTCACTAATGCACTGCCAAGCCAGCGGACAGATATACGGAACTCTCCAGTAGGTTCCGAGTCATGTTCAAAGCCTTTTCCAGATGGACGTGTCACAACGCATCCCCCAAGACATCTGGTAGGCATTCTGACCGATGCTTTAACTACCTTAAATATATTTTTTTTGTAGTGAAAGAGCAAGTCTGAATGGTTCAGCTCTTCCATCATCTGAACGAAATTACTTTCAGCTACCCGTATTCACAATGTCAATAACTTAGGCCACTACCTGGAACTCACAACCACGAGATATAGTCACCTTTAGACTACGCCTCAGGAGCCCAGAAAACTTAAACTCCTGATTTCATGGATCAGCTCCTGGTCAGAATCAGGCTTTATGACACGGTCTTGAGTAACACTCACATTACACATTTAACCAGTGTACCCAGTCCAACTAAACCTCCCAGTCTCATAAATAATCAACATGCAACAAAGATAAAACTGCAAAAAAGGAAAGAGGAAGTTGAGTAGAACCTTCTCCAGTTCTTTTTGTGGCGCTCCCTCCTTCTTGAGCCGATCCAGCTCCAAACACTTGGTGTGGTAACCCTCCTTGCATTTCTGAAGGTGACCGCTCTGAACCTGCAGAGCCTGCACCGCCTCCACTGTCCCCACCATGTCCTCCTTTGTCTGGTGGACAAACACACAGAGAGCAATACATGGACATGCTGGCCCATTCAAGATGGACCTCAATAACTTCAAGGAACATGCAGCAAGTACCACGATGGAGAAGAGAGCTATTTGATTTCCTGTGAGATAAATTTGATCAGAACAAAATGTAAAAGAAAAAACAACAACAAAGGAAAGTTGGCGTTTTTATCCGGGGAAAGCTACCTTGCGATGAGTTTTGACCTGCTCGTCTCCATACTTGTTGATGTCTCGGATGAGGTCGTTCATCTTCTTCATCAACTCGAGGTGACAGAGAGCCAGTTTGTCTGAAGACACCCTGAACACGTCCCACATGGGTGCAAAAGTCCTAAATAACACCAGGCTCATTACACACACACACACAAGGCTACAAAAATATTTTGCATATCCAAAAGTCAAAAACAAGGACACATCCAGAACCTTTTTATGTTTTTATTTAGCTCAAGCTGAGACTTGTGACCTAAATACTGCTGAGGTTAAGGGTTGTTAAATATTTAAATACAAGAGGGCATGATGATAACACAGACAGCTTTAACTCACTCCTCTATTCATGTTCGTTTATGAATATTTTTTACATCAGTTTTAGTGAAATAATTCAATTTAGAATTATTTTCAGTTTAATCTGACTTCTGGAGATCATCTAAAGACTTCAGACTTAACCGGCATCAGGTTGCCAACACTAACTTTGGATAGCGCTGTACAAAAGAAAAAACAAAAAGCTAATACCAAAAAAAATTCTTTTAACAAATTGTGGTTGTTTTTTAACTCTAGAAATTCCTAATCAATGCGGAAAATTATTTGAGAAAGTAAATTAAGAACAACTGACATTTTATACATGATTTTTTTTATTTGACAAAAAAAAGAAAATAAGAAAAAAGCTGCTCATTAATTTATTTTTTGTATGAAATTGTTTTTCATTCAGATTTAATTAGCAAGAATCAAACAATCCACTAATCCTAATCAGGTTTTAATTATTGCAGCTAAAACTGAATAAATGCAATCATGAGACACGGTTTTCCAACTGAGGCTGATCAACTTTTAACATGAGCAAATTATAGATATGAACACGGACATGTCTAATTCACTGAACCTTCAAGATACGACAGAAGCTTTTGCAGACACAAGAAACACAAAATTATTTCTTTGTCCTCATTTGCAGAGAATATGTGATTCTGCATTTATGTTCTTGTTTTCAATCTTTATGTTTGCATAAATATTGTGTAAAAAATCCATAAACTGTACAGAAAACAGCAGACAAGGCATCATGTTATTCATAAATATGAACATTTGGTGATGCAGATGGTGCTCATACAAATGTCATATGTGAATATATGACCATTACACTGTATAAATACAGAAACAGCGCCACCTGGGGGAATAAATCCTACTGTAAGTGTAAGAGGAAGGATGATTAGATAAAGGCTGTAGGGGCTTTGTGTGTGTGTGTGTGTGTGTGTGTGTGTGTGTGTGTGTGTGTGTGTGTGTGTGTGTGTGTGTGTGTGTGTGTGTGTGTGTGTGTGTGTGTGTGTGTGTGTGTTAAACTCACCCCAGCTGGCTTCCATTGCTGGCTATTTTAGCAAGTTTGCACATCGACTTTGAGTAAGTCTCCTCGATGGCGGCCCTGCAAAGCACAAGACACACAAACTACTTCCATACAAGCAGGTCTAATGAAGAACTTTCAAAAAGTCTTGAGGAAATCTAGAATATATGGATGTAGCTAAAGTAACCCTTGATGGTGGTGGTGGTGGGTGGGGTAGGGGTTAGCATTCATGACATCACCCACTTTGACTCACGACCGCAGGAGGGTGTACTGATTTAGCATCCGGGAGAGAGCAGAACGCTTTTCAGCTAGCAGAAGCTAACCATTAGCTTTAGCAACTCCACAATATGACCAAACACATTTTGACTTGTGCTGTGTGGAGATAAAACATCAATGTTGCATTTTGTCTCCCAAGAAACAAAGGCAGTGGATGAGTCACATTGTTGATGGCTAATCAGAGGAGAGACGTTTGCATTTAACGAATATTAACGAGTAAGATTCGTATTTCTGTTGCTTTCTACCCACCACTTCTCCGACAAACATTTGCGCCTTGAAACAGGAGCTCAAAAGCATTTATTTACACATAAAATTATTCATAAGTCATTAATTCATGATAAAAACAAGTGAAAATCACTTTAAATTGAATATTTCTGCCCAAAACCGTAATCATATCTATCTTCAGATGAAAACTCTGCTCCACATTTATTTAGCCATTTATGTGGCTGATAGCTAAGCTGAAAAACGTTGTCAGCAAATTACTACGTGGGTGCACTGCACTGGTCTCCAGCTGTGGCAGCTGCATCTCCACCTGACTCAGCCACTCCCCTGCTGATATGACATGTTAGAGCTCGGAGCCGCTTGCCTCCTTGAAAAAAATGCCCTCTTCCCCTTTTCATCTAATGATAGTGATTAACAGGAAATTCTCCAGAATGCTGCAGAATCTGTGTCTGCTTTTCTCCTGAGCGGAAAGTCTACTGTGAGTGTGTGTTATTGCGCACTGTTTCCCTAACAGGAAGTGTGGACGAATTAAGTCTCCACTCATGCCTTGACTCTCACTTTAATGAGGCTTTAAAATACTAATTTTGTTGCAGAATGATGGCAGCTGAGGGCTAATAATGTCTGGTACTTCCAACAATATTCACACAACATAATCAGATCAATAGCGTCTTATTTAAAAGCATTCTTTATGTAGGACTACCCCAAACCACTCCAAGAAACACATAAATGCCAGAAATCAAAACAAGCATTCAGGACGTTGACAGCAAAAGAGGACATTTATCCAGTTTTCTTTCCTCCATCTTGCGGCCTCACACTCTAACTCACAGTGCTCCTGTATCATTTCCTGACGACTGATTTGTTTTCTGCTGCTGCACTAAGGTAGATAAGTGAACCCCCCCCCCCCCCCCCCCCCCCCCCCCCCGTGAGGAATGTGCACAAGTGCCCTGAATCAATGTCACGATTATTCAGTGGTCTAATGGACAGCCTGCTCTTTAATTTCCAGCACCAACTCCAGTGGGAACCTCCAATCTGAGTCTTTAAATTAAACCCTTTACTTTGAAAGAGATTCAATATTTTATTGCCTGCAGAGGTTATAAATTGCAGGTGTTTTTGCAGGGCAGATACTGCATTTTTAGCTGTTAATAGAATTCAAGACAAAAAGAGAAATTGTATAATAAATGAAGGGGTTTTCCTTAATTTTAATGACCATTGCAAGCACATTGTATGCATCAGCCTAAAGGGGTTCACAATTGACAAGAAGGGTGTTTTCCTGTGCTTATGAATTTAAAGAGCAAGTCACCCCCTACCAGAGTCTCACTCCACTCCCACTTCCTGTTTGAAAAATGCCACAAATGTTGTTGCCTGGCAGACCGAGAGGGTGGAGCTGCTAACACACACACACACACACACACACACACACACACACACACACACACACACACACACACACACACACACACACACACACACACACACACACACACACACACACACACACACACACACACACACACACACACACACAACATTGTGACATCATACACACACACACACAGGCTCACAACAACATTGTGACATCATAATGTACCAACTAATATCATAGTGTACCTCTTAGCCAATAGTGAGGGCAGGTTTAAATTTAAATGTATTGCAGAGTTTTTACCTGAAGACTACACAACACAGACAGTTTTAGGCAGAATATTTAAATTTTAACTAAGATGCACTTAAGTGCCAAAGTTTTGACCACACATGTCTACAGCACAGTTAGACACTCCTATATATAGTTTATAAAATAAAAAAATAAAAAAGTTGATTTGAGGGTGACGTGCCCTTTAAATGTCATTAGATTTTGCCCATAAACTCAATTGAATAAAAACAAAAGTATATTCTGGCTCATTGGTTTAGAAGTAATTCAATGTTGTAAAAGTGGCAAAATAATGTGATCAGTTAACCCATCCATCCATTTTTGGCCACTTATCTGGGGTTGGGTCATGGAGGCAGTAACCTAAGCAGGTAGGCCCAGACAACAGTTAACTGCAGGGCCCAACTTTGCGTCAGTTTTCAATATTTAGGCAGCATGACTTAAGGGTGAGTGCCTTATTTTATTAAATCAACAGAGATCTATTAAAATGTGATCTTTGCAGTATCTGTGGCAGGCAGAAGACTGCAGGTAGAGCCCAACAGAGACAGACTTACGAAGGTGCTTCCTCTGCAGTCTGCTTTCTGCTGACAGGACTTTAAATCTTCACAAATTGCAAAGGCCTCACAGAATACAGCAAGGGATGAAACTCTAAACTGTTCATTTATAACCTCTGAGTGTTTCATCCAGCCTTGGCACAGACTCTCATCTCCTTTCCCGCAAAGTACAAAATCAGAAATGACGAATTTCTCCCCTCAAGCTCCCATCACCAATACCACCTTCACAGAGAAAATCACAAGTACACACAAACTTTACCTCTCTCGGACAAACTCTACCAGTTCTTTTGCTGCCAGCTGGCCATGCTTCATGTTGTGGTAAAGCACGTCAAAGCCGGCATTCTTCTCCCCCTGCAGAGGTACAAATAAAAAACACACCTTCTGTTAGCAGAAAGTCAAGAAACAGAAACTGACGTGATAATGTTAACCCTCTCAGGCTCAAAATAGGTTTTGATAAAACCAGGTAGGTAGGTTTTTAACGTTGCAATCTGCAATTCCTGCCTCCAGCGGGTTAAAGAGAATGATGTTACATGGTGCTCCTGTGTTACAGCTCAGCTGTGCAAAAATAAAGTAACTATATAAAAATAACTTTTTGAGCTTAATGAATTACTTGGAGCAAAATTTGTGAGTAACACATCCAAATGTGTTCATTACAAAGAAACACAACACCGAATAAGTTATTTAAACTGACAATAGTACTTCTCTTTTCTTCGGTTCTTAGGTGTGTGATACTTTCCTACATACTTTTGTGATTTACAAATGCAAAGATTTAATTAGTTATAAAAAACACTCGATCACAGCGCTACTAGCAGCATGCTTCACTTTGAGGCACTTCTATCTGGTGCTTTTTTCTCTAAGGTCTGATGTCTGATTGTTTTCCTGAGGATGTCCTAATGTACACCGTAGAGGATCTTGTTAGTTACCAATCGATCATGACTACGTCATCATCCCTGCTTCACAAAATCTTCAACATGTCAGTTTATGAGTAGAAATAATATCTCACCCAGTCTTCCCTCCCATTTCCTTGTGGTTAGTTCATTTTTAAACATCGTGTCTTGAGTTAATCTTGAGTAATAAACAGTTTACCTATATCTGAAATTATGTGATGGCTGAATGTTGGTGTTTGGGTTGAGGCCTTTGCGTAACTGATAAAAATGCTTGTAAGATAAATAAATTCACCCTTTTTAGCTTGTCCCAAAGCACTTATTTTTACATTAGACAACTTTTGAAATAATTTGATGCAGAACATGAAACATGCTACAAGCAACATGCTCTAAGTGAGCACACAATTTTCAAAAACTTCCATTTCTACTTTCCAGCATGTGAGCTGATGCATTTTTACAACTTTCAACTAATATGCTAGATTTAAAATAATTTATGTCATTTCACACGTGGTAGTTGCAAGAATTACACAGGTCAAAGTGAGATGTTTCCCACCACCTCACAATCAGTGCAAATAGCCTTCATTATGTAGTGACTTAGGTCACCATTATCATAACAGTAAAATAAAAAATAAAAAAAGACTAAATAAAAAACAATAAGTTATTTAAACTTGATAGGCAGATAAGTGCTGTGGTCCAGTCTGGTTTTACGGCAACTGGCAAGGGTCAAACAATATCTACCTACAACTGTCTTTGAACATGTATTTTTTTTAACACGCTGTTGCCAGATTTCTGTATGGAGCACGTAAGTGGGAGCATGTCACTCCCCTACTGACAGCTTTGGACTGGCTACTGGTGGAGTTGCATCTTGTTAAAAATTCTGGTCCTTGTTTTCCAATCCCTGTCTGGATCAGCGCCACCGTATTAAGCCTCCCTGACCCATTGCATCCCTGCAAGATCTCTACATTCGGGTCAGAGTGACCTTTTGGTGGTACCGCGATCAAAGCATAAGTCTAGGGCATAGGCGGCGCCGGGAGGTAGCTAGGGGTTGCTAAAGCAACCACAAGATTGGGCCAAGCAACGGCTTAGCAACCCCAACTCTTTAACGTAGGGCTGGGCGATAATATGATCGCACTTTGAGATCACGATCATTTTCAGTTCGATTACGGTGATCAGCTGGGAGTCTCGATCAAAAATAACAGATGTGTGCAACCTCAGTAGGGGGCGCTAACACTCCATGCGCGTTGGTTGCCCACCCCCATTTAACAAAAAGAAGAAGCATTTGCAATTACACTTTTCCTGCTCCGCTACTTCGATGAGGTTTAATAAGCAGAAAGGCCAAACGTGGAGCTGACGACAGCGAAGTAGATCCCAGTCATGACTCGGAGTTGTCTTCTGGAGATGAAGACATTGTTCAGAAGAAAAGTTACTCAACGTCAGTAGTGTGGCGGTGGTTCGGGTATCTCAAAAGTGACATTGAGCAAATCAAGCCGACATGCAAGGTATGTCGGCGAATGGTGCCTTCAAAAACTGGCAACACTACGAATCTATTTAATCATCTAAAGAAATATCACCCAAGTGATTATACAGAGAGCATGAAAATGCGAGCAGAGTCCGGACAACTTGTTAGCTTGTCTCAAAGTAGACTTAGCACTAGCGCGGCTGCTAGTAGTGGTCCAGCCGGCACTGGTGGTGCAGCTGCACATTTTCAGCTGTTGCACCGTATGAGCAGAACTCAAGGAGAAGCAAAACCATCACAAAAGCTATAACTTTTTGTATAGCAAAAGACATGATGCCTCTGAACACAGTAGAGAAAGAAGGATTTAAGCATTTAATCAAAGTGCTGGACCAGAGGTATGTAATACCCAGCTGAAAGTATTTTTCTCAAACTGCACTGCCACAGCTGTATGATGAATGCAGAGAAAAGCTAGAGATGGAGCTCAAAGACGTTTCATTCTTTGCAACTACCACTGACCTTTGGTTGAGTCATTCATCTGAGCCATTTTTGAGTCCAACAATACACTACATTGACAAGGAGTGGACTCTTCAAAGCACATGCCTGCAGACAGCATATTTTCCGGAGGACCACACAGCTGAAATCATCAGTCGGGGACTGGAGGATGCACTGGAATCATGGAACCTAAGCAAAGACCGCCAGGTGTGCATCACAACCATCGACATAAATATATGGACAATGGGTTTCATATATATATATATATATATATATATATATATATATATATATATATATATATATATATATGAAAATAAAACCAGTTATTAATGATCCAACTCTGCTTACCTAGCTAATTCGGTTTAAAACAGCGCCTCTAGCTGGAAACCGGAAGTGACGCACACGGAGGAAAACATTTGACTCTACTAAGCAATGGATTCACAGCAGCAGGACGAGGCGCCAGAATTCGAACACGAATTTACATTTACTTATAATACTGAAGGTGCACAGACATACAGCTTAGAGCCAGCAGCAAGAGTGAATAAGAACAGGCAAAACAGAAGTAATTTAAATGGTGAAAGAAGAGCTATAGAAACGGATGTAAGCCCCAATAAATAGCCCGGCATAAATCTCAAAATAACACCTGGAAACTACACTAAAGAAGGAGAGATATTCGAGTGTTTTCTAAAATACAAAAACAAACATTAGCGCTAGCCCCTCAAGTGAACACAGCTGTGTACAAAATCACGTTATGAACTGGTGAAGCAGGTGGTTGAAACCCGTCCCTGCAGGACACCATGTGTGAGGGAGGAGGTAGAGGATCGAAACTTGGAAACGGCCACAGAAAAGGAACGCTCAGACAGATAAGAGGAGAGCCACTCCAGTTACATAAACTTACGCCTGTTTTTACATAACTCACTAGAATCCAAGTAAGTACAGCTGACAAAGCAGTGCTGTTCCTAAGAGGGTGTGTCGGCACTTCAGCTTCACCACAATTTTCGGTGAACAGGTGACTGGGCTCCATGTTCAGACACAAACACAGCCAGCTGCCTGTCAGGACCTAAAAATACCCCATTTGAGGAGAAAAGACCCTCTTCCCAGGTACCAGGGAAATGGCTGAAATGCCCAAGAAAGATTGGTGCACACACGTATACTTACACACTGCCCCAAAAGTAAGCAAGCAAAGCAGAACTAGATATGCAGGCTGAGCACTTGCCCCTGCGTAGAATAGTGAAAACTCAGAGAAACCTCATAAATATTGAAGGATTCTAATGCTTCAACTCTGACAACCTTTTATACAGAATAATTTTATTCATACAATAAAAAAAGAAAAATATCTTGATGAATTGCATTTTAGGATGCATGAGAATATTGATGCAGGGAACTATTACAGTATTTAGTGCTGCAATACTGGATCATTATTTATAAGTAGTGTATTGATTTTTATTTTATCAGAATTTACATGCACACATTTACAGTATTTGTTTTGTATGGTGCAATTAAAACTCCAACTGATAGTTAACAGCAATTTTTACTGCCTTCATTTTGACTTAATATCTTGAGAAAGCACCTGATGTTTCCTGTCTGGAGTTTTCCAATTAGGTTCGGTCTTAATAATTGTAAATATCGTCAGGATTTTAGTATCACAGTTAATCGTACCATTGTCATTGAACAGAAATCCACTAATAAAACTAAATTAATTTCAATGATATCTGCAATTAAAAACTCACTTTTCTCCACTAAACAGAATATATTTGAGTTTGTTTGAAATGTAAAGTTGGTTCTTTGAGCTTGTGGAAAGCAATTACAATTGTTTATTAATAATTAAAGCATGAATTTAAGTAAAGTATCCTACAGTTTAATCTTCTAAACTAGATTTCCATAAAAAAACATGGTGCTTGGGTAAATACTTGCATATTTTGGAGAAAATTTGATTAGATGTTTAAAGGGAAAGTTCACCTAAAACATGAATACACGCAAGCCTTTATAAGGACATTTGACCTTTGCAACCCCTTGGTCTAACCCTGACATAAATCTTGTCTGAGCCTGAAACTTTAAACCAAGTCTAAAGGCTCAAATGGACCTTTAGAAGTTTATTAAAGTCAGAGTAGAACAATATGACCTTTCAAAATGTATTAAAACTGTAACAAGTTTAAACTCTCCAATTATATTTAAAACTTTGTGCTAAGCCACAAGTAAATGTTTTTCCCCAGATACATTAAAGTTAAAATCTTTAAACAAAATGTGTGTGTGTGTGTGTGTGTGTGTGTGTGTGTGTGTGTGTGTGTGTGTGTGTGTGTGTGTGTGTGTGTGTGTGTGTGTGTGTGCAGGTCCCTCTCAAAAAATTAGCATATTGTGATAAAGTTCATTATTGTCTGTAATGTACTGATAAACATTAGACTTTAATATATATTAGATTCATTACACACAACTGAAGTAGTTCAAGCCTTTTATTGTTTCTAATGTTGATGATTTTGGCATACAGCTCATGAAAACCCAAAATTCCTATCTCAAAAAATTTGCATATCATGAAAAGGTTCTCTAAACGAGCTATTAGCCTAACCATCTGAATCAACTAATTAACTCTAAACACCTGCAAAAGATTCCTGAGGATTTTAAAACCTCCCAGCCTGGTTCATTACTCAAAACCGCAATCATGGGTAAGACTGCCGACCTGACTGCTGTCCAGAAGACCATCATTGACACCCTCAAGCAAGAGGGTAAGACACAGAAAGACATTTCTGAACGAATAAGCTGTTCCCAGAGTGCTGTATCATGGCACCTCAGTGGGAAGTCTGTGGGAAGGAAAAAATGTGGCAGAAAACGCTGCACAATGAGAAGAGGTGACCGGACCTTGAGGAAGATTGTGGAGAAGGACCGATTCCAGACCTTGGGGGACCTGCGGAAGTAGTGGACCAAGTCTGGAGTAGAAACATCCAGAGCCACCGTGTACAGGCGTGTGCAGGAAATGGGCTACATGTGCCGCATTCCCCAGGCCAAGCCACTGTTGAACCAGAAACAGCGGCAGAAGCGCCTGACCTGGGCTACAGAGAAGCAGCACTGGACTGTTGCTCAGTGGTCCAAGGTACTTTTCTCAGATGAAAGCAAATTTTGCATGTCATTCGGAAATGAAGGTGCCAGAGTCTGGAGGAAGACTGGGCAGAGGGAAATGCCAAAATGCCTGAAGTCCAGTGTCAAATACTCACAGTCAGTGATGGTCTGGGGTGCCATGTCAGCTGCTGGTGTTGGTCCACTGTGTTTTATCAAGGGCAGGGTCAATGCAGCTAGCTATCAGGAGATTTTGGAGAACTTCATGCTTCCATCTGCTGAAAAGCTTTATGGAGCTGAAGATTTCATTTTTCAGCACGACCTGGCACCTGCTCACAGTGCCACAACCACTGGTAAATGGTTCACTGACCATGGTATTACTGTGCTCAATTGGCCTGCCAACTCTCCTGACCTGAACCCCATTGAGAATCTGTGGGATATTGTGAAGAGAAAGTTGAGAGACGCAAGACCCAAAACTCTGGATGAGCTTAAGGCCGCTATCGAAGCATCCTGGCCTCCATAACACCTCAGCAGTGCCACAGGCTGATTGCCTCCATGCCACGTCGCATTAAAGCAGTCACTTCCACGAAAGGATTCCCGACCAAGTATTGAGTGCATAACTGAACAGAATTATTTGAAGGTTGACTTTTTTTGTATTAAAAACACTTTTCTTTTATGGGTCGGATAAAATATGCTAATTTTTTTAGATAAGAATTTGGGGTTTTCATGAGCTGTACGCCAAAATCATCAATATTAGAAACAATAAAAGGCTTGAACTACTTCAGTTGTGTGGAATGAATCTAATATATATGAAAGTCTAATGTTTATCAGAACTTTACAGAAAATAATGAACTTTATCACAATAAGCTAATTCAGTGTTATAAATGCCATTTATAAACAGGTGCAGGGTCATGTCATTATCAAGAGTCTTCTATATTTGAAACGGCTGAACAATAACTCTCTCAAGGTTCTTTTTTCCTTTCAGATGGTTGATACCTTCAGTGGAAATTTAACCCTGCTAAAGAAAAGTGAGCCGTCAGGTTAAGCTTGTAACATCCCCCCCCCCACCCCCCCACCCCCCGCACACACACCTGCCCTTCCATAGCAAAACACAGCACCTGTCCACCATTGCTTGTCGTCTGCAGACAAAGACGGCCTTTCTGTTACAAAGCTCAAAGAGTTTTGCAGAGTGTCTGATTACTCGGTGTGAAGGTTTGAGAGCCATGTGAAAACTAAAAAACCCAAAAATTTCCACAAGAAATATCTGCAATTTTAATATAATAGCTTTTCTACAACTCCGCAAATTATTTTTTTAAATCCCAAATTTTTGTTGTGTGAGCATCTTAACAAGTTGCTAAAATAACTGCACCATAACGATAAAGAACAGTATCAAAATGCAGACATGCTACAATTGGTACAAATGGTCTGATCGAACTAAAGTATCATGGACATGTGAAAGAACAGCTTGAGGAATGAGTCAAGATTTTTAAGAAGTTTGTTCAGTAGAAGGAGTTACCGCTCATCTGGGTGAGGTGCTGGATCAAAAGTAGAATTCAAAAAGATCAGAATCCGCACACTTCAGTCTGCGATGTGAGAGCTTTATTTGTTGAGCTTGTGGTCAGAGACCTTCATTAGGAGTTGTCTGACCGAAAGTTCGACAAATAAAGCTCTCGCATCGCAGATTGAAGTGTGCAGATTCTGATCTTTAAGAAGTGTGTTCAGAAAAGTTTTTACACACCATTTTCAGTAAATCTAACAATCTGATCGTACATTACACAGGTACCAGAAATGACTGACTGCTCCCTGAGCTAAAGTTCTTTATGTCTGATATATGCAAACCCCCATACTTTCCCTTCAGCCTGATATCCTTTTCTATCAATTAGGTTGACCATTTTGGTCATGCAAGATTGAGTTCATTACCATGACAATGAGGCAAACAATGGGAGTGGAGAAACCAAGGAAAGTTGGGGGGGGGGGGGGGGGGGGGTACGTGGAAGTGTAAAAACACTGGTGGACAAGTTTCTCACTAAAACTCAGAGTGGATGATTGAGATCAGTGTTGCCAACTGTTTTTGACTGAGAGTAGCTGAAGTTCCCCCCAAAAGTAAATATACATATATGTATATATATATATATATATACATATATGTATATATATATATATACATATATATATATATATATATATATTTAAACAAATATGGTCAGCAGTCACAACTCTGTGAGATACTGGGTTTAGTGTTTTTGTGGGATGTAACTAGTGACTATAGCCTGTGATAATTTGGCATCCAACCCGACAAGAGTATTGCCGACTTCTCTAAAAACTCTTCCTCCAACACAGGGAACTAATTTATTTATTTATTTTTTGAAAAATTGAGCCAAATATTTCATCCTGATGGCTTTCATGCAGAATTAAATCACAATAATTTTTTTATTGAGACACAAGAGGGCTACTCAAACCCACATTGCATTTGATCAGAATGCCAGATCATGTATTTGGCTGATATTCAGGCTGCTGTCAAAGGTAAGCTGTATATTTCCCAAACCTCAGCCTCAGACAGCATCATGAAGCCAAACTGTCTGCCAGAGCTGCTGTGAGTTTTGCTGACTCACACAAACTTTTTTTCCTGCTTACTGGGCAGGTTGTGTAGAATGAGCATCCCAAAGAAGAGCACAGTCAGTATTATAAGGATCAGGTAGCTTACATCCCTGCAGTGCAGATGGACAGATTGTTGAGCTCTATTAAAGTAGAAACTGACATATATTTCAAGTCTGAAATCTATTTCCATCTATAGTCTTGAATAAGAAAAAGAAAATAAACTGTACTTGTATAGACATAACTATTTTTGTAGTCCATAAACACAGCACATTAAAATTAAAATGAAGATTAAAGTACTGAATCTGATTTAACAGTGCAGGATGCAAAAATGAAGTAAGAATGATATCCTGTGGTGACTGCAGTCCTTTTTCGAAGCACACGAGTGACTTTGATGACTGTTGTGAGCAGTGTTGTTTTTGGTGGGAATCTTCATTTTAGTCTTAGTCAGTTCTATTTTTATTATTTTTTTCATTTAGTTTTACAAATAGTCTAACAAATTATTTTAGTTGTGAGACATGTACTCTGTGTAGGAGCCATCATATTTCTTGGGTGAGTTGATTACTGGGTTTCCATTCTTATCTCCCCTTTTGTTTTCATGGTGACGCAATAAGGGTCACATGGGTGTGGGCAGTCTGAATTAAAAGGAGCAGTCAATCTGTCACTGGGTGATTTTGACATTTAGATAAGGGATGAGCAGCTGTAGTTTTTGCTGACCGCAAATGTTCAGTTAATCACATCACAATTCACTTTGTTTTACTTCATTTATAGTCATGTTATGTTTAAGGATTTGACCAGAATTCAGAGTCACCTGTTGTTACGTCCCCTATTCAGTGGGGCCTGTAAGTGCTTGTGGTTATTATTGTATTTCATTTTTTTTATGGCATACTCCTTGTGGAGCGGCATAGCGGAAGAAACCTGTCGGCGCGTGAGAACCAGGAAGAGCGTCTCGTCTCCATGGCGACGTCGGGGATTCCCTCAAAATGAACTTGTGGCAGTGTCGTCATCCAGGAACCCTGGTCGAAGCGCGGAGAGTCCAGCTGCATGAGATGAGGACTGATTATGTCAGCTGTGCCGGAGAGGATAAAGATGACGCGGGATCAGCTGTTCGGGGAGCAACTCTTACCCATGGGTTGTCTCCCTGCTCCTCACTCCCGTTGAGTTCCGTGTCCGATTGTAATTGAATAGTGTGCGTGTTTTAGAGGTCCTACGCTAGACAGACGGTGGTTATAGTTTCGTTTATTTGATTTGTTTATCTAGATCCAGAGGTGTAGAACACCAGCCTTTAATTTGTAAAGTTTTAGAGGTTCCAGCTAAACCAGAAAGCTTGGTATATTTTGTTGTATTTTATTCCTGGGGCTGGTTCCCCAGCCCTTTTTCCCTTTGTGTAACTGGTATTATCCTGTGAGGCGGTTATAGTCCCTCCTTTTATGTTATCAAAAGATATTGTTATTTAACAGCCCTATGACTCCTCCCACTCCTTTTACCTTCATTTAATTACCTGTGCCCGGATCCTAAACTGGAGCCGTAACAAAGTGGGGGCTCGTCCTGATCTGTCGGTTACATATAACAGTTACCCTCAGTAACAAAGTGGGGTTTCGTTGTGGGGTTGTTTGTAATAATTTCTTTTTTGTGATCATGTCTAGCTTCGACGTGGAAACCTTCATGAGGGCGCCTTCACGTGGACAACTGGAAGAGTGTCGTAAGCAAGATTTATTAGAAGTAGCTGCTTACTTGGGTCTCACTGGGGTTCAGCACATGCTGAAGAACGCCCTGAAGGAGGAGGTTCTGTCTGTGATGGAGCGGAGGAAGCTGCTGTCACCCCTGAGTGATCTTGCTGTCTTGCCTTTTCAGAGTGAGGACTATGTTGAAGGTAAAGAGGAGGACATTGCTGAGGCGTGTGGTGCGACAGAGGATGCGGCCAACGGGATGAGGGCCCCTGAAAGGGGTGAGGACCGTCACTCTCCTCCACCAACTCTCCCACGATTTGACCCGGATTCTCCAGGTTCGAGGAGCGATTCTCTTGACCACGCCCGCTTTCAATATCGTTTGGCTCGCCTGAAGCAGGAGGCAGAGAATAAACAACGTGAAAGAGACTTCGAAATGAGGAAATTGGAACTTGAGGCAGACACCAGAATAAAGCTGAAACGACTGGAGCTGGAGGTTCAGGCGCAGCTGCCGAGCAGAAGAGCTGATCAGACGACTAAAGGGCTGACGACTGCTGCAGACCAGATTGACGTCGGGAAGTGCATGATGCTGATGCCACCTTTCCGTGAGGCCGAAGTGGACAGCTACTTCGCCGCGTTTGAGCGCATTGCTACTTCACTCAGTTGGCCGCAGGAAGTGTGGACTCTGCTGTTACAATGCAAACTGACAGGCAAGGCTCAAGAGGTAATGTCAGCTTTGTCTGTGCATGATTTTTCTGACTATGACCGTGTAAAAGAAGCAGTTTTGCAGGCATATGAGCTGGTTCCTGAAGCCTATCGGCAAAAGTTCAGATCTCTTAGGAAACGGGACGAGGAGCAGACATATGTAGAATTTTCCAGAGAGAAAAGCATTTTGTTTGATAAATGGGTTATGGCGTCAAAAGTGATTAGTCTGACTGAGTTACGAGAGCTTGTTTTACTGGAAGAGTTCAAAAGGTGTCTTCCAGAGAAGATTGTTCTGTATTTAAACGAACAAAAGGTACATACCTTATCTGCTGCTGCAGTTTTGGCAGATGAGTTTATGCTGACTCATCGTATAAAGATTGAGAACAGGCCTACCAATGTAAAACCCCAGGACGTCAGACAGAGGACGCCCGGAGTGAGCAGTGGAAATTCACAGCCACGATGTTTCTATTGTCATAAGTTGGGTCACATTGTGAAGAACTGTCTAATCTTAAAGAGTAAGAAAGATGTATCCCAGAGAGAAGTTGGTTTTATTGCAGAAACTGCATTCAAGGGGCATGTGCAAAGCAGAGATAGGGGATTTGATCCGTTTGTGTTCAAAGGCACAGTCCATGTGGGTGAGAATGACTCAGACTCAGTGCAAATTGAAATACTGAGGGACACAGGAGCCTCGCAGACACTGATTTTAGAGTCTGTGCTTCCTTTTAATGTTTCCAGTTGTACAAATGTTTCAGTACTTTTGAGAGGTTTGTCCTCTGATGTTATTTCGTGTCCTGTGCATGAGGTCAATTTGAAGAGTGAACTGGTCACAGGAAAGTTTAAAGTGGCTGTATGCAAGACGTTGCCTGTGGCCGGGGTCCACATGTTGCTAGGAAATGACATTGCAGGGGGCGCTGTAATTCCTGTCCCACAAGTCATAACCCAACCTCAGACCTTAACTTGTGTAAATCCACCCCCCGGTATCTCCCCCTCATGTGTTGTCACAAGAGCAGGGGCAGTTAAAAGCGGTGATGATCTCATGAATGTATCCTCTTTGTTTGAAGAAGCAGACTTCAGTTCTCCCCTACATGAACTGTCTGAAGAAAGCAGTTCAGTAGAAACCGAAGTACAAGACATTAAAGATAGTCCAACCAAACGTGTAGTTTCTCGCTCGACCTTGAGATTGGAGCAGAAAAATGACAAAACACTAAGCAAATGTTTTGAGGCTGTGGCTAACACAGATGACACGTCCTCTGGTTACTATGTGGAGAACGATCTCTTAATGAGACGGTGGGTAAATCCAAAACAGTTAACTTCCCCAAGTGTTAGTGTTAACCAGATTGTAATTCCGGAATGTTACAGACATCAAGTTCTTGCTCTAGCGCATGAAAGTCGTTGGTCGGGTCATTTGGGGATACGTAAAACTTATCAGGCTCTCCTTGATCACTTCTTTTGGCCTGGTATGAAGAAGGATGTTGCTCGATTTTGTATGACATGTCATACATGTCAAATGGTGGGAAAGCCAAACCAACCTTTAAAGCCAATCCCTTTAACTCCAATTCCCGTAATAGGGAACCCGTTTGACCACATAATAGTTGACTGTGTTGGTCCGTTGCCTCGTACCAAGTCTGGAAAAAAGTACTTGTTAACTATAATGTGTACCGCTAGCCGATTCCCTGAAGCAATACCGCTGGCCTCCATTACAACTAAATCAGTTATCAGAGCTCTAACTAATTTCTTTTCACTCTTTGGCCTTCCGAGAGTGTTACAGACAGACCAAGGCTCTAACTTTAAATCTGAGCTATTTAAAAAGGTGACCCAAACATTAGGGATCCAGCATGTAATGTCTTCAGCCTACCATCCAGAGTCGCAGGGAGCGTTAGAAAGGTGGCACCAAACCTTAAAGAGCATGTTGCGAAAGTACTGTTACAGTTCAAAAGAACAGTGGGATGAAGGTTTACCTTTCCTACTGTTTGCGTCAAGAGAAGCCTCACAAGAATCATTGGGATTCAGTCCGTCTCAGCTGGTTTTTGGTCACTCACCTAGAGGTCCGTTGCAAGCGTTGAAGGAAAATTTCTTGCAAACCGAGAGTGCAAAGAAGGTGAATGTCAACAAATATGTTAAGTCCTTCAGATCACGACTGCATTTGGCCAATGAAGTGGCTCGTAAACACTTGCAGGAGGCACAGGTAAACATGAAAGCTCACTTTGATAAAAAGGCAAGTTTGCGGGAGTTTCAACCAGGTGACCAGGTATTAATGTTAAAGCCTGTCACTGGAGACTCATTGTCGGTACGTTTTGACGGTCCATTTGTGGTTAGTGGTAAAGTAAGCGAGAACACTTACAAGATAAATACTCCTGGTAGAAAGCACTCTGTTAGGGTTTGTCATGGCAACCTCTTGAAACCTTATCTTTCTCCAACTCAGGAGGTGTCCGGAGAGTTACCAGTGTGCGCAGCTGTTTCACCCCCGGCCATCGAACCTCAGGAAGAGTTAAGACAAAGTTCCATTGGGGTCGTGAGTCCCCGATTGAAGAACTCACAGGCGTTGCTTGCTCTAGATGATAAGTTATCGCATTTACCACCGGAACAGCGGGGTGATATACTAGCATTAATAAATGCTAATTTGGATTTATTTTCGGACACTCCAACAGTAACTAATGTATGCCAACACGAAATTACACTATTAACGAACACCCCTATTAAACAGCATCCGTACAGGGCCAGTCCTGAGAAACGTGCCTTAATGAAACAAGAAACTGATTACCTGTTGCAAAATGAATTAGCTGTCCCCAGTTATAGTCCATGGAGTTCGCCTTGTTTGATTGAGAAAAAACCTGACGGCTCACCTAGACTTATTACAGATTACAGGAAAATAAATGCTGTAACAGTTGCCGATTCTTATCCGCTCCCACGTATTGATGACTGTATCGACAGAGTGGGTATGTCTAGTTTTGTGACCAAGATTGACCTGTTAAAAGGCTACTGGCAAGTCCCGTTAAGTAAAAGGGCTTCGGATGTCTCTGCGTTTGTTACCCCTGATGAGTTCCTCCAATACAATGTCATGCCATTTGGGATGAAGAATGCGCCTGCGACCTTCCAAAGGTTAATTAACATGATAACTTCTAACCTTGTGAACTGTAGTGCTTATTTGGATGACATTGTTGTCCATGCGGCATCATGGACTGAACATGTCACAACCCTTACAGAGTTGTTCAACCGCTTGAAAGCTGCACGTTTAACCATTAACCTTTCTAAATGTGAGTTTGTAAAGGCGACGATCTCATATTTAGGTAAAGAAGTCGGGCACGGTAGGGTTTGTATGCTGAAGGACAAAACCCAGGCTATCATGGATTTCCCTGACCCTAGAAACAGAAGAGAGTTGAGACGTTTTTTAGGAATGGTTGGTTATTACCGCTGTTTTTGTCAGAACTTTGCATCTGTGGTAGCCCCGTTAACAGATCTATTGAGTACCAAGGTCCCTTTTATGTGGAGCAAAGAGGCCCAGCATGCATTCACATCCTGTAAGTCATTATTAACCAGTGCACCCATTCTAAAAGCTCCCGACTTGTCTAAACCTTTCTCTCTAGAAGTTGATGCCAGCCAGGTTGGAGCCAGAGCTGTTCTTCTCCAGGCTGATGATGACTTAATAGATCATCCAGTCGCCTATTTCTCAAAGAAGTTCAGTTCATGCCAAAGCCGTTATTCCACCATTGAAAAAGAAACCCTTGCTTTGATCATGGCATTGCGTCATTTTCATGTCTATGTTGGTTCCAGTGCAAAACTGTTAAGAGTTTATACTGATCATAACCCCTTGACGTTTTTAGATCGCATGTTTAACCAAAATCACAGGCTGATGAGATGGGCTTTGTTGTTGCAGGAGTTTAACCTAGAAATCAACCATAAGGTGGGCGCTGAGAACGTTATTGCTGACTGCTTATCTAGGAGTTGAACGTTCAACAGATAAGTGTGGATGGTGTGAGTAAGTTGTTCTAGGAACAACTTTGTTTGACAGGGGAAGTGTTACGTCCCCTATTCAGTGGGGCCTGTAAGTGCTTGTGGTTATTATTGTATTTCATTTTTTTTATGGCATACTCCTTGTGGAGCGGCATAGCGGAAGAAACCTGTCGGCGCGTGAGAACCAGGAAGAGCGTCTCGTCTCCATGGCGACGTCTGGGATTCCCTCAAAATGAACTTGTGGCAGTGTCGTCATCCAGGAACCCTGGTCGAAGCGCGGAGAGTCCAGCTGCATGAGATGAGGACTGATTATGTCAGCTGTGCCGGAGAGGATAAAGATGACGCGGGATCAGCTGTTCGGGGAGCAACTCTTACCCATGGGTTGTCTCCCTGCTCCTCACTCCCGTTGAGTTCCGTGTCCGATTGTAATCTAATAGTGTGCGTGTTTTAGAGGTCCTACGCTAGACAGACGGTGGTTATAGTTTCGTTTATTTGATTTGTTTATCTAGATCCAGAGGTGTAGAACACCAGCCTTTAATTTGTAAAGTTTTAGAGGTTCCAGCTAAACCAGAAAGCTTGGTATATTTTGTTGTATTTTATTCCTGGGGCTGGTTCCCCAGCCCTTTTTCCCTTTGTGTAACTGGTATTATCCTGTGAGGCGGTTATAGTCCCTCCTTTTATGTTATTAAAAGATATTGTTATTTAACAGCCCTATGACTCCTCCCACTCCTTTTACCTTCATTTAATTACCTGTGCCCGGATCCTAAACTGGAGCCGTAACACCTGTAACAATAAAGATGAACTCTAAACCAAAACGTAACAGCTTATCCAAATGCAAAAAGCTGTTTGTGAAAATGCTAGCAGTAGCTTTACCAACGTTAAGTTCAAGTTACCAAGTTTAAATAAACCAAAAACACCCAGCAAACAGACCAGCACAGAGGAGAGACTGCTACCACGAAAACAGCTCTCCTAATGTCTGAAAGAAGCTCCTTTATGATGGGAGAAACTCTACCGGTGATTTTCTACAGATTTTCTGCGGTAGAGACAAAGCAGCGCATTTGACCCCGGAAGTTTTTGTCCGTTGCCGGGAGACAAAGGCGGGCGAAACAGGAATCTAGTAGCGAATCTACAGGGAGTGCAGAATTATTAGGCAAGTTGTATTTTTGAGGAATAATTTTATTATTGAACAACAACCATGTTCTCAATGAACCCAAAAAACTAATTAATATCAAAGCTGAATGTTTTTGGAAGTAGTTTTTAGTTTTAGCTATTTTAGGGGGATATCTGTGTGTGCAGGTGACTATTACTGTGCATAATTATTAGGCAACTTAACAAAAAACAAATATATACCCATTTCAATTATTTATTTTTTACCAGTGAAACCAATATAACATCTCCACATTCCCAAATATACATTTCTGACATTCAAAAACAAAACAAAAACAAATCCGCGACCAATATAGCCACCTTTCTTTGCAAGGACCCTCAAAACCCTGCCATCCATGGATTCTGTCAGTGTTTTGATCTGTTCACCATCAACATTGCGTGCAGCAGCAACCACAGCCTCCCAGACACTGTTCAGAGAGGTGTACTGTTTTCCCTCCTTGTAAATCTCACATTTGATGATGGACCACAGGTTCTCAATGGGGTTCAGATCAGGTGAACAAGGATGCCATGTCATTAGTTTTTCTTCTTATATACCCTTTCTTGCCAGCCACGCTGTGGAGTACTTGGACGCGTGTGATGGAGCATTGTCCTGCATGAAAATCATGTTTTTCTTGAAGGATGCAGACTTCTTCCTGTACCACTGCTTGAAGAAGGTGTCTTCCAGAAACTGGCAGTAGGACTGGGAGTTGAGCTCGACTCCATCCTCAACCCGAAAAGGCCCCACAAGCTCATCTTTGATGATACCAGCCCAAACCAGTACTCCACCTCCACCTTGCTGGCGTCGGAGTCGGACTGGAGCTCTCTGCCCTTTACCAATCCAGCCACGGGCTCATCCATCTGGCCCATCAAGACTCACTCTCATTTCATCAGTCCATAAAACCTTAGAAAAATCAGTCTTGAGATATTTCTTGGCCCAGTCTTGACGTTTCAGCTTGTGTGTCTTGTTCAGTGGTGGTCGTCTTTCAGCCTTTCTTACCTTGGCCATGTCTCTGAGTATTGCACACCTTGTGCTTTTGGGCACTCCAGTGATGTTGCAGCTCTGAAATATGGCCAAACTGGTGGCAAGTGGCATCTTGGCAGCTGCACACTTGACTTTTCTCAGTTTATGGGCAGTTATTTTGCGCCTTGGTTTGTCCACACGCTTCTTGCGACCCTGTTGACTATTTTGAATGAAACGCTTGATTGTTCGATGATCACGCCTCAGAAGCTTTGCAATTTTAAGACTGCTGCATCCCTCTGCAAGATATCTCACGAATTTTGACTTTTCTGAGCCTGTCAAGTCCTTCTTTTGACCCATTTTGCAAAAGGAAAGGAAGTTGCCTAATAATTATGCACACCTGATATAGGGTGTTGATGTCATTAGACCACACCCCTTCTCATTACAGAGATGCACATCACCTAATATGCTTAATTGGTAGTAGGCTTTCCAGCCTATACAGCTTGGAGTAAGACAGCATGCATGAAGAGGATGATGTGGACAAAATACTCATTTGTCTAATAATTCTGCCCTCCCTGTAGTAGCAGACGGGCATTGTTCCGGGTCTTTGGTATTTGGCTGAGATGTTAGTGGAGGCAGAGAGCAGGGCGAACTAGAGAAAAAAACAGGCAGATTTCTCCTCTATTTACAAACTTCTGGGGATGTAACAAATGGGCGTGGTGCGTCAACTACCGGATCTTACATCAACACATTTTTAGAATCGAGCCGTTGATATCAACACTTTGCTACAGCTCTACTCTGAAGTGATGGAACACCTTTGGCGGCTGTTAGTTGTGGTGTTATCAGTTTAATTTTAAAGCATTTGAGAACGAGAGTGAAACGAGGTCATCTAGTGGGGACACTAGGTATTACAAGGCAAACCAGGAAGTTAGTCAAACGTGCTCTGGTCAAAGCCATACTGCCTTTCTTTTCAGTTAAGCGTAAAACAGCATCGTCTGTAAGTAGTATGCATTTCTTCTGTTTAATTATGTTAGTTTAAGACTGCATTCTACATTTTGTGTTGAATTTGTCATCTTTTAACTTCCTGTAAAGTGATTGGGCTTCTGTATTTTATGTTTTTCAGTTTTACACGTACCTCATTAAACCCTGCTAAAAGAAACTTTGGAGTGCTTCTTGCAGTCGAATGAAGGAGTGTTTAGCTACCCGCATAGCTGAGTTATTGTCAACTGAAACAGTGCTCAGCGAGTGCAACAGTGCTCCGCCCCCAAGCTTATCCTGCTACCCTGTGTCAGATAATTTTGCTCCTCCTCCCATACATACTGTGGAGAGGACAGAAGATAATGTTAAACAGTCTGTCTCCATGCCTAATCTGGTTAAAGAAGATGTTAAAAAGAGCCATTCTTC